TTATATTAGAGATAATACGGTATCCATGTCATGACCCCTTTTGGAGCTTCGCCTTTCATAGATGTGTTTGAATTGGATGTCCTAGCAGTGAGTCAGCAGATTTGCTTATGTGCACTAAGTGTAGTGGAATCACCAATTATTATTATTATTGTTATGGGCAGGCATAGTGGGATGGTCTGAGACCATGATTGAGAAACAGAGGGTACCAGGTTCAAGTCCTGCTTGGAAGCGGAAGGATTTTCTCCAGCCGTGCTGCGACCCACAGTTAATTGGGAACTCGTGGCCTGGCACGAGGAAAACATGGATGCAGTGAATGGGATTTTCGGTCTTTGACCACTTGCTGGTGAGCTGATCTACTCACCTCCCACCGCTTTAGGAGCTGCATCTGCGCCTTGATCCTTGAAGGGTGGTGGCGTTCCTACGGATGCGGAAAACCCGGCTTCCAGCCGAGTCTCACGCGAACCGTGAAATTATTTTAATTTGTTATGGGCGTGAAGCATGGCTTGGCAAAAAGAGGGAAAGAGCATTACATTACTAGTGCATTGCTGCCCCAGCACAGCTTAGCTGCTCCCGCATACAGACCATCTGAACTGATGATGTGATCACACAGTAGCCTCCCTGTGTTGCTGAACTCAGTGAAGTTTGAAGTGAAATACGGTAGTGTGCCGATTATCCGCACCCCTTGGGTGCGCAGGGTGTCTCCAGGGAGTTCGGATGAGAAGAATATTTTGGATATGGGAGCAGTCACACATCTATCTAAACATGCATATTCTCACATGTTTTCATCATTTTTCATTCTCTTCGGCAGCACACCAGGAACTAGGCGCACTTCAAAATGACACTATTGTTATACATTTTAACTCCAACCTGTCTCAATACGTCGCGTGTGTGTGTGGGGGGGGGGGGACACTTCAGCTCTTCAAAATGACACTATCGTTATACACTTTGACTCCAACCTGTTTCAATACATCTTGTGCATCGCTTGAATGGTTCCCCAAGTGGGGAAAATCAGCAAAAACCTCGAAAAACCTGCTAATGAGTATTTGTCCAGCCTGACCAGGCAATCCGAAAAATCGACCATCCAGATACAGTCTGTATCGGCTATAGAGTGACCGGATATAAGAATATATCGGCTACAGTGATTTTGGTACGAAATATCAAAAGCAAAACGTATTTTATCCAGTACAAATATCACTATAACCAATGTTATCGGATGTAGTGATATATCGGATATCATGATGGCAACAACGAATCAAAACATGCATAACACACTACATTATTATCAGCTATAGTGATAACTTTAAAATACATGTTGCAATAATATCAAAGGCCCTATTTTTTTACTTTCTTCACGTTGCTTATTTTTATAGTGATACATGTACATGTACATAAAAGAATTTTTTTATGGAAATGCGGGCACTGTCAGCATGCTCATTTGTCAAAATGCCATGCTGGAAGTATTTCCTTGCCTTTCATGTGTCGATCGAAAAAAGAAAAAATCGATCGTATCGCATATAGTGATGCATCGGTTATAGTGATAAAATCACGGAAATCAAAAGGGTACGCTATAGCCGATACAGACTGTACAGTGAAACCTGTCTAAGGCAACCCCTCAAGGGACGAGAAAAAGTGGTCGGTGTGGCCAGGTGGTCTTCTTATCCAGGTTCAGTTGGTTACATGACCATATCCACATGTGACACATCATTTTGATCAGTGTATCACAGTGCACACACCTATGCTACTCTAGCACGACTCATGTGCCTGGGGTCCTCAGACCGGTCAAGTGCCGTGCATTCACCATGTAGAAGGGACGGTTTCAAATAGGACACCGGTTGCAAACCGGAACGGACTCAATATTCACTTTCTCTCTTGGTATTTTGATTAGAAAACATATGTCACAGTGAGACTACGATGTGTTATACTCCGAGCCAAAATTTCATGGCTCTGCGATGACCAGAAGCGCCATATTAAGCAGGTGAGTTTTTGACGTGTTGCTTCGCACTGCGACTTGAGTTTTACGACTTTCGAAAAATCAACTTCTTGTCGCAGGTAAACAGCGGCTCGCCTCTCGCCAATAAAGCACCGCATACGAATCAAAACTAATGGAAGCACACACAAGGCTTATTGTTACTCTGTACTGGCCGTCGTGGAGCGATAGCAATTACTGTAAATATACAAAATTTCGGCGCTGCAAAATTTCGGCACTTCACGATTTTGGACATTTCGGCGGCGATTTATTTTCGGCGTGGGGTATAGAGGGCATGGTATAGTGCGACAGTCAGATGCTGTGAAAAATTTCATCGGCGTTTTAATTTAGGCGTTTTGGGTCGGTGCCGAATATAGCCGAAATTAAATATATTTACAGTATGTTGCACTTGTTGATTGGAATCATGCCCTTGCCCGTGTGCATTGTACAATCATGTTGATGTCGATGGAACTGTTTCGCTACTGTAAATATACAAAATTTCGGCGCTGCAAAATTTCGGCACTTCACGATTTTTGACATTTCGGCGGCGATTTATTTTCGGCGTGGGGTAGAGGGCATGGTATAGTGCGACAGATGCTGTGAAAAATTTCATCGGCGTTTTAATTTAGGCGTTTTGGGTCGGTGCCGAATATAGCCGAAATTAAATAGCTGCCGAAAATTTGTATATTTACAGTACCTAATTTCAGACCCAGAGTGAATTTGACGTGCACTCTAAAACGTGTCCGGTTTGGAGCCACCTCTGATTTGAACTTTTTTGAAGCGAAAAATTGGGCAACTTGGAGGCAATGGGTCAACACAAAGGAGTGGCTCAGTTCGATTGACTCTGGCCCCAGAGCAAACTTCAACATGCCAGTTTCCTTCCACAAACATATTTCGAGTGAAAAATCAACGCTGATGATCGGTTTGGGTCTATACAAATTTGGCTGTCAAAACGTCCCGGTATCGAGCCGTCCCCTCTACATCTACACTTCCTGCACTGATGTGTAGATCTACCCTGCATGGTGCACCATGCAATACGTACATTTACATATGCTAGCACTGTGCAACGCGATCGCGGGTGGGTGGTCATCGGTCGCGTTGAGCGAGTGGTCGCCTTATCCGAGCTGTTTTGAATGTGAATGCGTCCGTGACAAGGAAAGTGGTCGCCATGGTCGAGTGGTCGCCATATCCGAGTGGTCGCCATTACAGGTTTTACTGTAGTTGACATCCGGATAACCGGCGTTCTACTGCACTTGAACGCGCTCAGTCGTGGGCAATACCTGTTCTGATACATGCCCTCACGGCTGTGCCATTCTGCCATGCACTAGTATCAGCTGGTATTTCCCCTGTACATCATGGTACATATAACAACTTGCACTAGGTAGGCTGTATGGCCACAGCACCGTTATTCACAGATATATTCAGTGGTCTGTGGAACATGTCCTGCCAAGACGACAATGCATGCATTCTACATTTCTGTACAGAGCTGCATGATATTCTGAGGTGTATTTTATGTATACGGGTGCATCTACTGTACTAGCTTCTAGTAAGACTACCACGTGCATGTCACTTACGTGTTCGCATGGTCAGTCTGGCTGTCACTTGTCAGAGATCCTGGCTGTTCAGTTGGACAAGAACCGAAACTGTGAACGCGCGAATCGTAGTCCTCCTCTGCACTGCAGTAGCACGCACACCGAAAACATTCCCAGTGGCGTAGCCAGGGGGGGTGCTTTGGGTGCCCAAGCACCCCCCTCAAAAATTTCAGGTACCATTTTCGTACTGCTGTGGATCTACGCCCGCCCGCGATCGAGACTCGACGTCGACAAGATCGACGCCACACGACGCTGCGCTGCACGACGGGGCCCGGCCAACTGTATTACACTAGTACTAGTAGCGCATGCAGGTTGCACTTGAGACTGCATGCATGGCTGCACATGCAGTCATGTTCTCGCCGGTGACAGGCGCAGTAGTGCTAAATTATTAATTTTTAGTACAATGTAGTACTACCGGTACTGTAATTTGAACTAGTACTACCGTGGTAGTATAGTTGTGTGTAGATCTTTGCCTTTGAATGTGAGTTTGGTCGTTTTCGGATGCACTGCGCATTGTACAACTACCGGTATATAGACTCGCACTTTGTGTAGCTAGACTTGGTAGAAGTGAAAGAGAAGTGTCAACGTCGTTTTGTGATCCGCAAGTCGAATGGATTCTTATGAAAATGTCGATCTTGAAGTATTTTAGTCGAGGGAAGTCGAAGAGACCAGATACCAGTAGCAGCAGTGCCAGTGCCAATTGTCTGTATTATATTCTGGGTCTAACCACACCCTGTCAATCTCTTACCATCCAACTTCTGTAGCAAAGTACTGTGCGTTTCATACGATTATCTGACTTTTTATTGAATCATTGGTGGAATGGAAAATAATGAAATAGATGCAAAAATGAAGGATTTGGCACTCAATATCGAAAATTTTTCCGGGGGAGGGCCCCCGGACCCCCCCCATTTTCGCGCCCTTCCGGCGCACGCCCACACTTCCAGTAAGCACCCCCCTCAGCCACAATCCTGGCTACGCCCCTGATTCCCCTGCACTCTGCAGCTTGTGCAACAAGTCTGAAACCTGTCCTCAACTTCCAAGTCAGCAAAACTGCCTCCAGTCCAGGCTAGGCACAAGCCATGCAAACTGGACTACAAAAATTGTGTCACTGAGACCGTAAAACCGCTATGCTACGCGCTACAGAACTGCAGTACAAACCCTGTAGCCATGGTAGCCTCGACAGTTCACAAAGCCTACTGCCAATAGGCTACATATTATGGGGAATTTCAGGACTTCACGGAGAATTTCAAAGTTTTTACTGAGGCCTCTAATTTCCTAAAAACTACATAATTATGGCCTATTATCATGATTATGCCTTTTTTTATGGGTGGCTAGCTATTTACTGTATGCATGCTCTTGTCAAGGACTCATGCGCATGTCACAACTGCAATGACTTCTACATGTAATTCTGCGAGCCGAAACCAAGAGTTTAGTCAGTCCAACTGCACTGAGGAACGCCTTTGCTTGGGGCGGACGCGACACACAGCATTTCAGGTTCCTTAGTTTCGGTACTAATCTCAGTGTAGTTATGAATCTTGTGTGTAATGTTAGCTAGCTCTGCTCTGTGCGACGTAAACCAACCTCCTGCGTAGAACCCAGACCGTCTACTGCTTCTAATGAAGCCACACAGCCTGATAGTGATAAGGGCACATCCACACAGTTGTCCTGAGTTGAGCTGAGCACCGTAGGCTGAATGAAAATATTCTGCTAGGTTTGCCACATTTTAGCGTCCTCTGTGCGAATTTCCAGAGTGGAAGTTCTACCCTTTCCTTGCCCAGCGCGCCAACTGACGAATGCTCCTGTGAAGTCACGGCACGAGTGTGAACGGATCGCGCGATCGTGTCCGAAGTCTGCATGCGGTGACGGCTGCAGGTAGATCTACAAGTGCCTTTTGTTACATTTATAGCCATTGTAGGTAAGTGAGTCGGAAACTTCGTAGCAGACGCTAAAAATAAATTGCATGGCATTCGGTTTGCTAGGGTGTAGAGTATGATGTAGATCGACGATGTGCATGCCCAGACTAAATCCAAATGCCAATCAGTATCTCACTGCTAATGCTTGCCTGCAGGATCAGAAAGCCTGGAGACTGCACGGGAGGAGAGCAGCTGGGAGTTGTAAAATACCGGAATTTTATTACTCCCTGGTGGAGAGGGTGTTACGACTCAGCAGTGCGAATGCGGTGGCCATCAAACCTGCCTTCACCACCTAACTGAAGACATTGCAGACAACCATCCTTGGGCCGAGTCTGCACTGCAGCACAGTAAGACGTATTCCTGCCACATTGCCTCCTGATCAAAATGTTGTGTCCGTATCTACTAGTGCGAGCCACTGAATTGTGGATTATGGCTCAGGAGTCAGGTGTTATAGTACTGCACACTGCGGCATGCAGCACCACTGTGAATGGCAGGTGCAAGGCTACCTAGCAGGTACCTGGCACTGTCGAGTGTCGTATTCAGCAGTTCAGATTAGACTGTCCATCCACCAGACTTGTATACATATAGTCATGTGTATTGAAACCCTGATACACTGTACCATGAGTATTGCGCCATTCATCTCAGCACACAGGTTGAAGCACAAACAGTCAGCACTGCCAACCTTCAGTGCCACAATTGTTAGCACTGCACACTTTGCTCACCATGACCAGTAGTGCCAAAGATTTTCAGTACTAACTGTTTTTTAAATGCACCGCATTTTCAGTGTAAACTATATCATGGCCTCTTACATAAAACTATACTATTCAGTCACTGCACATGATCACCATTGCATTTGGGCAGCTTGAAGGCAGCATGTGGTGATAGGTGTTCTACTGGTCAGGGAGTGGCAACTGCTAGCATAGAATCAATGTCAAGAGCTTGGTAGTAGTAAGGATGGCATGCCATAACCAACCCAGAGGCCAGACGAGCATACTCAGGCTGCAAAGGAGAGAAGGAGAATATAGCGGATGCTGGTCGCGGAAGCGAATGGAACATTGCGGACCACAGCAGTACGCATTTTGAAGTGTACGCGAGTGCACCATTTTCTTACTACTTTCGATGAAGATGAATGCTGCAAGTTAAAGCCAGTTGGTTAGCGGTTGCAAAGGGTTTTAACAAATATTTTGTTTTGTACTTCAATACGAAACCGTTTTTGTATGTCCAGCACCCCACTTTGGCCGTATTATTTCTTCTTGCGTGCAAGTTGAAAACAGATAGATTTACACTAGAATCAATAAAGAAGATATCTCACCTGAGGCTATCCCTTCACAAGACTGGCAAAGCAGTACGCCTTCTACAGCAAGTGTGTTTCACCATAGTACATTGTACATTGTAACAGTACACTTCTGTATGTGCCCTTATGGAGGACAGATAGGGCCGATGAAATCTGCACATGATAACCATGTGACCAACCAACCAACTAAGTGTACCGGCACGGCTTAGCAAGTTCCTACTAAATAATTTTCAATACATTATAGGCAATAGATTCTTGAGGATGGGGGCTTTCCTTCGGATGCAGAATAGTCTTGGTCTCACCAAGTATAACTGTGGTACAGCTGTCCTGCCCAAGTTTAAATCACCAGACAAGAATGTGCTTTCAGTTTGCACCCAAGTGTAGACCGGCTGTATCACATCAACTCTACCCCCCCCCCCCCCCCCACATTCTCTCCCAAAAAATGTTTTGCAGTATTGCTTCCGCTAGTGTTTGCATGCATCATGTAGGTAGATACATAGTACGCTCTAAACATGGTCAGAGGTAGTGTGTCATACAATGTAGATTGAGTTCATGTTTAGTAATTCAAATCCAAATCCAAATGTTTAGTATGTTAATTCAAATCCAAATCCTTCGACAAGGAAAATTGCTTTTGCAATTGACATTGGCAGTAGAATTGCCTTGTTGAGCAGCGCATTTATAAATCAAACACCGTGTCATTCAAGAATTGAACTTGTGATGTATTTCGTATACAGATGTGTGTATGTGCGTGTGTATAAATGTGTGTGTATGTGTATATGTTGTAATGAATAGCTATGCATGACTGTAGACGCCACTCTGCACTGTTACTACTAGTATTCTGTACTCGTATAGTAATCTAGCCATGGTGTCTTTGTTACCTAGGTCTATGCGGTTGCGCATGTAGCCAAGTTCCCGGATGTGTTGTGTAGCGGTTTGCACATGCATATGTAGCATGCTATCCCGTGTGTTGCGGTGGCTGGCACAAGTACGACTGCAGCTGAGTTTGTTTTGTTGTTCCTTCTTCTGGTTAGTTCGAATTTGCATTGTTTGTGTCCATTTTGCTAATCTCTCCTTTTCCAATACCATGTATAAACTGTACTGCTGAGAGTTGTTGTCGGGTGAGAGTAGCTGTGCGTCGGGGGACGAGGGTTCCACAACAATGTGTGTGTATGTGGATTTGTGTGTATGTGTGTGTGTGTGTGTGTGTGTGTGTGTGTGTGTGTGTGTGTGTGTGTGTGTGTGTGTGTGTGTGTGTGTACCTGTGTGTGTGTGTGTGTGTGTGTGTGTGTGTGTGTGTGTGTGTATGTGTATGTGCCTGTGTGTACTTGGTCTTCCCTGATGCATAGGGAGTACTGTGACCATCACACCAGTCAAGTGTCTGCAGTAAAACTAGCACTGCCGGTGACATGCCGGTGGATTTCTGGTATTATGTTGCCAGGCCGGTTTGGGTAGACTTGTGCTGGGATGTTAGACTACCACACTGGGCAGTAAGAGATCTGCTGGCAAGTGTTGATAATCTTCCTCCAGCCCTCACCGTTTTGAGACAGGATTCTCCAGGCGGTTGGCCTTGCACATATACATTACCCTGGTTACTGTCAAGTGGCAACAAAGGTGCTGCAAAGTTTCTTGATACCTTATCCCGATGTGGAACAGATAAGCATCAAATTTCATCAATGTTATCCAGTATCTGGAAGACCATAGTGGCGGAGAAACAAGATACTGCTCCTTATGGTAAGGCTCTTCGACAGTTGTTATCCTTATCTCATCATTTGCAGAATTACAAATTTCAACTGGGTAGACTTACAAGTACACTGTGAGATCTTTGACCAACAAAATGCCGGGATTCTTTTTCCCTTCTCTTTTTGCTTCACCCGATGGACAATCCGATAGGTATGTAGATCAGGGTACTTGCAGTTGAGAGACTCTTGCAGTCTTGTGACTAGTGCCTGTGGCACACTAAGAATTTTACCATCACTGTGGCGCAACAACTGATAATTGCATAGTTGGGCTGAGTGCACACAGTAGGACAATGGCAGTTGAATTGTACATCCAATTTTGGTATTGCAAGATCCTAGGCTATTCTTGGAAACCTGTACTCATAGCCTGCATGAAGTATCCGATGATTATCTGGACACTGATCATCTGTATTAGAGTACTGCTCCCGGTCAATAAAGTGCAGGCAAGGATTGCAATGATGAGAGTGAGCAATGCTGTGTGTTCGTAACTTTCCTGTGCAGAGTTCTTTCTTGAAGCAATCAAGAACAACGTGGACATCATTTGCCATTGTCTGTCTAAGGCTTCCCCGTTCATATTGATGGTTGAGATATCAAAACTCCAAATATACAGTGGCATTAGTGCCAGTACAATGGCTACAATAACTACAGCACTGGCGGAGTGTAAAATGGATGATTGCTTTCCAGCAAGATCAGCAATAAAGGCAATGGTAGACGATGTGTTATCTAGTGGCCATGCACAGGGTGCATTGTTCATTAATGTGCTATTTTGGAGTGACACACTAGCTGACTTCATTCCGCACCATGTCAGAGATACTGTGCTTGCCGATATTGGAACACACTCTATACGTGACCTCTACATTGCGGTGTGTGTCAATTCTCAACTTCCATCAGGTTAGTACCAGTGTTGGTACCCATGTACACAACAAAGTTAGAGCTTCAGTGCTAAGGCTGTGCTTCTCCTTTTGGGATGAAACAAATATACCGGAAGTTGTTTGGTGAAATCGCCGTTACTGGTGGGATATTAGTCACTGTAACCTGTTTGCGGCGTATTAGTGTTTGTTAATTTTCCGACAAGAGCATAATGAGAATATTAACCAATGTGAAATCAAACTTCAACAGTGGGTGTGTATGTATGGGCATAGTGCCCCGCAAACATTTGCCATTGCAAACTCGCTGGTTCTGAGAGATCGCGAAAATTTAGTGTCTCGAATATTGGGTGATTTACAGTAGTCTAACAAACGGTTATGTGCAGCTATAACAGTTAGAATTAGGGCTCAAACGGTTAGTCCGATTAACCGGTTGCAGACCGGTTAGGAAGAATTAACGGTTACGCAGTAACTTTTCAGTCTATTTTTCAAGTATCAGGTCGTTGCAAAGTGTGCACTTTCGCGGGCTGTCGCACGCGTACGCAATTTCTGGGCTGTCAACTCGGTCATATCTGGTCTCTTGGTGTGAGAGTATGTATGAATGAGCATGCAAGAGAATGTACAAGTGTGCGTTGTACTGAATAGGGTACATTTTTTGAATGAGTATAGTCAAATATACGGTTAAAAAAGAGTCCGCAGGATTGCCGTGGCTTATAGGTTATAACCGGTTAACCGACCGTTAGCCTAGCAGTTAACCGTCAGGGGTAAAACCGTGACCGTTTGAGCCCTAGTTAGAATGGTGCCGTGAGTAGTACATTGTTGCCATCCTGACTGACTTTGGGTGATGGGTTGAAAAGTTGCACAGTCTTTCAGAACCAGCAGGTTATATCATCGACTTTGCAGATGGAACGTGCATGGTGCACTGTGTTCACAAAACGTCACACTTCCATGTTTCCCTCAACGCAACTAGGCTTGCCGAGCATATGTCCAGTGCTGTTTTTAACGAGCATTCTTGATTGTATATTGTGGGTGTGCGTCAAAGATCTCGTACATGTGTTGGGTAGCCGCTGGGTAGAAAAATCTGGCCATACATTGATGATATCATAAGTGCATATTTCTTTTATTTCAAGCTAAACGGATCCTGTAATCGAAATAAGTGGTTCAATTCATCCTACTTCACTCCTACCTAGCTAACACGTAAGAGCTATTAGTTGCTATGGCTGACAGTAAGAGTCCATACCCTGGAAGTGTACATGTCTGATTTAGGCTGTGTCGCAGTGAAAAACAGTGCATCATCAAAGAACTGACAGGTACTAAGATGTCAAAAAAAGTTACGACTTTGCAGGCCGATACCTGTGATTTCCTTGTGCACAAAGCAATTTGGATTTCACTGCACCAAACCCAAATGCAGGAAAGTGGTGTACATCTAATCACTCTGGTGGTTATTGACTATTATTATGAGTTATACTTGAAGGTATGTTCTATCAATACTCTGGAGACTCATTTTAACTCCTCCATTTCCCAAACAGTTTTTGATCCCAAGGGCCAATTATTCGAGGACATGAAAGTGAAAAAATCTGAAGAAAATTGTATACATTAATAATGATGAGCAAGGCCTGAACATTTAGGGGGCGTTCGAATTGTCTTCATCAACTATTCGAACAAATTTTTAAAAGAGTAACTTGAAGTGTCCCATTAGAACGGTTTCTATCATTTTAGAGGTTTTCAGTGGAATTGTCATGGCGATGATGACGTCCGATCAGATCGACCATCTCCACGTACTACGTGACGTAGCTAATCCAAACTCTTCGGAACTAATCCACCTCTCCCATCGTGGAGGTTCGAGGAGGTTCGTTTTTCTGAAGAGGCCAATAAGGCCACCTCTTCAGAAAAACGAAACTCCTCGAAAAGTCAAAGAGTGACAATTCGAACGTGCCCTTAGTGACATGTAAAGACGGTTACTCTCAGCGAAGAGACCTGTTTCTAAATAGAGAGGTTATAAATGTGTTAGTGGCTGCATTGGAGTTGTGGACGGTTCACTGGTAACCACCATCATCGCCACCGCAGCCACCACTGCCACATGCCCGTCGCCACATGACCACCACCGTCACACGACGACCACCACCATCACCGCCACCACACGACCACCACACGACGACGACCCCCACCACCAGCATCACCACCACCACCACATGACCACCAATACCACCTGGAGGCAAACTACCTGGCGATGGCAGGGACAGCGGTGATCAAGTTGCGGTGGTGGTGCTCTGGAGGCAAACATGGCTAATAGAAATGTAAGGAGTTAGCCTGTGAAACTCTTTTGCGACAGACTCAAACACTGCGTAATTAATTGTTACGCTTAAGAAGGTCCACGCATCCATTGTCCGATGCTGTGTTCATGTGTATTATAATGTAATTGCAGGTATTGTGACTGGACAGAAGAATGCAACAAGTTCAAAGAAACAAACGGCAAAAAGTGGAATTGCTGGTGAGCTCCCTTTTCCAGTGTTGATTGCAATCACTCATTCTGTGTCCTCATGAACACAATACTTCTTCACCTTTGGGTATTCACCCAAACCAATGCAGATAACCTGATGCTCATTGACTTTACGTCTTTTGTTAGGAAATGTGAGGAGCTGGCCTCCATCATACAGGTCCCGCAGCAATGTCGTTATACCGAAATTTGGCCACGTTTCTAATCCTCGTATGTGCAGTAAAACATGTATTTGCCGGACCCTGTACCAAGCGGAATCCTCTTGATCGGATAAATGTTCATGCACCAAAGTGCTGTGGATCGAACATCTATGTCAATGTCTACATCTATGTCAATAATTATAATTATGGTGAGTAAGAAGTAACTCGGGTACTGAGCCAAAAGTAAGATAATTATTTCAGAGCACAGTGCTGCTCAATGAAATCCAATCTTGAGTCAAGTGTGCGCCCTGCACCAGTTCACACACCAGTATTTGCAGGTCTATAATACTAGGGCTGCATAGCGTCCAGTGTGGTCGACTCGCTTGATCGGATGTCATTTAACAGCACTATATCTGACACCAGGGATGCACCCATTGTGCGCAAAGTTCTCAAATACCGCAGGGGCAAAGCTTAGTACAAAGCAGTGGACCAAAGCTCTGGCGCAACTACTCTGAGGTTTGAGCACATAGTGCAATCATCGGGAAAACTTCTGAGAATTGGAAACATAGGCTGTATTTTTGCTGCTGATCATTATTGTCCACCTTGTTCTTTTCTTAATGTTGGTCTAGGCTGGAACGCAGAGGATGAGCAGGCTTATCAACTAGCACTGTCAGAAGGACAGCAGATAATCCCTCATGCGAGGCTTCTTCTATGCGGTCCGGGTCGCTCAGGCAAAAGCAGCGTGGAGAGATCACTTGTGGATGAGCCATTTGAAAAGAGAAGTGACAGCACCATTGGTGTGGAGCTACAAACAGCTGTCTGTACCATTGGACAGAGAGATGGCAAATTTGTTTGGCGCAAGGAAGCCGATCAAAAAATGCAACATCTGCTCATGGTGCTAATATCACTCAACAAAGCAGTACAACGAAAGGCAATTGAGGATCGCCTAGCCCAGCAACATGCAGTCAATGAAGAAACTGTCTTCCCAGTGACGGAAAGCATGGCAGCGGAGAGCAGTCTGGAGCAAAAAATGGTCCAATCATCCACACCAAGTAGCAGTACAACAGGTGTTCGTTCGTCTGAGGATAGCGGGCACACAGCAGTGGAAACTAATGACACAACACATGACGTACCTGCTGGTGACAATGTGAATGCTGCAGTCGCCAAAGCTGATTCCGATTCTCCAAGTGTAGATCAAACGCTAGTTGCTTCATGTACCAATGTTCCTAATGAAGCGGATGTGACTGCTGATACATCTCCAGATGCTAAAGCCAACACAACTCCAGAAACAACGACTGCTACCATTGGAAACAATAGCCCAATCCATGATACCGCCAATGGTGTAGCTTCCACTATTCAAGCCACAGCTCCAAACTTGCAACCACTGATGTCAGAGGAAAAGGCGCTTGAAATACATGAAGCAGAGGGAAGCTGTGCAACACCCGACTCACCATATTCACCTGATCCAAAGAGCCTTGAAGAGGAGTTATCGTATGCAGCAATGCGGGTGGATCAGTTCATTGCTGATCTCAAGTACACCGATGTGAGTGAGTACAACATCAAGGACTTGGATGAACTTGTGTTCTTGGACATATGGGACTTTGCAGGACAGCGGTTATTCTCAGCACTTCAACATATGGTTCTGTCTTCAAGACGCTGTGCTTATGCAGTTGTCTTCGATGCCTCAAAGCAAATGGAGAAAGTAGCCGAGCCAACACTTTGCAGAGATGGTGAAGAGTACCGGCTAGATAACAGCCAAGGCTCCACCAACTTCGACATAATGGAAAGCTGGTTGAACACAATTCATCATGTTATTGGTGATGACCCAGACGTACCAGTGTATGCTATTGGCACGCACATCGACAAACTTCCGCGCAAAACTCGCCAACAATCACTTAACAAGATGAAGAAATACATCTGGACCAATGCTGAGGAAAGAGCATATGGTCTCAATCTTGATGAAGTGGTGTTTGTTGACAACACTGTTGCTGGAAGCAGAGATCCTGATGGAACCATCGTCCGTCTTCGAAAGGATTTCATTGAGAAATTGGAACCGCAGTTCAAACAACCCATACCCATTCGCTGGCTACCATTCACCATTGGTACGAAGGAAGTTGCAAAGAAATTCAAATGCCCATGGCTGACGATTGAGCAGATCTACCGTCTTGCCAACACAGTGTGCGGTGGTGATGCTGGGAACAGTCACTCTCAGTCTGTTGATGTGGAAGCAATGTTGAAGTACCAACATCACCTTGGCCATATTCTCTACTACCCAGAGAACCGAATCCTGTCATCCAAAGTCATCATTGATGTAGAATGGCTGCTAAGAATTGCATCACTGCTCTTCTGCCCAGAACCAAAGAGTGAGCAGGGCAAACGTCTTCGCAAGCTCTACGAGCTGTTGACAAGCAAGGGAATCTTGCTTGAACGTCTCATCATTCACCGTTGGCAACAGCACAGCAAGCAAACTGCAATGTACACCAAGACAGAAGAGCAACGTGACTATCTGTATGAGCTAATGGAGCAATCTGGCCTCATGTACAACACAAAGACCAGTATGAAGATCCCCGACCGTGAGGAAGAGTCACGCAAGTTCTACGTCCCAGCCCTTGTAAGCCGAATGCCTGAAGACAATGCCGCTCTGCTATTGGATGACTCAGCGCCAACCATCTACCTGTACACGGGAAGTCGCAAATACCTACCACAGACACTGTTCTGGTGCGCCGTGGTAAGGTGCATGCAGAAGTATCAGCCACGCCAAGAACCACTTCTCTACCAGTCTGCTGCTCGGCTGAGATGTTATGGCATCTACTGGCTGGTACTGGAGTACTTCAGTCATGGCATTCGTATCTCCATTGCAGCTGAGGAATCTGCACTGTCAAATATTGGAAGTGCGTACTCTGCGGTACGTCCCGCTGACCTTCCCGCAATGTGTTCAGAAGCCCTGCTGTTTGTAGAGGAGCAGCTGGAGGATCTGAAGAAGTTCAGCCTTCAGCACGTCAACATCAGCCGAGCAGTGCGGTGCAAGTGTCCCATCAACCAACGTCCTTGTCAGCGGCACAAGAAGAAGTCCTGTCCACGGACATCATGCCATCACTTCGCAGAACTGGTGGATGGAGAAGTTCCACAATGTCCTCTGGAGTCACAGCCCAGTGTGGATGCCGGTCCAGTTTTGCAGTACTTCAAATGCATCCCGTTCCAATATGTGGTACGTACTGCAACATAACAGGTACATGGCTTCACTTTTACAGTTGCACCCTCATGGGTCACGTACTCTCTAGCTTGGAGGCAATAGTTGATGTGTCTACAGTGTGTAGCTTTTATAAAAATAGCTTTGCTATTCAAGTCAAGCTGCGTGTGGACTATCACATGCTTGCAGCAGTTCGCAGGTGTTGTACTGGTATTTTGGCAAAATAGGCAAAGCTTATGCTTGATATACAATGGCAAATGGGCGTGTGTTCATTTCGTTGACATCATTATCTTTGAAAGAGGAATGGCGAGCACTCATGCTCATTCCCTGGACACTGCAAATTCACAACTCATTTTCACTGTATTATTCTGCCGTTTCGGCAAACTGCCTTCATCAGAATACATGAGTTGTGAATTTGCAGTGTCCAGGGAATGAGCATGTGTGCACACCATTCTTCTTTCAGTTATGGAGCTGCGTGATGCCTCACCCCTATTACGATGATTATCTCTAGCACCCTTCTCTCTTCTTTTTATTAGCCCACTAAGCCACCTTGGAGGCTCTACTCTCCCTGCTGCTTTGTTGTTGTATTGGTTTACTGCTGTCTATCTCTTCCCCCCCCCCCCCCCCCCCTCACGAGGTCTTCTCTAAACGGGCCGGCATGCCCGCAAATTTGGTGGATCAGTATAGAGAGATGTTTGCATCGTACTTACGCGAGTGGGTGTCCAGACAAGGAAATGTGTAGATGGCTGCCGCTGAATGGAGCTTGTGTCCCTCAGATAGTAGAAATTAATCAACGTGAATTGCTCTGACACATCTTGAAGATTCCCACAGCCCATAGGATCCCAAAAGAGAACTCAGGACTTCCACTCCTCCAAACACACACACACACACACACACACACACACACTTGCTGGTACCAGCAGTGCTTCAGCAGCACCACAGCAAACCCTTCTGGCTGCTCATTCAAGATGATCGTGAAAGCGTATGCTCTGTGTCCACAGTATAATTCGTATACGGTTTCTTGAACTTCTTGTTGTTTGTAGCAAGCTGGCAGGACTAGCGGCTCAATGTCTTCACCATTGATGGCAATGTCTGGACTACAAACTACACTACCATCTACCAGTACAGCAGGTATGTTGACCATGCAAGTGGGAAGATGTCCATCATCTTCCGGGCAACATTGACTTGTTGTAGCTATTGGCCCGTTGAATAAAATTCACGTACATGTACTTCAAAGTATACGTTCGCTCTTCAGTGGCTAGGCTGAGCTTGTTACTAGACGGTAGTGAAGTGTTCCTAATATGCACGTTCACAAGAAAAGACTGGGTTTGGGCCTGATTTGTGTTGTGCATGTATAGTATGATGGACTTACTCAGATCATTGATCACCATGCTGCCATCTAATGTGACCTAAAGCTCCTGTCTGGTTCTATGTTGTCCTTGGAGCAGAGAAATACAATCTGATCCACTGACAGTGGGGTTTGGTAGCATCACACTCAGTTGCCTTAACCAGTTCTGTCATGTGCGATATACATCAATTCAAGCCAGCAACGATGCTGTGAGGCTTTATACTTTCTATGGCTCAAACAATGCAGCCTAATCTTCCGCAACTGTCTTGCCTGGTTCCTGTACACCATCTACAGATATGTACGAGTTATCACCTTCGTTGGAGAAAAATGGTCGGAAGGGTAAAGTGGCCGGCATGGAACAACTTGGCGCAATTGCTTCAGCGGCAACAGCAGCGATGCAGCCAGTCACTGAAGTCACTGGGTACGTGTGTGCACATGGGCGGTGTTTAGTTAAACGTGTGTGCCAGGCTGAAATGCAGACTACCACACAAGTGTGTATGACAGTGATAACCATTCCCTACATGCTTGGCACCTTTGCACCTCTGTTTGATGCACATCAACCCCCACCCCACCCCCTGTTCCACCCATTTCTGCTGCTTTTGCATGGCTGCTTGTTGCTTATGATGCCACAGATTATCCATGCACATGTACAATGGATGATTCCAAGCAGGGATACAGTTACATGTATGTAGTGCAATGTGGGTCGAGTCATCCAAGCAAACTAACTGCACCTGTTATTTTTGTGCTCCCACTGTTGCTCTCAGCCCTGGTGTTGAGTTCCACAAGCTCCGGCAGCCGGAGCTCATTCGTCTTCGCAAGAAGCTTGAAGGTCTTTGCAACCTGGGCCTGGGTGATCAGAAAGACCTGGCCAACTCTCTTCTGGATGCCGTGTACCCGGCTGGATGCAAGAAGGTGAGAAAGGGAGTATGTAATTCACTATTCACTGCCACACAACATACCGTACTGACCGGAGTACATGCCACACTGCCGCACTACAGTATAAGCCGTATCAAGATTTTTGTCTCGAAATACAGACATCTACCCTATATAGCACTGTTCATTTGACCATCGGAGTATAAGGCGCACTGACTTTTTTTCGGGAGAATTACCAGTGTTTAAAGTGTGGCTTATACTACAGAAAATACGGTAATGCATGAACCGAATAGAACTGCCGAAACATCGCAAACGATAAATTGCTGCAGAAAGGAAGGTGGAGAGGAAACATATTAATGCACAAAACTATATTTGAAGGAGAAGCTGCCTCTGTTTCTTTTCAATGCTACGTCCATTCCTTTGCTACGTCCATTCCTTTGCTACGTCCATTCCTTTGCTACGTCCATTCCTTTGGTCTTCGTTGTGTGCATGTACCCTATGTATGCCGTTGCCCCGGAGTTAGGCCGGCTGACCTAAGAAAAGCAGTTGACTGTCAGTTTGTATGAAGGTCAGCATAAGTATAATACATCCCACTAGTACGCTTGTACGTGAAATATAAACCATCATACAAACCTCGGCTTCGCCTCGGTTTGTATGTCGGTTGATATTTCACGTACAAGCGTACTGTTGGGATGTACTACTTATGCACTACAATGTCATTCTCGTTCCCTGTAGATTATTGAGCAGAAGGCGTCCAAGGAGCAGACGACGTTCTTCACCACAATGTTCAATGAATGGATTGACAACGATCCGGACGCCAACGGCTTCAAGTTCTACGAAGCAGCGTGCGATGCCTCAGAAGTATACGCCAGTTCTGTGCGGGACCTACTGCAGGTGAGTCAAGGATCACACATTGAACCATCCACTTATCATGATAGAGTGTGCGACTGTGGTTATAGGTCAATGCGCGACGCACTGCCTTCACTATGTAGCTTGCCTGCACCGTGCCCTGTACTTATGCACTAAAGCACACGATCCATCGTACTAGCATACTCGTTCTTGCTCCGTTTGTTCAAGTACCGACACCGTCTCTAAATTTTGGGTACATGAACTTCAATTGAAGTAAGTATTCTAATATGAAAGTTGGTTTCAAACCGCAGGGGGGGGGGGGGGGAGTAATGCGTGATTTTCCGCAGTGCATGGGATGCCGCTGCATGATGTGATGAAGGAAGCATGTCGAGCATCTGGCCCATAGAAAAGAGATGCTAGTCAATTGGAAAATAAATGGCGACATCCCGTATGTACCATCTCGTAGACTCTGTGAGTTTGAAGCTACAACCAGGACAGGGTTGCTACCTGTGCTGTTCTCACTGGTGTACTTTGAAGTAGTTCATGTCCTACGGTCTAGGCATAGTCTGTGATGCCTGTGATGAAACTCTGTGTGTGTATACACTCTGATTTAGCCACCCACACTGATAGCAAGTATTACCTTCACTGGGGGCAGGTGTAACTGCAGTTGGATCCCGGGACGGATGCCCTGATGCCGTCAATCCTTTTTCTGCACCTCGTCCTGACCCACTTACTGAGGTGTGGTGAGCCCATAAGTGGGATCATTTTCAAGTCCACCCAGAGTTTTGGGGATTTCAGGGGGTGTCGGCTGTTGGGCGGTTCAATAGCCAATTGAGTCATCTTTCCAAGATTCCTTTTGAGTTTCTCTCCCCTCTCCCGGGGAGACCCACGTGACCAGTTTTGGCAGTGAGCAACAAGTACAAGTGTTTGTGCGTGTGTGTGTGTGTGTGTGTGTGTGTGTGTTACTGTGTGCATCTCTATGCCCCTTTAAACAGCTCTGATCATTGCAGTGCAGCTGGGACTCAGATACGTCCACACGTCCACGTCCACACGTTCCCAAACAGTGGAATATGTACTTCACACAGGTGCTTCTTGCTTACCCTTGCTGTGGCCGACAGTAGTGAGCACTTCTTGATTTAGCTAGCTTGCACCGGCTTTCCCCAGCATCTCTTTGGGTCTTGCCGCTTGATATCCGATACCAATGTTTTCCCCTGCCGTGCAATTGCCATTGCAAACATGCCTTGAAGCACACGCACGCGCACACACGCACACGCGCGCGCGCGCACACACACACACACACACACACACACACATGTCCACACACCAGACAAGCCGCATCACGCAAACAATGCAATACCTAAACGCATGAATGCACATCTATCTGGGCATCATATTGAACGCTCGTCCTCCAGTGCTGAAGTTTCGACAGTGAGCATCAGCTTTCTTCCTACTTGCCATGTCAATGCATCAATCATGGAATGTGTCAACAATGGTCTCTACCAGGTTATAAAGTATTTACTGCTGTTATTTTTTCGAAGATGTCTGAATCTTGATTCCTACCTGCTAGTACCATAATTGCCTGCGGCCTTGAGCCAAGAGTTCCTGTGACAGCGCAACACAGCTCTCTCTTTTTTTTCTCTTTTTCTTTTGCGCAGAGCAAGCAGACAGTACACATGCTGTGTGCGTTTCCCCGAGGTTTTCTGTTGAATTCTTCCACCTGCCCCCGTGCAGGCCTTCATAGTGATCTGCAGCTTGGAAAGTTGCGTCCGCATGTTACAGAGAAAGCATGTTTCCGCAGATGAGAGCCGGAACAATGTTCAAAACGGATGATGAAGTACAAGTACAATATCATCTACATGTATCTCAGTGTTCGTTGGAGTGTGTGAACTGAGTGAACAGACCAGTTTGAGAACCGAATTTGTTCCCTTCCATTACACGATACTGCATCAGCAAGATGATACCACCACTTGCCATTACTGTAGACTCGTGTAGTGTCAAGCCTGTTTTGAATACAAGCGGGTTTTCAAGATACACTGTCGGCACATAAGCCTGGTTTTAGTGTTGACACACATAGGCTGTGTTTACATGAAAATTTTCAACCCGGGTCGAGTTCAGCCCGGGTTGAAAGTCTGTACGATAGACAAAATAGGTGAGCGTTTACATGAAGACAGTTGACCCGGGTCAAATACTGATATGCCGCCAAAATTCCACTTCTAGAGTCCTGTGTGGTCACGTGAATCCTTTCGCGCGAAATTTGCATGTGCAGTGCTGTTCAAACCTGGTGCGAGATACGCACAGTACGATATCTTTGACCCGGGTTGATTTCAACCCTCCCCTTGGGGGGAGGGTTGAAATCAACCCGGGTCAAGCGTAATGCGTCATGTAAACGTGCCATTCATTTTGTGTGCATGGCGGGTTGAAATCTGACCCGGGTCGAACTCAACCCGGGTTGAAACACCTCATGTAAACACAGCCATAGAAATACCTGGTTCGAATAGAAGCCTAGCCCTGGCATCGGCTTCTACTGGAATAAACCCGGCTTTAATACGCGACATTACGGTACATATCCAAACCCTGCCGGCACTATTTCAACCTTGCGTTGCAATCACTGTGTGGAAAGGGCCGGAACGGTGACTGGACAAGTTTGGCATAGCAGAGTATCAGTACTGTGCATGTAGGTGTGTGTGTATATCTGTCACATGGAGTTGGCTTGGGTGCCAGCCGTACCGAAAATGCACAATGCCACATTCATACATACATGCATGCACGCATACATTACATGTACTTCGAAGTACACACATTTGATTTGTACATGTCTGTGATACTTGCCGCCTGACTTCACAAGCGACGGTACTCATGGCTTGGGGAGGGGAAGGGGGGGTGCACAGAGTCAGACTCAGAGGCACGATATGCTGCATGCACAGTTGGCAACAGGGAGTAGTACAATAAGTATTGTACTACTCCCTGGTTTGGCAATGAGTGTGCAGGTCTGCAGGGGACACCCGGACAGTCACGCGTCCAAGTTTCACTGGTCCTTATCTTTGTAGAGCACAGGATTTCCAAAACACAGCAATATGCACACACACACCAAGCAGACACAGCAAATTTACTATACGCACGGCAGCAAGAGTACATAACCCCCAAGAGTGTGCAACTCCAGCTATGGGGTCTGCGACGGCAGAACTTCACATCACGTGATGTACCCGTACACATTATTTGCACTCTGTGCATGATAGATACAACTCTCTTGTGGTCACTTTGCACTGTTTGCCAGCATAACCTTTTGAACCATGTCACGTGATGTGAAGTTCTGCCGTCGCAGCACACCATAGAGGTTGTGCAGGCAGTTGCACACTCTTGGGGGTTATGTACTCTTGACGGCAGCAATAGCTGCCAATGGTGGTGGTGGTGGCTAGATTTACAACGGCCATGGCATTGGGCCCCAGCAGACGGCCGTGGTATCGGAGCCCACGCGCAGAGTGAGCAAACAGAACAGCCGTGAAGACACCGAACACGTCAAACAGCCATCGCCGAAAAAGTGTCACATTAGCGGACAAAAAGGAGTAAATATTGTGTGGTATAAATAAGAGAGTCTAGTGAACAGTAAGGAACCGTAAGGAACCAGAATGTCAAACAGTCAGTAAATCGATTGATATAAGACTACATGTACATGGGCCTGAAATTAGTTACGGCAAACACCGTACAAGACACCGTACAAGACGCATACACTTACGACAATCATCGCGCAGCGATTCAAAAGGTAAGCAATACACGACAGAGTCATGTGTTCACAGGGAATACAAACATTATTGACGTTACTGCTACATTTTCAGCATTAAAAGTCAAAAGTTGATACCGTATGTCAGCGCCTTTAAAGCCATGGCCTTATATTCGAAACACAGCTGCTTTCCCAGCTATTTTAGATGCAAAATGACTCAACCACTACGCCATGCCATAAAAGTCAAATCCACTCTAAATTCACTTGTTCACCCTTCCTACTGGGCTGAAAGTTTCTTAGCAATAGCACTTATTCCTTCAAAGGTCATTTCATTTACGAAGCCAATGGCTTTATAACTGAGACTGGCTTTATAATCAAATATACCTCCATGGCTGTAAAGGTGCGGACATAATAACAACAGAATATTCTACAAAGTGTCATCGCAAAAAGCAAGGAGCTAAAAAAAAGAGTGCTAGGACTAACAATCACACGTAGCCAGTGGCATACCAGAGGAGGCCAAAGCCAGTGGCATACCAGAGGAGGCCACAATCGATTTATCAAGCTCTAAAGCACCAATGAATGCCTGCAATCATTGCTGAGAAAATCGTAGTTTGGCTTAACACAAAAAAACAAAACAAAACATGCCAACTGGCCTAGATGAGAGCTGGGGTGGATTTCCGCCGACGCCTGTCAGGCTTGTCTTCTGCTGCTGGTGGGGTGACTGGCGGGAAGCCGTCCATACCGAACAACGTCCAGAAAAGCAGGACAAGATACTCCGGGCAACGGCGCAGCAGTGTTGCGAACTCGTCTGCAGCACACGCAGAGCAGTAGAGAACGCCGGTCACTGCAACACAACTGCTTACAACGTCATGCTCAGTGTCAAACCATCAGTCCCACAACAGCCCCAGCAGCAACACGATCGACTTGGGCAGACTGGACTCCACCACGATCATGACTAACTGTTCCACTGCTTTCGCAGCCTGCAGTACTCGAATGCACCATACAGGTCTACTCTCGTCAGTAGACAACCCTGGGGGGTTTCATTTTTTTGTCTTCAAACGAGATTATCTACTATCCGGACTTTCATATGATGAGTTTGAGATGTCGGAGAATTTGGACCGTTTTGTATAGTACTATTAAACGAGGATTGTCTTGTAACCAATGTCGTTTCATTAAGATGTATCACTCCAGTGTGGGAGCTGTGAACGCTAACTAATGAGTTGTAACAAAACTACCCCTGCTGACCAACTGCTCACTCAACAACTGCCCCAAGGCCATGAAGTTGCAGAATTTTACAGACAAACTATGGCTAAGCAAAGCAAAGCACTGCGATATCAAATGTACACATGCCAAGGCAAGACTGACGACCACCATTTAAGGAGGGCGGCTATTGCCAGGCTGCACACGAATGAGGATGAACAACTCTCAAGCACCCGTACAACGTCGCAGGTTTGCAAAGCAACGCAAAACAAGTCCACCGCGGTCTACTCAGAAAAAATGAGACTTGGGAGCGTGGCGGCCATTCTGAGTCGTAGTGTACGAAGAAAAGCCTAAGAGATTAAGCTTTAGCCAACCCTAAGAAATTAAGCTTTAGCCAACCCTAAGAAATTAAGCTTTAGCCAACCTGATCCAAAGCACAAATGTCGGCTACGCCGCCCCATACTTGAAAGCATAGAATTCTACACAAACGCGAAAGATGAGAATTTCGAAACTTGTCCTCGTGCTGAGGTACTCAAATTTGCGTGGGTTCCGCTGGCAGGATTCTCAAGAGTACACAATGAAAATTGGAACTCTGCGATCGAGAAAAATGAACTTGCTGGAGCAGGACAAAAATGCATGCATTCGGCGCAGTTTTCGCTCTTTCGTTGCTCTCTGGTGCAGAGTATATACTGGTCATCATGTCTGACCTCAGACTCCTGATGGAGTGAGTAGAACTGAAAGAAAATGAAGTTCCAAGCGGCTCTCAAAGGGTTAACAATGCACACTGGCACCCAGCACAAAGTGAAACGTTGCTGAACTTCAACGATATTTGCTGCGTAGAGCATGGCATGACACGGGCATTGCAGCAAGTGTGTTATCTACGGTGGGTGTCAGTCAGGCTGTGGACACTACTGCTTCATCCCTTGTGGACTCTGGAGAAGAGCACGGATAAGTGAACTTCTGGCGATGAAAAATGGAACGTCTCACAGCCACCGTAATACTAGTGTGGAGAGTGTTCAGATTATGGAAAGTAGTGTGCAATGAAGCCTGTCGATGATCACATTGGTCACACCACAGCATACCATTGGACAAGACAAGCAGTTGTCCTCACCTTTATTGAGCTTTCCGGACGAGTGCGCTCCACTCAGAACACTCCAGCTATTAAGGAGTGCCTGGCTTTCTACAATTGAGACAGCAATGTCATTCTCTTCGAAGAAAGACCTCACTCCGTCCACAGTTATTTCGTCAGCGCCTCCTGAAAGGGCCTGAAAAAGAAGGAACACAGCAAATGTGATACGTGCTGGATAGGTTTTCAAGCATATCACATGCCAGTTGCCAGGAGCTGACCAGTCAGTAATGCACCGTACTAGCCTACTAGGGCATTGTTTCTGTATAGTGCCCTAGTACGGTGAACGCATACGTACACTGCCCTGCTACGGTATGCGCCGCATGTGAGCTTTGCCCCACAGTCGCCTGCAAGCACTGCAGCCAGCTGGACGGTGCGGTGCAGTTTGCACGAAAAATCAGTTTTGTGATGTGTTGTCAAGGTCTCATGTTGGCATGTGGAGGCAGGAAAAGAAGCTCAATGAACGAAACAGCTACAACGAATTTCCGACCTGATGTTACGGTAAGCGGCAATCCCTCACTCAAGATCAGTCCGTGAGAAAAATCAGTGTTTTGCCGTGACTGAAATGCCGAGCGCTTCAGCGATTGTTGCAATGGAAAGCTGAGCTCTTTGGCTTCTTTCTAGGTGCTTCGACTATGGAATTCCATCAAGATTTGAGTGAGTTATGAACGTTTTAGTGCATGCATGTATGAGATATCGTGTGTGTGTGTACAGACCCTGAACGGTAAAAATCAGGCTAAATCCAAGAGCGTCACTCTACAAGAAACGAAACACCATCAACATGTAAAAGCTATTGAAAGGTGTGCCACAAACCGTACCTTGAATGCAGAAACTTTCAGATTCTCCTGGTCCGGGACGGCATATGTTAGGTCAACAAGGCCCAGGAGAAAGTCGCGGAACGTCAAGTAATTGCACTTGCCCTGCACACACAGGCAACGCATGGCACACACCAGGAAACATGACACTTCTACGTGTACCAGTGGCAAGCTGGCTCGAACTCAGTGCTAATACTCACATGGCAACTATTCAATACAGTACGGGGAGTCGAAGGTTCAACAACGTGGAAAATATGTATTGTAAAATGCAAAGCACTTCAGATGAGCGGTGTCTCCTTCAAATCCAATGCATACACTACAGGCACTAGTGTCTTTCAGGTACTAGTGTGTTAGGCATTCGTACTACAACACTAGTATAACCTAAAAAGCAGGTGTGTGGTTTCAGTAGAGCTTGTCCTGAAGGACACCTGGGGAATACAGACACACGGGAATTGAGGACCCCCTTCGGCAGCCCCATGGAGGATTGAATTCACACATTTCAATCGCCGAACCGAGGACAGTTTGGGCTAGTACACCGGATGTCCTGACAATGCATTGTCATTTTCCTGACAGGCCAAGCCACAGAGTCTGAGACCTATAAGACGAAAGCACTGGAAAGTGCAGTGAATGAACTGTGTTGTCGACATTCACAAGCATGCAGTGGACTTAGGCTTAAACACTTTTACAGAAGAAGCACTGCTCTCTGTTGGACGTGTACAATTTCTAGCGTGAAACTCAAGTGGCTAGTAACACTTCGTTCTGCCTTCACTGCACGGGCATTATCATGCATGTCATGCTACATTGTACATATGTAGATATTTTGGCACCAGGCTCCATCAAAGGAGTGCTTAGCAGAAGCAACTCTTCACTGGCGATCACGGTAAGAAACACGTCTCCCCTCGCAGCGCTTCCGATGAACACTTCGTACGACACCATGAGGTTTGTCTGTAGATAAGGTCCAACAAACAGACACGCCTTGTTGGACACCCCCCAGAGACTCTGAAGCGCGCTCAGACGGCAGCACACTGGCTTACCGTGTCGTACTCGCGGAACATCTCCGGCACATGACCTTGCACAGGCCAGGCTAAATACGCTGACATCTCGGCCTGCGTAACATGGCCATTCTTGGCGGTGTTGACACTGGCAAACCTGGCCATCGCCTCTTTCAGCTGGCTCATACTCAACCTATATGGCATAGAAGCAGCAAACAAACACACAAACACACAAAACATGTACTACAGCAGCGTGTCAGTCATCCGACACCCTCGCGGACCGAGCCCCGTTGGTTACGTGAATATTCCGGATAACTCAAGCTAAATTATCACCTACACGTATCAATCCACACATGAACACGATTACGTTTCATGGTCGCACATGTCCATGTCCATGTACCTTCATTTTGGCATTGTTTTCGTATCCAACACTCGTGTTTATTTTAAAGGAAATTGTGCACATCAATACGAGCCCACTCTATGACAATACGTGTAAGGCAATGTTCATGATGTTCAGGGTATTAACACGGTTTTCATGGAACACACTGGAAAACCTGAGCTGCCAACACGCTGCCGGAGAACCCACATGACGGATGACTGGGAGAACCCGCATGACGGATGACTGGGAGAACCCGCATGACGGATGACTGGGAGAACCCGCATGACGGATGACTGAACGCTGGATAAAAGACATGCTACTGTACTACTACCGGCAGTGACACATGAAAAGTGCACTACTAGTAACTACTACTACTAATAAACTATCGGTAGTGTAAGCACAACAACTGTAATGTACGTACAAGTACTAGCAGCATTGCCATGTAGTCTACAGAATAGTAGCAATGGCGTCTGCAGAATGTTCAGAAAAAGGGATCCGGAGTTTTCTCGAATCATCGGCGAAAATCTGGCCCTTTTCCAAAATTAGTCTTAGTAAACCTCCTCAGAATAGCCATGCAGTTCTTCCTGTTCAGGTTGGAGGTTAGGGAAATCAAACAAGGCAAAGAGCACGGAGTTCCCTTTTCGGCCAAGTTTAATATAATCTGGGCAGAACCCAAGCCACACAAGTACGAATTTGAGAACTGTTTGGAGCATGAACTCAGCCCAAACCAGATTTTCCAATTTGCAAGGTTCATCTGTTTCTGAATAGGCTGTGGGTGAACTGATAAGGCTTGCCCGGTGGGTGAGCACAAAGCGCTGCCATCGGTGGTTGGTATTCTTGATCAATCAGAACACGATAAACAGTGCATGTGCACTCACCCGAGCTGCTGCTTGAGAATGCCGAGTTCAACGCAGCCGGCATCTGCCGGCAGACCGAGCTGCAATGCCTTGTACACCAGCATGCCATCATCACGAGTGTGCTGAGTGCTTGGACAGCCCAGCTCTCTACAAAGGCCAGCAAACAAGTATATGCACTAAATTATACACCGTAATCATTATACAGCCTACTCTCGATAAGTCACGCACCCGATCTTGGAGGTAGAAATGCTCGACTTATCGCGAGTGCATGACTTACATAATATTATACTGTATACATTGTACATATGCAACAGTACATAACGTCCTGATTTCAAAAGTGTGTGTCTTATCGCGAGTGACGTATCAGTTATCGCGTGTAGACTGTATTCCAGGAGAGAACAGCGGGCGGAACTCAAACAATTCAATAACAATTGGTGGCTCCGACGAATACAGGTGAAGGTAACTGTGTCACATAATTAGTTATGACCGGGGAGAACAAGGCGTAATAAACACTTTGTTCCAATGACGTCAGCATAGCAATAACATTCACCCCTTCATGGTATCTGCCTTCATAACCAAAGATAAACATGTTTTAAAAGTGAAGTGAATATAATCACACACGTAGTCTGTTTCCGCAATTCTCCGACATCGCCATGCTGTGCTGTCCAGACAGAGGACGAATGAAAGTGAAACAACTGCACACACCGCATACCTTGCCACAACAGCTTGAACATTGTTGGCATAGAGAACTGGATCTTGCTTTTCCTACAGAGTGGTTGAGAAGAAATACACAGACAAATGTACATACACAGACACACATGCATAAATGTGCACACACACGCACGCACGCACGCACACACACGCACACACACACACACACACACAATAGGCCATGCACATGACCATGTCTTTGAAATCGGTCAGATAGTCAGATCCTGCTTCAATAGTCGGTCCGGGAAGTAACTAGTCCAGCATCCTCGTCAACCGGCACAAATCAGTTTGAACACAGTCACTTACAGCTGACGTGTACAGTAAAACCTGTCATGAATTGTCCCCTGAATATCCTCAAACACCCTCTTACATTCTCTCTGTTCGCACACACCCCATCAACATCATGCCCTATCATATTGCAGACCATCCTACATTCTTCTCTGATTTCACATGCAATTGCACCGTACGGCGTACAGTATGCACTTCTGGTCTAAAAGCTACGTTGTGGAGTACTCACCGCCTCTGACGGACGGTAGACATCCAAGAACTACAACAGCACAGAAAGCACAGGGCACATCAGCAAGAAGATAATGTTAGAAGAAAGTCAACACACATCGTTCTGACAGTTGGATTGTGAAGCAATCATGGGCCAGACCACAGATATTCAGATACAGCAAAACCTGTCAAGGCGACCACTCTGATAAGGCGACCACTCTGATAAGGTGACCACTTGCCCTAGAGGACACCTACAACCAGGCCCAGGGGATACGATTTCTAGTTAAATGACCTTGGATAAGGAGACCACCTGTACACAGCGACCACATTTTGAAGGCCCTATGAGCGGTTGGCTTAGACAGGTTTCCCTGTATTAGTAGTAGTAGGAGTAATACGTTCAGGAACCATGTGGTGATTCACTCGTCACCAGTAGAGCTTCAATGTTCTGCTCAAGTAGTAGTCGCAAATGAAATTGTGTTTTACCGGGCAGGCTAAACTGTCGGTTTTCTGCACACAGTGAGCTACATGATGTTGTGATGTAATAGACCCCCACCCCCAACACACACACACAAGATAGAACCCCACCTTGATATGAAGAGGTGAGTAGAGGCGACTCAGCTGCAACAACATTTGAACAGCGCTGATATCACAAGAGCAGAGATCACATAAGCGCGTACACGCACACACACACGCGCACACAAACACACACATACAGTTAGTCGGCAAAATGAATTCACTGCGCCAAAACAGACCATTAGTATGACAAACATTGGTATTCTAACTAAACTGTGGGTGTCTTTCACATGCATGTAGACAAGAAGCCAGGCCAGCTACATCACATTCTATGAGTAAGGCTCTGCTGATGTGGTAGTTCTCCACCTAGGTTGAGTTCAATGCATTGCAGGCTGGAACCTAGGGTGCATGTACATGTGCATAGACGAGAGTTGAGTTCTCGGACAGTACATGGTACGGTACTAACATGGTGACACAAGTACAAGTTTGCTTGCTAGTATGGAGCATGTATTGTCACCCGTCATGTGACTCATCCGGTGATGGATTGAGCGGGAAATGTGGTCAGTGTGGGCATGCTGTCAAGTATAGTAAAACGTAACAGGATTCCGCACGATCCAGGTACTGTATAAGCAGAAATATTCGGCTGGAATTTAATTTCGTCTTTTTCGTCCAAGGAGCTTTTGGACTAAATTAATTGCCGGACTACAATCGTCGATTTGTCGAGCTTTTCAATACACTCTGTGATCCATAGACGAAATGTTCAACCGGACGAACTCCCTTTCTTTGGAGTTGGACGAATTATTGACCGACGAAATGTTCTACCTGTGCAGTATGCACGTTCGATGCATAGCACTTTGGTGCACGGAAAAAATGTGTCCGGTCAACACAGGATTCCGCTTGGCACAGGGTCCGGACAACAGGTTTTACCGTATGCACGCAAATAGAAACCTGCCCAAGACGACTGCTCAAGGGACCTACGAAACGTGGTCTCTGTTACCAGGTGGTCTCCTTATCCAGGGTCGTTTGACTGGAAATAGCACCCCTTGATTCTGGTTCCAGTGGTCTTCTAGGACAGGTGGTCGCCTTGACAGATTTCACTGTACGGCTAGTACGGCTACTTGGCAGCTGGTGCGGGCTAAGCGCAACCTATCACATCAACACTCCAATCGATGCGTGTGCACGCCGACTTGAACACTCTCATGTGAACAGCGCCTAAAACTTCAAGTGAGTAAGTAAGATGCGGAACAGTCAGGAAAGTCACTTACGGCGACTGGCAGTCAAATGACCAGACTGAAATCAACTGCAGCAGAGCAGAGCAGAACACACAGCACATGGGATACAGGTTCATCGCACAGAACGTATTGTCTGAGCACACACACGCGCGTATACTTGCATGCATGCGCGCGTACACGCACGCACATACATACACACACACATACATACACAAACACACACACACACACACATGCATGCACACACAAACACACATGTGCACGCACACATACACACTATGTACCATGTATACGCCCGTCGCAAGAGAAGCACGCAAACCTGCAAATGCACTGGATGTACACCCTCAGATTTTCTCTAATAGCAACGGTAGCGGACAAGCTTCGAATGAAACAAATCAAGACGTAAGATAACTGTCCAATCCACATACCGTAAAGTCGCGGATAAAAGCCGGGTTTGCATACAAGCACATCGCGGATAGAAGCCTGAAAATCAAACGGGTCAAATCCATATAATCCTGTCGCGCGTAGAAGCCTGGCGTCTATGCAAGCGCGGATTGGGTAGGTCAAGAGTGCATGCGCTATGTACGGTGCATAGTAAAACTGCCGCCATACCGGTAGTCAGTGGTAGATCTACGCGTGTCGCGCGTAGAAGCCTGGCTTCTATGTGCATACAAGGCTGGCAAAAATATCAGTGGTGCATATAAGCATGGTTTGCATACAAGCCTGGTTTGCATTAAAGCCTGATGCAGAAAGCGGCTTATATGCTTATAAACCCGGCTTTTTAATATCCGCGACTTTACGGTAAGTGACATAACTGACGAAGACATGTGAATCGACCCCAATGCACACCTGGCCCACACAACGCGGAGTTCATCGCAATCTAAACGACTGTGACCGTTACCTATACACACCTTACACTTGCAGAGGCATCCAGAAAAGACAGATCTCAATTTCACACACACGCACACACACACACACACACACACGCGCACAAGCGCACACACACACACACACACACGCGCACACACACACACACACACACACACACACACACATTCATACTCATACTCCTGCCCATCGCTGAAGCGATGATAGCGAACAAGCTATGTTAGACATAACAATTTGTGCTGGGATTACATCATTCAATAGCTTGCAAGGCTGATGAATTAAAATCCCTATTTTTCATTTTTTTTCCTTCATTTTCACACCAGGAGAATGAAAGAAGAGCTAGGAGAATGAGAAAGAGAAGAAAGACGTGTGCGACCATAATCGTCGGGAATCGAACCTGCAACCTCTCAATTGGAAATTGACTGCATATACCACTGCACCATATGGGACACACACACACACGCGCGCGCGCATGCACACATACCTGCCGAGCCCTGTAGTCCAGAACAATAGGTTGAACAGCGGTACCAGGCTGGAAAGCGCCTACGGCAACAAACCAGACAGAAATTGAACACCGCACTATGTTTTCAATCGGTCAGAGAAGAGGCTTCCATGCGACCGCAACCCAGCAATGTTCCTTTACATGGTGGGTCTTACAACAGCAATCGTAGTGCAATAAACATAAAACAGCAAACAGTAATCCTTTGGTAATCCAGCACAAGCCGGCACCCTCGACAAACCAGCAGAAGGCTCAGTAACCAAAATAAGCCACCGCTGCTGCGCACTACAACTGCACACAATTTCCATTGCACAAATGCCGCTGGAATTAAAGGGGGGGGGGGGGGGGGGGGGCGTGCTCTTCAAGAGTATAACAATTGTCATGTGTCATCATGGCCACAGGTACATTGGAGCAGCAAGGGAACAATGCCCAGTCTCCTTGATAGATGTGCAAAGTTTTTTTCCGATCAGAGATTGCCTTTGGAAAACTTTCACAGTTTAATAACATGCACATTAAACGCTACGATCAAAGAGTCCATAACCCCAAGAGCATACAATTCTGCACATAGCGTCTGGCATGGCACTGCCTACATTACGTAGCCATGTACTGGGGTGCCAGCTGGGCCAATGCATTATCAGTGATTACTCATCTCCTACCACTTCTAGCTTCCAAGTGCGTCTTCTCGGAGACGAAGGTTTCATGCGTGATGCGTGGCGGACAGGCACTACTTGCACCTTTCAATCTACCGTATTATCAACAGGTACTCTTGGTGTTATGCGTGAAAATTGTTCCTAATGGGCGATTCAGACTACAGCCAACTGTGATCACGTTTCTACGACTCGGATGGATTTGATCAGGGATTGTGCATGCGATTGTGCATAAAATTTTGAAACACGACTGCATCACCATGGAAATTCAAAAATTTACACGTGATTTTGGCCGTAGTCTGAATCGCCTATAAACCATCGGAAAAATTCAAAATCCAGTCAGCTTGAGCGTCATGTCATTACGCTAACATGTGATAACCATAACGTGATGGCCAAGGCCGGTATGATCTAAGGGGCCGTCCATAACTATCGATCTTTCACACGAAAGGAACAAAGTTTCGTTTATGGGTGGGTGGATCGAGTAGAGTTTCCAAAAATATTGATAGCCGAAACATCCATCCGTTCTACCTGTCAAGTCAATCTATTTTTCATTCAGGGGGTGGGTGAGTGGGTTGGGGAGGGTCATATTCATACGTGCAGCATACGGATGCTTGGAATTGTTGAATATACAATGTTCGTTGCAGCAAGACAGATTTCACACCAATTCACAACATAAGCAATGACGACCTAAGCAAAGAAGTCACTGGAAATTTTGACAAACTTATACCATTACTCTTCAAAGTCGCTACATTGGTACGAAAGGCCTCATCAAAATTTCCAGTGGCTTCTTCGCTTTGTGTACCAGTTTGTCTTCCTCCAACCAAAATCTAAGTGCAATGACAAAACGTAGTCGTACCACGTCTGAAGGAGAGCAGTGACTTGCCCCCACCACAGGTGCCTGAAGTTCACAGGCAACAACACAGAACGGTCAAAAATGCATGCACGCACGCACACATGTTCACAACACCAGCACAACATAAAAACTCAGTAAGGGTATGGTCACTTGGTCAAATCTGGATCCAATTCAATTGAATGAAGCCTGAACATGCACCAAAATCCTATTGCACGCTGTCCTGGGTTGAATTTGCGACTCTGAGAGTTTCAATGGGAGAAAGTAGTAATTACAGCAATATCGCTTTAACACCACTTGTACACAAATACAGAATCCAGTGGATCCGGTCATTGTGCTCCTCGGTTCGGGTCGGTGGGATCCAAATCCATCAGATCTGGATCCGGATTTGTTGAAATGAACGCCAAAATTGTGAGATGATTCTATAGATCTGGAGCCAGATTTGATCAACCCAACATGCCCAAGGCCGTGATCATTTGGCCAGATTCGGATCCAGATCTAGATCACAGACCCATCGCAACCCCTACAATCAACTGGTCGTTATTTTCAAAAACGTCTGTACATGTACATAAAAAACAAGAATGCGCAGCTCCCAGCTGTACGCACTGCGCACTTTTCTGCTGCTTGTGATGTGCACTTGAAAGTGTATGGACTCGACACAACTGCATCATACAGAAAGGGCGACTTGTGACAGCACAGCCACTGGACTATAGTCAACGTCATGAACAGAACCTTGGGTATATTAGTAACAACAACTCGCGGAGAACGACACAAAACCTTCAGACCAACTGTAAGTCTACAAACGTTCGGCCCATTCAAATTTCAGCCTCCCAGGACTAAAACACATTTCGGCCTCCCAGGGCTAAAACCCATTTCGGCCGCATCAAATTTTCGGCCTGTACTGCTGCCGCCTGTATACTCTGTCACACTGAACCTTGCAAAACAAATTTTCGGCCGCAAGAAATTTTCAGCCAAACATGACCAGGCCGAAAATAGCCGAAAATAAATATGCGCCGAATATTTATTGACTTGCAGTAGTGACCAATTGACTGCATGCATGTACTTGCAACCTCACGAATAACAACGACAACGTTGCGAATAACGACACTTTTCCTCGCGCACGGTCGAGGGTCGTTATTCGCAACGTTGACCGTAGTGAGTGACAACAATGCGCAGCAAGAACATCTCCCAATGTTGTCTCATGATTGCAGCTGTGGTCAGGACACCTGTATTTACAACAAAATACGCCTTAGCTCATTGTGTTGCAGCGGACACACCGCGGATACAACTCCGTCCCTGCTCCAATTTAGGCAGCATCCATCTCCCACGTAAAGAGGTCTCTTTTGAATTTTACCACGCAAACAAATAATTATGGCTTGAATGGTTATGGATTTTTAAAATATATGGTTATACAAAGTATCAACGGGTTCTGGGAAACAAATTCATGAACACTACCTTCTGGAAATGCCACCAGATGTGTCTGGCGGCCAGGTGAGCTCAGGAACGTCTTGACCAGATCAAGAACCTTGGAGCGTTGCTGGGCATTTTCCCGGTTGACAGGAATGGCTTCCGTGCAAGGTACAATAGCTGCATAAGACAGCACAACACATGCAACAAGTCCAACTGCTGAATCCAGCTGAAGAAAGCAGAGAACTACCACCCACGTGCAGACACCACGCTGTCCTATACTGTTGTGCCTCGTAAGGAGCCTCTACACGGATTCAGCCCAGCCATCCGTAACCAAGAGTACATAACCCCCCCAGAGTGTGCAACGCCTGATCCAGCTCTGCATAGGGTCTTGGTCGAGCGTAATCGGATCTTTGCGTCATAATACCGTACACATCTGAGGGGAACCCGGGTAGTCACGGGTACTCTAGGATCAAAAACAAGGCTGGTATGAGCCTCATGCTACTCCACTCATTAATCTGGACTTCATTGGCCATTAGTGTAGATGCACAAATAGTCAAAAGGATAGCATTGCAGGATGCACTGCAGTCAGCAACATTGATTGTAACGACCAGCAAAAAGGTGTAGGTACAGCTGCTAACTTAGGGCGCTCTTACTTCATTGAAGTTGAAAACTGGTACATGTACAGTACCACTTTCACTACTACTACTACATGTAATAGCAGTTTACAGTGAAGGTGGTACAAAAAGCACATGGATGCATTATGCGTGTGTGCTTCGTCACTTGTGTGCATGTGCATGAGAGCAGATAGATAGATAGATAGATAGATGGATAGATAGATAGATAGATAGAGAGAGAGAGAGAGAGAGAGAGAGAGAGAGAGAGAGAGAGAGAGAGAGAGAGAGAGAGAGAGAGAGAGAGAGAGAGAGAGAGAGAGAGAGAGAGAGAGATAGAGATAGAGAGATAGAGAGAGTGAGTGAGTGAGTGAGAGATAGAGAGTGAGAGAGAGAGAGAGTGAGTGAGTGAGAGAAACTCACAGACAGAACAGACAGAAGTGCAGACACACAAACAAACAACACACCAAGATACACAGACAGAGGCACACAAGCACACACACACACACACACAAGCACACACACACACACACACACAAACACACACACCGAGTCGGTGTACGTACGGCTAGTTAGGAGACTGCTCAGGACATCACTGCAGATCAATGCCGAGCCATACACCACACCACCGACGAAAAAGCCATCAAAAGGAGTAACATGCGGTGCGACAACATTGACTGGCACTTCAGTGTAGGATGCACGCTTGCCAGAATATTTGACCCACAGGAAGCCGCAGATAAAGAGGATAAGGCGAACGGCATATGTGGTGACATTTAGCACAAAGAATCTGCATTAGGGATAGGTACATTGAGAGAGAACCAAGCGTGTACACACACACACACACACACACACACACACACACCACACCACACATTGTTGAATACAGCTAGGAGCACGGCCATATAGTGCACACACACGTGTGCAAGCAAACTCCGGCACACGCCTGTGCAACAAACCTGAGAGTCCAAAGAGCCCAATACCGTTCGCCAATGCAGAATATGCAAGTGTCATAGATTGCAGTAGCAGTGCTGCTGCTGGTCTCTGGGGCTGATTAGTGGATTGTGATGGCACAGGCCCAAGAGCACAAAACACGTCTCGAATTAGACTGAATACCCTCGCCCTACACAGACAGACCTGTGCTAAGCGACCGCCGCAGTGGGAGACCACGTCAGGTAGCGGACCGCGTTACCGTATACGTTTGGGCTGCAACCGCACTAAGTAATAAAAATATAGTACTAGGGCTGAAACGAATGCTCAATGAAGCGAACAAATATTCTTTTTCCGAATACATGCGAAACGAAGAATATTCCGAATATTCTAAACCATGCAATTTTCATGGATACCTAGTTTTATCCATGGTAACCATAGACCATTAACTGGCATACACCCCAATTACAAGAGAGACACTTGAAAAATCATTTGTCTTGCTGAATATAACACATCGAAAGAGGCAAGCCTACTTCTATTTTGCGCCAAATAAGCTTGATCGATGTCAAAAAGGCAAATTTCTGTACATTTACGAATACAGTAAAACCTGTAATGGCGACCACTCGACCATGGCGACCACTTTTCCTTGTCACGGACGCATTCACATTCAAAACACCTCGGATAAGGCGACCACTCGCTCAACGCGACCGGCGACCACCCACCCGCGACCGCTTTGTACAGTGCTAGTCATGTAAATGTATGCATTGCATGGTGCACCAGGCATGGTAGATCTACACATCAGTGCAGGAAGTGTAGATGTACATGGTGCATGCACGACATTTGACAGGTCCGAGGACCCCAGGCACATGACTCATGAGTCGTGCTAGAGTAGCATAGGTGTGTGCACTGTGATGCACTGATCAAAATGATGTATCATAATTATGTGGATATGGTCACGTGACCCACTGAACCTGGATAAGAAGACCACCTGGCCACGGCGACCACTTTTTCTCGTCCCTTGACCGGTTTCACTGTAGTCCTATTCTACTTTAACGAAGAATATTCTTTTTCCGCCTTGCATATTTCGAATATTCGAATAATTCGAATATTCCTTTCAGCCCTAAAATATACGCATGTAAAAGGTGAAAATATCTTTTCCCGTTTGTGTCTTTCCCTCAAACTAGTGAAAATATGTATAATATTACAGCCAGCAGCTGCACTGAAAGTTGTATTGGATGTTTCAGCCCAACCGCCAGAAAACTTCTTATCAGGTGAGTATTGAGGTGCATGAAATTCAAAAGATACGGTACATGTGGAAAAAGCTGCTTATACAGGGGGGTAACAGGGATCTGCAACTTGCTGAAACATTATACGGATTGTTTTAGATTTCCTGTACGTGTCCTTGACGACTTAGGCTGCGTTTACATGAGAATTTTCAACCCGGGTCGAGTTCAGCCCGGGTTGAAAGTCTGTACGATGGAAAAAATAGGTGGGTGTTTACATAAAGACAGTTGACCCGGGTCAATTAACTGTTACAGATTTGCAGCCAAAAGTCCTATATTTGCATGTGCATTGCTATTCAAACCTGGCCCGAGATACGTACGTTAGTACGATTTCTCGCCCCGGGTTGATTTCAACCCTCCCCTTGGGGGGTTGAAATCAACCCATCAGACAACTGATGATCAGTTGTCTGATGATTGCCTAACGGCATGAAACTCAGAGTTACAACCAACCTGAACGTCCTCCGCTGAGTCTGCTATGTACTAAGCTCTGTCTCTGACATTGAGCACTCTCTGCAGCTCGGGGATCAACGGATTTGTACCATAATATTATGTTTACTAGTACCTTCTGGTTGGGAATGGGAGTACACGTACTCGGATTTCTGGATATTATATTACGCGTACTCACTGTCAGACATGTTGTGAAACGAGCACATCACGAGAGTTCATTACGAGTGTGTGTGTGTGCGTGCGAATGTACAGCCTGGGCGTCCCGGACGAGTCGCCCAGTCAGGTAGGCCAGGCTAGAGATGCAGGAACGAGTCAGCATCCTCATGGCATGCTCGTTGCACAGCTCACTTTTTAAACCTACCGATATCTTCTGCACAAGACCAGATAACTAACCTTCTCCATGGAGAAAGGTGCTGACCGGGCTTAACACCAATGGTAGGGATGGTCAGTGTCAGCCACACCAGCGGGAAGACAACGATAATACCAAGGATGCGCAGCGGCAGTAGAAACACACCGCCCAGTACAAGCTGTAGCGCAGAACAAGACAAAACGGAAACATGTCACGGCCATCACAACACAGTAACGTCACCATCTCTCAACGCCCTCCTCCGTCCCCATTCCATCCCCCTCCCCCGCCACCATCTCTCAACGCCTTCTTCCGTCCCCATTCCATCCCCCTCCCCCGCCACCATCTCTCAACGCCCTCTTTCGTCCCCATTCCATCTCCCTTCCCCGCCACCATCTCTCAACGCCCTCTTCCCTCCCCATTCCAAACCCCTCCTCCGCCACCATCTCTCAACGCCCTCTTCCCTCCCCATTCCAACCCCCTCCCCCGTTTACCGTTCTTAGATAATAATTGAAATCTCAGCTGCTACTTTATTTCAAAAGAGCGTATAGTTCTAAAAAATAATAATTGCTATCAGGTTCTCAGGGAAAGAAAAACTACAAATCTCAAGCTATTCTTCACCATCATCAATAAGGACTCCGAAATTCATGAACCAGTTTTCGGACATTCTCTTCATATGACATACAAGCAGCCAGAACCATTAAAACATAGGGATACCTTGGGATAAGTAGCATCACAAGGGTGGTAATCATTACAACTAGGTGATAAATTTAGCGAAGAATTTATGCACAAGGGGAGGTAAGAAAAGGGGGAAAGAGAGAGCCACGCAGGCACATGGCACCACAACGAACCAGGGCAAACCCAAGGCGGCAGCGCAGCAAGGAGACAACCCGTGCGTATCACTCCTTGCTCCTCTCAGCCAGGAGAAAGGCGATCCGTGAGAAAAGCGCACTGGCATGCTTGCCATAGCCACCAGAGGCAGAAAGCACAACCGGCACGAAGGAGGTATGCTCGACTCTGCGTACCCGCTCTTTATACTTCCGGCGCTTTTCTTGTTCATGGTGTATGTAGCTAGCAGCAAGGGAGGTGGCAAGATTCAAAGACGCAAAAGGCTTGAACATCCGTACATCAATAAAGATGCGCTTGAATTGCCCATCCCACACACCACTAGCCGCAACGTCTAGCCGAGCCTGCTCCTCCGTGACGGCTGTGCGATGGCGGAAGGCCTCTCCGGTGACGGGCTGGAGGTGGGGTTCCACCATCATGTTATGAGCGACCTGCCCCAAGGCTCTGGCGGTGATGCCCCTCACCTCGTGATGGTGCAGCGTCGGGGAGCCACCAAACGGGCACGACAGGGCGTGACTGACATTCAGCGGCTTGCTGCACACGAAGAGCCTTGGGAGCTGAGGAGGTGTCCAGCCGTACCGGAGGCATAGGCCATCCCGGAAGTCGCCCTTGGTGAGGGTGAAACCATGGCGGCTGAGGGGGTCAGCCAGCTGGATGCACCCTTTTCTGAGGTCAGGTTAAGAACAGGGGCCAGCTCTCGGTGATCCGAGCGAAGTGCGTCAGACATGGACTTGGCCGCGCTCCGCAACACTAACCATCGCCTTGACTGTCCGGAGCTGAGTCAGAGAGTCGCCAAGAGATGGCTCCTGCTCCAGCAGGCGAGACACGAGGCCAGCCATGATCCTTCTGGACGAGGTGTATTGCTCAGCCATTGAACAGGGGTTTGCCATACCCAGTCCCCCAAGCCGGCATGGCAGAGAGAGAGTAGGCAGCAAACAGTTGTCCCAGGTGGAGCTTGACCTGTGATGGTCCGGATGAGCCGATCGCTGATGGCGTGTTCCAGCGGTTCAAGAAGGGACGGCGGGATGGAAGAGGTTCGGCAGAGGAAGGACCACTTGTTTTGTAGGCCCTACGTGAATGCGGAGTAGGCGGCTTGTGGTTGCGATTTTTGGATTGGATTGGATTTTTATTTATAGTGGTGACTATAACAGACAATTGCCTAATAACAATAGACACACTCGAGGGAAAGATGCAAAAAGATATGAATAATTAATATAATAGACTACCGGTATTGGATAGGTAATCATGTTCGCATTTTGCATAGCTGAAAGTCATAAGTACTAGCGTGAAAAAGCAAGGCATTGGGGTAACAGTTTCTTAAAACGGGCGGAGTTATCCACACAGCGAGCTAGAGGGTGCAAATCATTCCACAGCTTAGCACATTGGAAGGAAGCGCCATGACGGGCAAAGGCAGTTCTGAGCATGGGCAACTTAAGAGTGCGATGCAGCGATGGTCGTGAGCTGTGCAACTTCCTCGCACCAGGTGGTGACCTTGGATTGGACGAATTGTTCCACAAACTCATCCGTGCCCAAAGGTGCACCGAGGTGGAGGCACCCATCACATATAACCTGTACACCGGTCCCTTCGAAGGTCTCGACAGCAGCTGCGTACTTGGAGGGCTTGACGAGGAGGAGCGACTTCTGCGCATTGCAGTGGTAGCCATACCTGGGAGCATGGCTGACAAGATTGTCCCACCATTGGCGAACAGGCGTTCACTTCCCACCGGCTGCAGCATCGTCTGCATACCAGCCCTGCTTCACACCGGCCACTGCAACTTTCTTGATGAACGGGAGGACTCCAAGCGCGTACACTGACATGGCCAGAGGGTCACCCTGGGTGGTACCCTCGCACGACAGCAAGCACTCTCCATCAACGAATACTGTATAACACCTTTATTTCGGTGTAATTTAAATTTCGGTAACTTCGGTACTGGACCTGGATCACCTAATTTAACATTACAGTCAGACCTCGCTTAACCGCACACATCCGTTTTCCACAAAAATGTCCGGATAGGCGAGGGAACCGGATAACCGAACACCAGTTATGTAGGATGCATTGCGTATGCTGTAGATCTGTAACCAGCTATTTTCTTCCGGATAGCGAGGGATCCGGATAAAAGAGGACCGGATAAGCGAGGTCTGACTGTACACCTAAATTTTCCGAAATACCAAAAATATGTAAAATCATGAAAATCACTGTCGAATTTAAAAAAATCAACTTGTATACTGGTATATGGTATAGTACATGACATAATTATACATGTACATGACAAGTCATGTACATGTACATGGATGTGGAACCTAGCTATTACATTTGTAGTGCAAGAGCCGTTTTTTTTTTTTTTTTTTTTTTTTTTTTGGTGCCACATACCGAATTTATCCTTACACCGAAAGGTCAGGGGTTGGCTTTCACCGAAATTTTACAACACCGAAAATAAGGTGATATACAGTAGGCGGGATGGTTGTCGGTAGGTGTTGATGACAGCTGGCGCTATAGACAGACAGAGGTGACGGATGTTCCTTAGGCAGGCTTCACGGTTGAGGCGGTTGAAGGCGTTCGAAGCATCGGCGAGCAATATGGCATCCGCATCCTCCTCATGGTGGACATCATGCATCGCATGGATGGCAGCTTCAATGCCGCACTCCTGACCGGCACATAGTTGAAGGGTGCCCGCTACATCCAGGCGCGTACGCAGGGGGGGGGGGGGTTCCCGTTGCCCGGAAACCCCCCAAATGTTCCAAACGAGCAACGTTTTTGGGCTTTTTTGGTATGGCGCACGATCGATCTGGCAAGAATGCGAAACTTCAACAGATCGTAACTCAGTCAAATCTCGTTCTTATCCAACGATCCAAATATCCAGGTCGAATAGAAAACTCTCAGCTGTCGGTTGAAACAATTTGCGACGCGCTGCGAGCTATGTCTCTTGAGATAAATCATTTGTAAGTTGAGCCGCGATCTCGGCAATTTCAAAATCGCGCAGAGCGACTTGAGTATCGAGAATTTGAGACTTTTCGTCACCCTGACTTACTCAAATTTCCAGGGGCTTCACTGCACTTGTGATATTTTCAAGAGTACACAGCAAAAAATCAAAAGTCTGCGATCAAGAAAAACGAAATCGCTGGAGCAGGACGCGTTTGGGCCTTTGGGGCATTTTCGCATCGTCGCTGCACTCCACCGCTATCGCTGGATATGTACATGACTGTACTGTGTCCTGGCTATCATGGTCGACCTCATTCTCTCCCAGGTACCTTTCCACTTCCAGGAAGCCCAAGATAATGAAGATTGAGAGAGTAGAACCGAAGTTATGATCAAAAGAACACGAAAAAATGTATAATTTTCAAAATTTCCTAGGGCTCTTTACAAAGGGTTAAAACTCATTGTTTAGGATTCAGTTGGAAACCCCCCTGGAGGTGACCCTGTGTACGCGCCTGACATCATGGATCTCTCCCTGTGACCAAGGTGACAGTGAGGACAGCTTTGCCGACAATGCGCCTGACCACTTCGCCGATACCAATGGGTCGAACACCCGGCAACTTGCCAAGGGCTATTAGTCTGCATGTGACGAACGCCTCCAGTGTTGCTGGGTTGATGTATGTGGTAGTGATGCGACGAGCGCATGTCGCAAGCGAGTTACACAGCTCATCCGACGCTCCGGAGAACGCTGTGCACATGCACTGCCATCCATCAGTGTCCACGCCCGATGGCCCAGCCGCGCCGTGGGTGTGCAGGGCGGCCCGGCGGATGACGTCACGAGTCAGGCTCGAGAACATCACACTGTGGGGCTGAACAGGTGGCTCACCCGTGAGCAGAGACTCCGCATCAACCGGGTCTCCCGCCGGATTTTCGCTGACAAGAAGGTCGCGGGTGGTGTCAGTGCCGACAGTGGTGCCCAGGCTGAGAACTCCATTACGGCTATCATTTGATAGCTGACGGAGGGCGGATGGTAGGTTGCCAGAGGACGCATTAGTGGCGAACGCCCTTGCCAGGTCAGGGGGGGGGGTCGATCGGACGGCTGGCTGGTGCCTGTCCTGGACCTGCTTCTAGATGTGGTTGACTCGCGGAGCAGTTCCGGCAGGCTTGCTGTTTGCCAAAGTTCGAGACGTCTTCTCAGGTTTTCCTGTGGAGACGGCTTGGTATGGTTGCCCTGCGGGTTCTGTAACATCAGCTGTGGGAAGACCACCGCCGCCTTGAGTGCAACATTTTCTGACGCTGAGGCACTGCCAAAGCTGTGGAACAAGGCACTCAGCTGGGAGGTGAACGAGCGACCGACGGTGCCCTGAGGAACTGGGAACAGGTTGGGGTGGAAGTGGACAACCACCTCATACGCCTCAACGTTGGCGGCCACAGAGTCTTCCCCTGGCCAGTTCTCCAAGTCGGAATGCGGTGCGATCCAGTGATGGGAAGGCTGGTAGATCAGGGACCTCTCCAGCGCCCGCAGACCCAGCCGGGCCCCCAGTGGCTGTTGCATCTGTGTCGAAGTTGGGAGTGCTAGAGGGTTGGCTGTCACCGGCATCCAGTGTGGCCAATAGGTGCGCTGCCTGGCTGTTGGTGATGGTGCCAGGCAGGGTCAGCGACTTGGATCGGTCTATTACTAGCCGAGTGCGACTCCTCATCTGTCACGTCCAGATTCGGCGGCGCCGCACTGCTCGCTGACCTGCACTCCGCCAGAAGGGCGTCAATCCTACTGGAATCCACGCTGGCATCATCGAATTGTATGGTTCGAACTGTTCCCGTAGCATCATGCTGCACCGTAGCCGTATGGTTGTCGGTGGCCATTGACAGCTCCGGCTGGGGTGGAGAACGGACGGCGGAATTTTTACAGCGATCCTTCTTTGACGGAAGGCAGCTCCAGCATTTCCACGCCACCTTGGTGCAGTCACACCTGACGCAGGTGCCGTTGCCGTTGCACCGGCAACACCGGCCACTCTGCATCAGTGTGAGTTGCGAAAGGGGCGCCAGAAACCAGGTGAAATTTATCCTTCGAGTGAGAGCTCAAATTCCCATCCTACTACTTCAGTGTAGTGTAGTAGAACGCTTGTGTACCCTTATATTGGGGACAAAGGAAACCGTACAGATCAAAGAACATGGGGGGGGGGGGGGGAGAGAGATTATCGTATACAAGGTAGACAGGCAGAGAGTACAATGTCATGTACATAATGTCCTACCTCGACAATTTCTAAACCAGAAAACGCCACGCGGTGCTTGAAAGGATTCCATACCGCGGGCTCGGGGAACCTTCTAACCATTGTTGGAGAGTTGACTTCTATGTCTAGGAAACGGATACAATAATGAAATGTGTTGTAAAGTTGACAGATTTGAAGAGAGCTGGAGCTGCAGGTAGGCTGGCTAATCTCAACTTTGGTAGGTCAGCATGGTCTCATCTAACGTGTGGGTGGAGTAGCCACTTGCTAACCGAGCAACAAAAAATAGGGAAGACATAAAAACGTCCAAGACGTTGCTTGTTGTTGAATATGCGCGTACCGGTAATCATGGACCGGTAAAAAGAATAGAAAGTTAATAAAATAATTAGCTGGTTTTGAGGGCCAGAGACAAAGTACAAACGGGAAAAGTCAAAATTAATAATTATTAATTAAATTTCGCGGGAATCTTACGCATAATAACAAGAGTAGATAAACAAGAGTGTGCAACTCGCGGATGGGTTGGCCCACGGCGGAATTTTTTGTTGACGTAATCTTTTCGACGACGCACGCGCTGCGAGCCTTTTGGAGAGTTTTCCCTCGTGCACTTGGCTGGGCTTTATACTACAAGGTCGGTGCCCAGCACGTGCTCTCACACTGCTCTGCGGCAGAATCCGCGTTTCTCTGAAAAAAGGTGACGTAAACAAAAAATTCCGCCGTGGGCGCCGGCGCGGGGTATCCGCAGATTGTGCAGGAGAGATCCGGAGTTGCACACTCTTGTTTCTCTTGGTTTATCTACTCTCACGCTCTTGATAAAATATAACTTATAAGTGCATAATGCAAGGCGTCACACGTGACCTGCGCAGCTACAATTGTAGCTGCATGCATGCATCACTGCACTCACAATCACTGACACTGACATGTATTTTTGCATGACTCTCCAAATGGCAAACTAAATTTAATTTCAATGAAAAATGTGCTGCCAATCAGGGCATGCAGGAGACCTTTTTCATACTGAAGAGGTGCTTTGGAGTTTGGAGTGATGAAGACACCTACATGTAGTACCTACGCCGTAACATGATAATATTGTTTTGCAGCTCGAGTAGCTAGCCACCAGGGACGAAAGTTTCGTTTTTGTAAGTTCCTGATTGTGAAATGAGGAATGACTATGTGGTCACCAATTCACACCAGGTAAGGCATTTGCACATCACGGAGACTCAAACCGCTTTGTTTAGTGGTAGATCTATAGAGTAAAGCTTCATCTTTCCAATTCACGAGAAATCATTGGAGTGCTACATACCGGTATGTGCCCCATAATAACGCTAGCCCGAAAAAACGACGTGCAAAGGTTATTCTGATTTTATGAACATAGACTATTGTCATTTGAGCATTCTCTATTAATTTTGTCTTGAGCTGTTGTGGCACGTTTCAAGCACCACTCCGGGTGGGAAACTATCAATTTTGTATCGAAATTACTGGAAAAAATGAGCTAAATAAGGAACAAAGATGGGATATTTCATCAGCTACGGTGTAAAATACATTTTTCCTGAATTACTTGCCGGCCACTAAGTCGCATACCGTATTTCCCCGAATATAGGTCACGCCTTTTACACTAAACTTCAGGGCCAGCAAAAGGGGTCCGACTTACACTTACAGTCGAGCATGATTACTACTCGGAAGTGAATACTAGTATATCGAAACGATATACTATTGTGCGAGCCACAATCACAAGTCAACCGACACTGTACATGTACATGCATGCGATTTTCTCCGTCCAGCATAGTGAGCTGCGTTCATTGCAGAGGGAGGGGAGGGGTCCGAGTACGAAATGAACGATGTTCGTTTCAGGGACGACAAAAAAACTTTTGCGACGACCCCTTTATGAGTATCACGTATGAACAGCGCAGCTTTGCTGCATTCATTCACATCAAAATATCTTGCCTGCTCTCTAACTCTTTTTTCTTGCGTTGTTTGTTACCTGGCATGAATATCAATCCATGGGATGACATGAGGTAGCAATTTGTGTTGCTGCGAAGAGATTGCATCGATTCCGTGTTCATGTTCTTGTGCCCTTCTGGTTTCAGCGTGATGACTTCCGCTGTACAAGGTAATGGCATAAACCACTACTGCGCAGTACATGGCGTCTCTCTGCCTATGGACTGGCATCGGCTGAAGAGAGAGAGCACATGCTGCTGCTTGCTGGTTTAGGTTATATCATCATCGTCATCTCATCAGCCCTTTCGCCTTGGCATCGGTGTCAGCCTAGCCTTCGCTTGGGCACACCCAATGTTAGACATGATACCAGAAGAGAAGGGGAGATAAAGGGAAAGAAAGCAAAAACAGAAAACGCAATCTTTCCGATCCTATCATGGGCAACAACAATCACACGTTGCCTCCATTCTGTTCACATACAGCAATAGACAGACAACAATAAACTGCCTATTTTTAAGCAGCATGGCAGTTCTTTGCTGCCAACAAGCGCTTGGCCAGGCGGCTAAATCCAATGTGGAGATTGGAAACGCCGGTGACATAGATACTGCAAGCAACTTCCATCAACTGCATTTGAGAAACCACCGGCAATCCGGATCTGTTGCCATCCTCGTGTGGATCACTACGATGAGTCACGCAGACTAGGGTCCACCTGATAGTTGAGACAGTGAAGGCACTGCTGTTGACACTGACGGCAGCGAGCCCACAGTGGAGATAAATTATCTCCACTGTGGGCTCAGGCAAACCACACCTCCAGAATCACTAATGTCTATGCACAACAGAGAAAAAATCCAATAGCTGGTGCCTCTTATTGCATAGGCCTGACCATTTGAATGTTTATGTCACTGTTTCTCTATACACTACTATACAGTGTACTGTCTAGAATGCAAGGAGTGTGGAGAAAAGTATGCTGGAGAAACCAACTGAAGCTTGGCCACGCATGCAGTTGAACAATGCTGATGCCCGAAATCAAGAGTACATAAACCTACTAGTTAATGACTCGCCTTTGCTTCGTCTCATACTGGTCCACATGTGATGGCAGTCTGGGCACGTACTGCGACTACTGCACCGTGGTCCTGTCGGTATTCTGACAAGTTCTGGAGCCCCTCTACTCCGGAAACAGTGAATTCCATCAAGATTCGGGGTGCGTAGCTCGTATGTAGTCAGCGTAGTCCGGTCACCACACCAGCAAATGGTTGCCGTAGTTACTACGCACTACATGGTCAAAGTAGGCAAAATAACGGCTATGAGGTTGCCGATGGTACCTGGTCACCACACCACGGACGTGCTCTGAATGACTGATACATGGTCACCACACCACGGACGTGCTCTATACATGGTCGCCACACCACAGATGTGCGCTGATGCATGGTCACGCAGTGGGTGTATATGTGTGGTCACCGTGCTCCACAAACATTTGCCATCGTAAACTCGCTGGTTCTGAGAGATTGCAAAAATTTAGGGACGCAAACATTAGGCGGTTTACACTAATTACCGTAATTTGACACTCATAATCATGTCTCTCTTATCCGGGACCGTTACGTTTCCACAATTGGCAAAAAGTAGTAATACATGTATTTCCACTGCTTTACTCACTTTTAAAACTGTTACAGGATGTCTGTAACCAGGGAGTAGTACAACACTATTGTACTACTCTCTGCCTGTAACATTGAGGTCCGGATACGAAAGATGCCCTATGAGTGTAAAGCCTAAAGGGTTGTCTTGTCTCGGGACACTTTCATTGCTGCCTATACAGCGTATGCTGTCCCTGCCACCAGTGCAGTCAGTAGTTTCGAGATACTGTTTTAGATATCAGCATGACTGGCTGCATTATGTAGTCTCTTTCCGCGCACACACACACTCACGTAATATCTGTTCACATCTCCCACTTTCTTTCTAGCACTATGGCTTATTGCAAATAACAATGACGTGGCAGACTACAGCTTATCAATCAAATTTATATCAGCACTCAATCATATACGCCTGCACCGTACAGGTAGCTATAAAAATACTTCGAAGTATGCCCAGAGCAGACAAACAAGATCAGCATAGCAACACAACAGACAACCAAGCTGTAGTGCTTAGCACGGGTCAGTACTAACGCGAATAGCATGATTCCAGCACGCCACACCCAGCAGCAGCGCAGGACAGCTAACGTTTCCGCTTCTTAGCAGCTCTTTTGGCAGCCTCGTATACTTTGCGGCCTTTGTTCAGCAGCTTCTTCTCCTTCCTTATCTGGCGCAACCTGACAGCCTGCGCTTTGTGGATTTGGCGGCGACGCACTGCAGCTTCTGCCTTCCACGCCTTACGATGGTGTTCCCAGCCCGACCAGCATTCTGGGCTGAAGCGCCTCAGAACCGGCAGCCGCTCAGCATGTTTGGTATTTCTGCGCACCAGCAGCAAGTTGTATTCCCTCGGCTGGGTCAGTAAGGCGTCCTGCACTGACATAGAGCCTTCTGGCACTCGTTCAGTGCCCACGATCAGGCAGAATGTCTCGGGCTTGAAGCCCTTTATCTCGAAAATGCCCTCATCCCTCGGCAGCGTATCATAGTGGGCCAGACGGGTGGATAATGCCGTCACACTGCCGGGTTGGTGAAGAGCTGGGAAAGCTGCACAGCGCACAATCAAACCACACACACACATGCACACACACGCCCACACGCAGGTTTATTACATAGTATTACTACAGTAAAACCTGGTGTAAGCGACCTCTGGTTTTAGCGACCACCTGCTTTTAATGACCGTTTTTCCATGCACAGACAGTTCTACACAGAAACTGCACCGGATACAGCGACCACCTGCCTTGCGCGACCAGCGACAAACTTTTAGTGTACCAAGTGCCATATTGGACCTGCACCCAGCGACCAAAACTATCCAAAAGTGCTATCTTGGCTGGCAGGTTTGACTGCAACAGGGTTGAAGTGGGCTCTGAAGCAAGGCATGCCTTCAGCAGAAGTGACAGTGCAGGATGCGCTGCATGCACTCCAATGAGGTGTTCTTTGCCTGCACGAAAGTATTCTATGCTCCACACCTGTCAATATGAGAACATGGAAGTACAATTATGCATATGTATGTACACAATCCCATATGCCACGAAAGTATGGGACCTGGTTCTACTGGCTTTAACGACCGCTTTTGCTTGCACCGTGGGGTGGTCGCTTAAACCAGGTTTTACTGTATGTGAAGCAAAGTGCTGCTCAATGAAATCCAGTCGCGTCACTCAAGTTTGCGCCTTGCACCATTTCGCAGCCCAGTGTTCGCAGGTCTAGGACTGCGCAACGCCCGGCGTGTACTTGAATGACTCGACTGGATTTCATTGAGCAGTACTGTAGTAGGAATTACCAGTACAGTGGAACATTGCACTTGATAAAACGAGGGTGAGCAGCAGCTTTCAACATGTCCATTGGCCAGAGAGCGCATGTGGTGGAGGTGGAACGAATTCAGTGATGACGCACGTTCTGCTTAGCTCCACGAGAGAGAAGGTCGATCAACGCAGTATCATAACGTGGCGTATTGAAGGACGGGTGAATAATGACAATGACAGTAACCTGATGTGACACACTTGTCTTCTCACCTTTGCATGCATGACTTTTTTTTATTGCATGTACATGTACACCTTGATGCAACCTGATGTGACACTTTTTTACCTTCTCACCTCGGTATGCATGTGCTTCATCTTGGTTACAGCGGCACCTTGGTCTTCTCACCTGCGCTGTGGCGTGGGCTCCCATTGACACGTCTTCCCTTCTTCGGAGCGACAGGACTTACACCCTTTTTTGGCGGAATGCCCTGTATATAAACCAGGACCGCCGGAAGCAGTTTTTGATTGGTCCGGTAGTATTGTGGCCTTTCATAAATGTTGGATACATCTGCCCTCCACAGTACTAAACACATGCTGGTGGCCAAAACAGTTGGTCCGGTAATAACCTGACCAACGGGACCGGTTCCGGCGGGCCTGTAAACTGCTCCTTCGTAGCTGGCACAGTATCATTGTTCGGTTACCTGATGATGGCCATGTGCCGAAAAGTTGTTTAACATTGAATGGAATTGGTTCAGATTTGCAGTAAGACTGGAATGGGTGTGTCCACCCAACCCTCCTTTCTAAGTTCAACAATCACCAGTAATCCTTGGCCTAGCTACTTGGCATTTTTCAGTCAGTTTTTCCTAGCATCAGGTTCTAGTGGGTGCAGTCCTATCTAAAGTTTCTGATCTTCTGATCCTGGAATATCTTGTAAATATTCTCATGATTGAATGCACGTAAGGAGTGAGCTTTACTCAGTGATTCTGAAGTACGAAATGGACATGGCTCACCTGTCTTACTCGACACCCTTCCAGCGGCAATCCCACTCAGGGCAGATACATTGTGACCCACTGCAGTGAGTCGCAGCAAAGATCGACACACAAGGCCGACCAGAGCCATGCAGGATGATCAGCATCCAAAGGAAACTCTATAAGTATAACTAATACCTTGATTATTTTTAGTAGTGTACTCAACGACGTTACATCTGGACAATCATCATGGACATGGTTGAGGATGAAAAGAAAAAGCAAAAAATTCTACTTGAACGATGATGACGATGACGTACGTGCCTCCTTTCAATTATTATTTTCATGCGCATGACGTCATCAGCTGACTCAAAATAATCATACATCATGTACATGCATGGTACATTTCAAGAGTACAATCACGGTTATGAACTTATGTACTCTTGATGAAGGTCCTTGTTTCCTTTTTCAAGTACATACCGTAATTGTACCAAGACTGAAGTGAAGAGTAAAATAATTAATAAGCGTCCAGCTTATGTACATGACTGTACTCTTCAGGAAGTTGGTGTACTCTTGATTGTACAAAGGAAACCATGTACATGACTGTACATGTACTTGAACCAGGGAGTCATGAAAGCGGCACGCTAGGCGTATACAGTGGACATTGGATTATCCAATATAACCAGGGAGCCCTACACACATACAAAATTATTATGTGTATGGCTCCCTGGGTATAACAACACTCATTCGGGAGAAAACAAAATGTCGCTATATCAGTATACTGTCCCCGGGGAAAATTGCGGAAAAAAATCGCAAAAAACGCGGGGGAAAAACGCGGCATAATATGGCATAATTTTCGGTGAATTTGCGGTAAATATGCGATAAATATGCGGTGAATAATATTGATGTGCGGCAATTTTCGGTGAGTATGTAGTGAAATCAATCAGCTACAAGTCTCTGGTGTAAGCACTCGTCATATTTGAGTAAAAAGCCGCCACGATGAGACGTTGCTGACCGAACAGTGCACTGTGTGTACGTGTAGTGCAACAAAAAAGTTCAAAAAACGCGGGAAAATCGCGGAAAACGCGGTCTTTTAAAAAATCGCAAAAAACGCGGAAAAAAACGCGGCCGCGGAATTGCAATTTTCCCCGGGGACAGAGTATAATCTGTCACTAAACCCGATGTTCAAATTTGGCATGCAATATGTACATTGTATATCAAAATGACAGAAATGTATTGCAGATATGCATGTGCATAATAATGCATAATGGATTTCCACTGTAGTACAGGACTGTAGCATTAAGTATAATACCACAGGCAACCTCATAGTCACCATTTCGCCTATTTTGCTTGTAAGTGATGTAATACATAATAATTATTATGATGGTCATCTTCTGGCGTGGTGGCCAGACTATGCTGATTACGTATACGAGATACGTGCCTGAGTGGCAAGGATATAGGGGAAAATATCTGTAACCATAGGTGGTCATCGGAGCAACGGTGCTGGCTAAGGAATCTACTTCAGTACAGCGCCCGGCAACAGACTGTAGATAGCATGTGTTGTGCTATAGCTGCATTAGAACGTTGGGCCACTGCACACGAGAAAGAAGCATCACATAATTATTATCTTTATAGTGACTCTACTTTGGTAAGTGTTGGGCCAACATTCACAAGCACGCCGGGCAGGAGAAGTTCAGTAAGGAGCTCATCGCAATCGGTCGAACTCCACAAAACAGTGATCAAATATCCGGACAACCCGTATAAACATAGAACCTAAACTACTTTTTTGAAAATAAACTAATGAATAAGATAAAAAGAGTGCGATTTAATTAAAAAAAATCCAGAGCAAAGAATCATCTATCGATCCAGAACAACGGACAATCATCTTTACTGTGTAAAGCCTAGTTCCATGATAGGGAGCATGACATTTTATGGAAGAAATTTGTATATGTGCAGGAAGAAAACAGGACTATTTTGTTGAGCAACAGAAATAATTATAATAGATCCAAGTTCTCACATTTCATGAGAACGAACGCAAACATCCTAAATACAACACCGAAACCAAGAGACAAGGATACAGCTCAAGCACTGAGTATACCCACACGTGCACATGCTTGGGTGGCGGTCTCAGAGGATAACCAAGTCCAAGGATGAGTAGGAAAGGGAGGGGGGGGGGGCATACTTCACATGATTCTCAAGGTTCAACGACGGGCCGTGGGATCCTAAAGTCAAGACAGCCATATAAAGAACTAGAGACGATAATGTCTTCGCAGCCATGGGTCCAGCCCTGGGCAACTCAGTACATGATAGCGGGGTGATGATTGTGAACGGGGAAAGAGGTATTCGCAGAGTGCAACAATCATGCACTTAACATTGTGTCAAAAACAAAACTGATATGCTTTAGTGCGTGTACAAGTCAACGCAGCACCGCATAGGTGACTCTTACTGGCGAGCCCATCTCAAATCCATATCCATAGCCGCCGGTCGGAAGTGTCAAAATCGCGATACTACTAGAGCATCTGGAGGAGCATGCCGCGGATAACATCAACCTGGTGCACACACAACCACATGCACACAAACACACACACACACACACACACACATACACACACACGCACACAGACAAAAGAAGAGGAGACACTGACATTGGCAATTGTTCATTGAGCACGAAACCGGTCTGATTGGCGATCACAAGGAAAGCACAAACAGAAATACTGCTCCTATGTAATAATTATACTCGAGTTGCTTTTGTTCTCATGTTGTACCCACACAATAGTGGTAAATGCGAAAATACTTCAAAATAGTAAGGAGGAATAGGGGTAGTCGCAAAAGTGTTTAGTCGTCCCTGAAACGTACATCATTCCTCTCATACTCGGAACCCCTCCCCACCCTCTGAAAAGAATACAGTTTGCTATCCTGGACGACGAAAATCGCATGCATGTACATGTATACGAACTGTGTCGGTCGACTTGAGATTTTGGCTCACCCCCCCCCCCCCCCTCCCCTCCAAATGAACGATGTTCATTTCAGGGACGACGAAAAACTTTTGCGACGACCCCTAAGCTATTCAGGCTAACAGATCTACAGTGTTGCTCAATGGAATCCGATCAAGCGAGTCAATACCACGCCACCGAGTGCTGCGCAGCCCTAGACCTGGGGACACTGGGATGTGTACTGGCACAGGGCTACGCACACTTGACTCACACGATTGAATTTCATCGAGTAGCACTGTAGTGCTGGTAGTACACATATGGAATGAACAGAGGCGGCAAAGAGCACGGGAGGTGGCAAATTTTTTCAATAGGGATGAACGTGTAAACAAGGTACAGTCGAATGTCACTTATCCGACCACTTCGGGAATCAGGCATGTTGGATAACTGAATATGTTGGATAACTGATATCATTTTTTATGTGCATATATGGCTGGATTTCACTGATTTATGTACACAATACCCAAATATATTCATGCATATTCATGAATTGCTCCATGTACACATACATGTTAGCATACTTGACCACATCTACTTCAAGTAAATGCATATTACACCGTATAATATACAAAACAAAAAAAATTAGAATTTTACTGTTGAGAGTCATAAAATTACCACTCCCGGGCTTGTCGGATAACCGACGTGCTCGGATAACGGGCGACCGGATAAGTGACATTCGACTGTACTGGTAGTACATTCATGATCGTCAAGACACTAAAGCGGATGCATGTCAGGGGGGGGGGGCATCATTTCATCAGTAGGAATTAGCCTATCCTATCTCACAACCTCCTGCATTCCTTTGCCCAAACAATGAGTTACACATACTTACGGTGAGAGGACCGTTAGGATCCACGATGAGCATGCCGCTTGAGTCTAAACAGCAGAGTACAAAGCGACAGACAGCATCAGTGCACACCGAAGACCGGAAGCAAATGCACGCACACACGCACGCACACACATGCATGCACACACACACACACCAGCATGACATGTGTACACCAGCGGATTCAATCACAGTACACCAGACCAGTATCCTGGTCAACAGTCTTCAACTCCAGAATGCCATAATTACGCCAAGAAAAACAGTAAACTGCACTCTTAATAGAATAGATATGGACATCTGTTAGAAAAAAAGACGCTTGCACCTTCCCGTCGGGATAAAATAGGCAACATAGACGGAGAATGTTAATCAAGGCTAGATCTAATAGTACATGTTTTCCACATGGCGTGATCGCATCGTATGATGCCAGAGAGGTGTAGCTCGCACATCTGTGGTGTGGTGACTATGATCACTGGCAACCTCATAGCTGCAAGGTCAAGTTAGACCCCAGCAAGGGTATGTACGACACATCCCACTTACCTAACTGCGACTTGTCTGCGACAGGTACATATTTCTGTAGAATGGTCAACAGGAATGCTGACCTGTGCACAGAAAAAAAGAAGATCGTGACACGAGTTTACAACATTCCGATGAGAACTACAGTTTACTCCAGACATGCCTTTGGCCTCTGGTTGGTGGATCTGATCTATCCTCCCCACCGTTTAGGAGCCGCATCTGACGCCTGATCATGGGGTGGTGGAGTCCCACGGAAGCGGAAAGACGGTTCTTGACCCGCCATGCACGCGAACCCGTGCCATTTTTTGGAAATAAGAAGTGGAGGACTTTAGGAAGCTGATGTCATCTCAGAGAACCATCTTTTGTCCACTGTATAGTATTTTGCGAACGGAGAATGTTACCTACTACTCACTGGTTGCCATGGAGTCGTACACAGACCAGTTCAGGTACGACTACATGCTGGTTGCACAGTCAGTGGTCGTAGAGCCAACCATGTACACATGCCCTGACAGGATTCTCGATACCAACGCTAGTCACATTGCATGCGTTGAGAAACTTCAGCTTCCTTTCAGACAGTCGATGGACTACGATAAAAGAACTATAGTGTGAACACTCCCCCTACCAGATTACCAGATCCTGTGTACGCCCCCGGGCACTCGTAGATGGGCAGGATGAATCTCGGAAAGACTGCCGATCGTACTCGCACTGTGTGCCTGCGGCAAGGCAAGCTGGATGAGCGGACCATGCAAGCCGTTTAACGGAAATCAAAACTCATGCCGCTAGGAATTACATGCCACACTACATTTACACGTGTTTGCTTTGTTTCCCAAGTAACATACTAAAGGATACCAGCCGGTTACGACCATAATATTCGGTAGGCTTTCCGTTTGAAAGTTCGGACAGCAGTTTGCGGTAATGGAGGAATCTTGCACAACCTACGTTAGAGAGGGTGGACGGAGCTTCATCAGTGTCTGCCAATATCTATGTAGTTGATTGTTCTGTGCAGGGTGGAGAAAGAATCACAGTCAAACATAAACACATACACATGCAAGCATTACTGTACGCAAGCAAGAGACTTAAGTGGGGAAAGCACAAGTGCACAATGCTGGCGAACGTTACTTCATTCCAACAAACACTGCACTCTGCAGAAACCCTCCGTCAAATATCACTTATTGGAGCACTTGCGAATGGGACCAGCAACGAATAACTGATAGCACTTTACACGCATGATTTCACTGGCTTATACACACTAAAACAAAGGAAAGGGGGTAGCCAGGCGGGAGGTCGGTAGGCCTTCAAACGAGTGTCTTTTTACATTTATATAAATGTTTGTTTTTTAGTACTACTAGTGCATGTACATGTACACATAACAACATTTGAGTACAGACGACTGCATGTACCGCGCGCAGGTTCATTTCACTTGCACGTGTGTGGGACTCACATGTCACGTACATTTGTAGTAGGGGCACTATATAATTGTAGCTGCACTGCACTACAACCCGCACCACTACACTGTACGTGCACTACGTAGCTGGCTCTACTTCATGTGTGCGTGCTTTTTCCCCGTGCTGGGGTCTGTGTGTGCATGCTTGACGAAGTAACTAGTTGACGAAAAACAGCAACAAGTCGGGAGAGGTTTTTGAGATTGGGTATGCGATCAGGGGATGTTTCAAACTCGAAAACAAAACCGCGAGGTCTCCCGGCTGGTCGGGAGATTTGGCACCTCTGATACAACATCCACAGGACACACACATGAGCCTACCTCAATCAGTGCAACAAGTATCATATGAAACAGTTCAGTGGACTGAGCAGAGCCTTTCTCCTGCAACCAAGTCCAGCAGGTAAAAACATACAGAGGCATATAAGTGGAGGCAATTTGTCTACTGCTGTGTTAGGGACCGTGTACTGTATCAGACCAGAGCCAAGTGTGAAACAGAAGCAAGAGAGACTAAACAGATATGAGAAAACACATGCCCAATACTGAAGCATTGATAGGCCTAGAAATATTTACATTGTCACCACCACATCACCACCATGCACACCCGGATCAAGAGAAGTACGCAAGCCCGAACATTAAGTGGAAGTTTGGCTTTGTGACACCCACACATACGCGTAGTCATAGTCATGGCTGCAATGCCATCATCTCAACATGATGGCTATTCAGTCCTGGAGAAGCACCAACTGTCCCTGCCCCCTTGCTTCCACCACCGATAACAGCAACAGTGACTTACCTCGTTGCCGGCCAAGACCCGTGCCAGTTCAAACACTTGTGACCAAAGCTGACGGGTTACGAGATACCGCGCTGCAGTCAGACCGCTCAGTGGTTGACCACTAAGCAGATCGGAACACAAGCATAGAGGTAGACACACAATACATGCGAACTCAGGTATAAAGCGCCGGTGCCACACAGAGTGATAAAGAGGAGACTAGCTAACTCATCAACACCCACCCCCCCCCCCCCACACACACACCCACACACTCAACACACCACACCCACACCCACACCCACACACCCAAACATGCATGCATGCACGCACAACACAAACCTTTTCAGCAGCAGCTTGGAATGGGCCAACATGGCAGCTTCAGACTGAGCAGTTGACGGCGATGTTGCCTTGGACGATGGCGAGTTACCATCTGGGAACTGGAGTGGTAGTGCGGCCAGAGCTCGCTGTACAAAGTAATGCTGTGCGTGGAGACAATGGGAGCACATTCAAAACATTGGCAATTCCACAAGACTATGCTACAGGGCGACGGGAGTGGAAGTTATACGAGGAGCTTCGATTGACTAAAGCACTGAGATCACACTTTATTTTATTTGCTTGATAAGATGTTTGGTGAGAAGGCAGTTGCCGCCTGTGCACTGGGTGACTGTAGAAGTACAGAATACGAGATATACAATACGATAACACATCTCTTTAGATTCTAAATGCAAACAAATCCTAGGCAGAATGCGCCACATGCATGATGTATCATATCAGCCAGAATGGTCATGCAGCCATGAGGCTGCTCTAAAGCAGACCAACACAGAAGACCGCTTCTTTTTAAAAACATCGTTGGTCAATGGAGAGCATGAGCGCATAAAAAATCAACCTACCTCTTTGTCATGATGGACGAACGCTGCGTCGACATCGTCATCATAGCGTATGACCTGCCCTGCAAACTCCACGAACGCCACCTGTTGCGCACAGGATAAACAGACACGGCAACAAACTCAACACTCAACACAGTCAAACACTAGGACACGGCATAGCACTTGGACCTACTGAGGGCATTTTACTACTCCCAGCTTGAGAGGGCCAGGGACACCATCAACCACGTGATGTTCCAGACTTACAAGCAGCACCACAGCGTACATTACTCTGCCCTGTTTGCTGTACAGTACTTCAGAAATACAGTGAGTATCGTTTATAAAGTGACCGGGTGTAACGATATACCGGCTATAATGATCGAACTCGCCAAAATCAAAATCAAATCACAAAAAATACAGCTAAAATATCACTATACACACTATTATCGGCTATACCGATATATCGCTTATTGTGATGGGCTTCAGGAAGCAAACCATATCAAATGCACAGGAAAATATCGTATATACTGATCAAGAGTGATGATCACAAAACAATTGTTCTTCAAATTTAGTTCATTTCTTCCAAAACTGATCCAGTGTTGCCTGGATGCATCTGGCAGCAGACGTGATTGAGAGAAAATTCTTCCCTGTATGCTGTAAGCAGCCACATGTACACGTGGCTGCTTTTCATGCTTTTTCCAGCATGTACGCATCATTTCATGCACAGTCATGTGCCATGTGTCAGTCATACATGCAAATCGGATATAGTGATGCACCGGATATAGTGATAGATTATCGAAAATCAAAGGGGCACGTTATATCCACTATTTACTGTAGTATCTTGTTACATTCTTGTAAGTTGTATGGTACGTTAGATGGAGGTCAGCTTTTAGAGCTACACCATTCCCGCAACAGATGCCCCCGCTCTCACTTTGCTTTCAACATTGATCGCAGGCTGACTGTAGCAAATGACTCCGATGTATGTCCGAGGGTGGCCTCTCTGATCCGTCCTCACCTTGAGGATCCCATCAGATTCTTTGCCTGCACCTAAATTATGTACTTTATTGTGTATCCTCAATGCTGCTGCAATCTTGAAATTTGAGCAAAATTGGAGAGAAGGTTTGTCACCACCAAATTCTTTCGCGATGTAGGTTTGAGCTACATTGTAAGAGCGGCGGCGATCATGGAGGTGGCAGGTTCAAGCTGTGCTTCCAGATTATCAATTGTCCAAATCCAAATCCAAATTCACTGAGCAACACGGTATCCACCATCTTCTTTGAGGCATATGCTTCCCCTGCAAATCTAGCCACTGCTGAAGCAGCAATTTCACAGACAGAGACCCTGCACCACGCGTCATGGAATGGGCACGATATCAAAGTTGTACTTTTTTTCAGACTCGTGTCTTTAGTCGCCCCAGTGGGTCAGACCTCGCCTCCATTGCCTCAAGACAAAAAAAAAGATTTCCAGGTGCCACCAACCGCAAAACCAGACGGGCCCAATTTACAATGTGTCAAGCACGTTCGATATTCCTCCCCAATATCTTCTTCAACTACAGTCAACTTTGCGTATAACGACACTCGGCGGGGCATCAGAAAAATGTCCTTATTAGCGAAGTCTCATCATATGTATTACACCTAGATGTGACTTTGCTCTGGGCATGGAAATTCTGTCGTTATTCGCAAATTGTCGTTATATCCGCAGTCGTTATTAGCGAAGTTGACTGCACAAGTAAATGTGAAACAGACATTGAAAATTTATACAAAAGAGAAAGACCAAGGAACTACAAGTTACGCTATACTGTCCACTAACACCACCAGTTACTAAACAATCAGCTCATGCGATAACATTGCACGACACTGACCGACGGTACTGACGACATGCATGAACATCCGCCAACGTCCTTCACAGCTGAGACTTTCAGCTCGTGCTTATCTTGGTTGCGCTCACCTTCCCCTCCTTATGTTATTTCTATAACTTAGAACCTTCCAAGTTGGAAGGCTGTTGGAGTGCGCATCCAAGATGTGCTAGAGCTGTTAGCCAGTTAGTTGTAGAACGTCAGTACCGTCGTTCAGTGTCGTGCAATGTTATCGCATGAGCTGATTGTTTAGTAACTGGTGGTGTTAGTAGACAGAATAGCGTAACTTGTAGTTCCTTGGTCTTTCTCTTTTGTATAAATTAAACCTTGGCTCTCCATCTGAGTCCAGACATTTAAAACTTACAACAACAAAACAATGAGACGAAAGTCGGCCACTTCTTTCCTTTTTTCGGTTTGTTTTCGTGCTCTAGAATAGTGGGGATGCGCACACAACTGCGCTATTGTCAAGTGCGTAACCATGCAAGGTGCCATCAATACCAAACACCCTTGCCGTAACAAAAAAAGGGCCCGCAGATGCACCGTGAGGCCGCGCGCATTATCAGGTACAATGTAGAAGTGCAGCATAACACAGTGATATTATCTCTGTGCACATAAGCACCTCCGTACATCGCTCACTAGCAATACACCAGCAATCTGAGCAGCTCAATAACAGCTCAGTTCACCCAAAGCAACGCACAAACTACGACAAACAGCACCTACAAGTTCGTCCGGTGAGATCGCATTAAGAAGACGGCATAATACATCAAACAGCGGAAATCTAGTGGTCACAAGCGAGTCCTGAACAAAGAGTCAAACAAAAGGCACACTCACACTCTGTGTTTCTGTGTTTGAATGCAGATGGTTCAGAACTCTAAATGAATGCAGGAATAAGACATTACAGGCACAAGACTATTCAGGACGAAAATCGGGTGCAAGTCTACATGCTGCTAGGGATGGGTCGATGAAAAAGGCCAGAAAGCCGATATTACTTGCCACAGCGGCACATACACTGGTGTCATAATACCTACCGCAGCTTGGAAGAACGTGTTATCTCGCAGCAGTACAGACTCCCAGTTCACCGCCGACTGGAAGTCATCCTGATAGACCGATGCCAGTGCTAGAGAGCAGGAGAAGAAGCAGCAGCAGCACCAGCACCAGCAGCACCAGACACAGCAGCAGCAGCAGCAGCAGCAGTGGAGGGGTGGCGGCACCAGCAGCAGCAACAGACACAGTAGCACCAGCAGCAGGAGAAGCAGCAGCAGCAGCAGCAGCACACAGCAATACATTATAACAACACTGTTGTTGTCATGTTGACTGGTTGACAAACAAGGATCATTGATACATGGACGGAGCAGCAACAGTGACAACATGTAATGGCACTACAAGTACAAGTACATGTACCTGCATCAACGCATTGAAGTTTTACACACCTTCATTGAAGTCCGGTACATCCAGGAATTCTTTCACGGACGCCAGCACTAGCGCAGGCGAGCGGTGAGCCAACAGATCTAGCTGAGCTTGATTCGCCTCGATGGGTCCACTCAACACCTGTTGGCTGGTGATCAGGCGTAGCACTTCGGTTTGCACCTCACCGGAGCTGCCTTGCGCCAGGGCTGCAGATTCGCCCGGTCCCAGCAGCTGTTCATACTGTTCGGCCAGCGACATGAACTCCTGCAGCAGCGGTACGATCTCCGCACTCAAGCTGGAGCGGAGCAGGCGACTTGCAGTGTCCGGAGAACTGGTCTTGTAGCGCTTCAAGTACGATGCGATAATGCTCACCAAGCGTTGTCGCTGGCTAGGGAACTGAAGGGCAGAAATACAACAAACATGGAGAAAGACATCATCAATAGTATTGATGTCTTGTAGACTAGCTACACTGTGTTTCCTCTTTTTGTAGTAGTAATGGTGTCTCTAGAAAATTTTCAAACAGAATTATCTGTGCTGTTCAGTGTACTGCCAACAGTGCACATTTGGTCACTCCAGTGCCCCTCATTTATAAATGATCTGTGGACCGGTCTTGATTCAATATTTCATTCAAAAATGAGGTTCACTGGAGTGGTCAAACCTGCACTGTTGGCAATACACTGAACAGCACAGAAAATTCTGTTAGATAGCTTGCTAGAGACACCACTACTCACTAGAGGAAACGCAGTGCAGCCAGTCTACACGACGAACAGTGGTGTTTATTATACAATGTGCAAGTAGGTCAGCAATATTGCGTTCAAATGTGCCGGTCAATAGGCGAGTCAATGCACTCCCAGTCAAGGGGCAGTAACATGCATACACCTACCTTCACCAATGCTGGCAATAACAGTGCTGGGCTCTCAAGGCCATCCACATTCAATAGCTTGATCAACTGCACAACAGCAGAACATCATCAAAGCACAACCCACTGCAAATCTTCCATATAATATAATTCACTGAAGGGAGAATATCAGCTTATGACAATAGATGTAATGCTGGTAAGAGCAAAGAAGTACAGGACAAGATGGCTACTATTTACTGCTGATTAAAAGATGACACCTACCTCTTCTGGAACTTCTTGTTGAATTTCACCATCCTTGTCTGGTACCTGCACAGTGCAACAACAGTAAGACCGAAACGAGACCAACTTGTCATCCCCAGCTAGAGTTTTCGGACAGGACACGAGTGCCAAGCTGCGAATATCAGCCACCAGACTCAAAGCACCTCCTGTACATCTGATTGACTCTCACACGCGCCGTGAAGTGTTAAAGGGGAAGTTAAGGCAAAAATTAAAATTTCACCAGTTGTAGTCTTCGGGGTGCTGAGTCGAATGGTCCTGGTCCGAGGAAGCTGAGATGCTCCCTTCCTACTTGAATCCCAATCGAACTCGCGCACTTCCACCGAAACTGGGTGACTGCGCCCTACTAGATGGGGATTTGTATGCAAAATGTCACTAAAAGCGCCATCTCGTTCTTATAAAAGCACGGATGACCGCGATTGGCCCATATGTTGTAGTCTTTTGGACGCTGAGTCGATTGGTTTTGGTCCGAAAAGGCTGCGATGCAGCGTTCCTCCTTTATTCCCAATCGAACATGGTTGAACAAGCGGTCACGTGCTCCTGCGTACGCCAGTCACCTGGCCACCGTGCCTGCAGGGTACAACTTACTAGCCTGTTTGACCTTTTTTGGGTGCAGTCCTGTCACTCGAGTTGAACCTTGGTGTGAAAGTTGTCGCCTGCTGGCGTGGGGACCAGGTGATTTGGGCACCCAGGAGCACGTGACCGCTTGTTCAAGCATGTTCGATTGGGAATAAAGGAGGAACGCTGCATCGCAGCCTTTTCGGACCAAAACCAATCGACTCAGCGTCCAAAAGACTACAACATATGGGCCAATCGCGGTCATCCATGCTTTTATAAGAACGAAATGGCGCTTTTAGTGACATTTTGCATACAAATCCCCATCTAGTAGGGCGCAGTCACCCAGTTTCGGTGGAAGTGCGCGAGTTCGATTGTGATTCAAGTAGGAGGGGAGCGTCTCAGCTTCCTCGGACCAGGACCATTCGACTCAGCACCCCGAAGACTACAACTGGTGAAATTTTAATTTTTGCCTTAACTTCCCCTTTAAGTACTGCAAAGCACAACGCTGCCGCATCTGGAATGCAGGGAGACTACACGGGCAACTGGAAAGCAAAACGATGTGGGTTTCGCTGCTGGGCTGCCCGTTCTAGTCGCCATTGCTGCAGGGCGGATTTATGCACGCAGGCATATGACATTAGGGAGGTTTAGTCCCACATAATCCGTGTGTACTTTACGTGTGTGTACCACGTGATACTCAGTGATCCACGTACAGCCGTTTTCTGATTCACGACATACCGTGTATGGAGGGGGAAAATTAGAATGGAGCGCATTGTGCAAGCTGTGAGGGTGCTCAGCTGAAGAAGTTTCTGAAGCACGAAATCAAAATATTCGATGAGCTTCGAAGATTCATCTTCGGCCAAGTTTGGGCCTTTCGCTTCATGCTTTTGTTTGTCCGTGTGACTAAAACAACATTGCGAACGGGGGGGGGGGGGGGTGCAGCTTCTTCTTTTTTCATAATCCAGGCGCATACTGATATTTAAAACGTCCGTAAGTACAGGATTCGTAGACTGAGCAGTGGCTGCAGAACTAGAAGCAAGCACAGCAGAGGCAGTATGGGAGTGATGCACTAGTTGCTTGGAATCGATGGCTGCTGACAAGTCGCAGGCAAGCTCCGCAGACGTCGGATCGTACGCAAACAAGCAAGCTGGATTTTCATGGCCTGATATCTCACAAACCTGAAGATCCTCAATATCAGCTTCCTGGAGAGCACGTACATCTACTTCAAGTACAAGCAAAAGGATTTTTGTCGTTCCGAATTAATGAAAGGATTTTGTGTTCGAAATTAGAAGTGAATCCATTGATATGCTGAAGTTACACTCGATGAAGCTCATGTGTGTCTGAAAAAGGTCGTGAAAGTTACCCATCTGCCACCCGCAATACTCCAGGATATCTCTAATTTCTCAGCACTGACCTTGCTGAGCTGAGAAGCGCCTTGTAGTGAGAAGCGTACGGCAGCAGCAGACTGATTCCAGTCCATGCATAGCTGAGCGGCACGGCAGCATCGTGTGACTGCACCCTCCTGTAATGGACAGGACACAGGCAGGGGCATACAAATAGAATACATGTATACATGCACACAAAGTCCTACCAAGCACTGGAGATGGCAATTAATACCCGGGACATGAAGCGCCCACGTGGCCGACCCCATCTCAGATGGATTGATCTAAAGCACGCCAATATTGATATTTCTGACTGTTTTGAACTGGCTCTAGACAAGAAAAAATGGCCGATGCTTGTGGAAAAATGTGCTGCGCTTGCGTAGTTGTTCTTACTGCGATACGTTCTAACAATAATGAGATGCCTTTTGTCGGCTCTTCTGCCTGGATTTCGTTGACAGATGCGTTAAGCCCATGGATCCTTCCATGAGTGACATGCGAACTGTAGCTATTATTATTATCATTATTATGCACACAAAAGCAAAAACACAGTGTTACTCTAAGACATGTTACTATAACGAGTCGCAAATTTAACGATTGTCCAAAATTCGTAGGTTAACGAGAAGATATGTTAACGACCTTGCAGTATTCCGGCATATCCACACACAACATATATTATGAAGCAGTACGGCCTCAACGGATCTTATTATAACGAAGAAATGTCATCCGTTAAAACGTTATATTTACTTCCTCGTTATATATACATGTCTTACAGTATCCCAACAAGACATCTGTGTCCGAGTTCATAAGGCACACTTGCACCGTATATCTGAAGAGCTAGCTCGATCGACCACACGGGCTTGACTTCGTTTTTGACGACGAATGTACGAGTGGAGGTCAAGTCAGGCGTGACGCCACTCGGTACTTCGGGACAATTTCTTTTCAAGTGTTCACCTGCTTCCAGTCATTGCAGAGAAAAACGAAGTACACCATTGTGATCAGGAGCCAAAGAACTACAAGATAAATTCGGAGGCACATCTGGAAATTCAGACACTAAGGCACCAAAAATGGTTACGTTCCACAATATGTCATCTATGCCATTTTGCTCCCGTCACCATTCGGTAGCAGTAACTTATGACCACATCCAGAATCACACATGAAAATACCTACATCTGGCAGATCAGTGGCGTCCGAATGCTTCATGATTGCTTCCGCTTGATCCAGAACTGGCTTGGCCTGAACGAGCGATAACGACAATGGTCATAGAAAGGCAAAACAAAGCAAAAAAAAAAACAGAATTGAAAAATGAAAATCCTAGTGATGCTGATTGCATGTGGAGTTGGTTTGCACGCAGACATTCAGCAGTGGTGATGGGTGGATGGTGGTGAGGGACTGATGGGTGGATGGTGGTGAGGGACTGATGGGTGGATGGTGGTGAGGGACTGATGGGTGGATGGTGGTGAGCGACTGATGGGTGGATGGTGGTGAGCGACTGGTGGGTGGATGGTGGTGAGGGACTGATGGGTGTATGGTGGTGAGGGACTGATGGGTGTATGGTGGTGAGGGACTGATGGGTGTATCGTGGTGAGGGACTGATGGGTGTATGGTGGTAACAAGAGTACATGAAAACCAGAGTGTGCAGCTCGGATGGGTTGCTGTCACGGCGGAATTCCGTGATTACATCATTTTAGTGATGTAGTGCAGGGGCGTAGCCAGGATAGTGATCAAGGGGGGTGCCACGACTTTCCCCAAACAAAAGCCTGGTACATGCACCTATGTTGGTCCTTTCATGCATATTATTCGATCCGTGAATTGGGGGGGGGGGGGGGGGGGGGAAGCAACATTCGCCCCTAATTCGACACTGAAGATCAATCAGTGAATGGCAAATCTCCAACCAGGGAGTAGTAATGATTATGGTATTTTACTACACCCTGGCCTGCTTCCAACTAATGATGGACTAAGTCCTGGATGCTGCTTTCTCCAGAATTATCACACTCTCCATCGAACTTTTAAAGTGGGATTTCTTGAGCCTTTTTTCCCCTTCGTCATGTTTGATAGTGCAGTAAGGCATCCTTGATCAAACCTACACTATTCCCCACAAAAACTCAAACTGCACTTCAACGTTACTTTCACTCTTCTACTGCTGTATCCACACTTGCAATGCATGAAAGAAACTATGCCTTTCCAAAATGAGACCAATTAACAGCGAGAACTACATTATACAAAACATAGCGAGAACAAATTGCAATGTCTGACATGTGCTTTCCGGCCATAGACCGCGTTGCTACTTCCTTGCTTCTACCAATGGCGTGTTTGTATGATTCTTTGCTTCTAACAAAACATGTGGAGTGCGATACAAATCATGAGCTTAGCCTGCTGAGGCCTGATGTGACACTGCACAACGGCAGGTACAAAGCGGAGTTCCCTTGACTAGAAATTTCAATGCAAAATGGCCAATCATGAGACAAAAATTAATACTCCACTGCATGTGGATTGGTTTCAGATACATTGTACTTGCAGGTCTGAACCAGGGAGTAGTACCTACTACTTCCTGGTCTAAAACAGGGATGGCTACAGACTCAGTGTGCGATGTGCAGAGTTGCGCATGTGATCAGCGGGTCTGCTATAGTCTCTCTCTCGACCCAGCTGTGAACCAAGATCGAAATTTTTGAGGGGGGTGCTTTGGCACCCAAAGCACCCCCCCCCCCCTGCCTACGCCCCTGTAGTGCGTACAAGCGGGATTCCAGCAGGTCTCTTTCTGCACAACTGCAACTCAGTTGTACGCACTACGCCATTTCCCGCCTCAGGTCTGCACCAAATATGATGTAATCACGGAATTCCGCCGTGACAGACACCCATAGCAGAAACGGCCCCAAGCTGCACACTCTGGTTTTCATGTACTCTTGGTGGTAATGAGGGTATGGTGGAGATGGATGAATGGTGGAGATGGATGAATGGTGGAGATGGATGAATGGTGGAGGTGGATGAATGGTGGAGATGGATGAATGGTGGAGATGGATGAATGGTGGAGATGGATGAATGGTGGAGATGGATGAATGGTGGAGATGGATGAATGATGGAGATGGGCGCAGAGTAGTTGATACCCAGTTCTCTTCTAAAACCATCAATGTGATCAATTACATTGTAGTTCACAATCACAATGCGGAGATTCGTACATTCGAAATTCAGTTTCAAATTCTCTCCAAAAAAAACCATGCCGAGGTGCTGCTCTATTACCGGCACACAATGAGCTTCACCTCCCACCCTTAGCTATCACCTACCTGAAGCATCCATAGCCCAGTGCAATTCCAGGCACCGACTGTAGAGGCTGCGGTGGGAAATTGCCACAGCTCGGCGGCCGACTTTGAGCCAGTCAGCTGCAGATCAATGGTGTGCCAGAGCTGACTGCCCGTCCGTACGTCAAACACTCTACAGGTACAGTACATGGACACATGCATGCACGCACACACGCACACACACACACACACGCACACACACGCACACACACGCACACACACACACACACACGTACGTGCACACACACACACACACACACACACACACGTACGTGCACACACACACACACACACACACACACACACGACAAAGTAAATAAAGAGATACACAAGAGAGATTGGAAGCTGTGTCACAACTCTGAGTTTCACGTATTACTACGATCATCAGGCAACCAAAATAAAGAGATACAAATTTTCTCTAGCAGATTGAAAAGAATACACTTGAAGATTACATAATCATTCAACATGCACATTTGGATATGGACTGTTGAGCAGCAATGGCAAAGACGGTACACATACAATGCACTCACCTTAATGGCTGGTCGGGTTGGGAGAGGATGAGGAAATTGCGCTGAGCAAGGAGATAAGCGACGTCGTCTGCGCGTGGCTTCTCCTCGCCGTTCCCCACCTCATGGCCGTTCTCGAGTGCAGACCACGGGTGGAGTCTGGCAGCTTTCGATACGTGCACATGACCTGCGTGGCAATGAAACAGAGATATGCCTAGCTGTAGTGTTCATGAGATCTGCACACTGCCGGTAGGTAGGCAGTGTAGGCAGTGTTCACGGGTACACATGCGCCGTGTCCCGTAAGGAAATTAAAGAAGTCGTTATGTGAAGAAAAAAAATTATGGTGGCTCGCGCCTACTTCTAAACTCGTCTTCTGCGCAGGTTCTCGCGCATCCTACGTTCGAGAAAAGTGCATGCAGAGTTGGCGTAGCAAGCTTGTAGCGCACTCCAGTTTCGAAGGGTCCAGCTAACGCAAATGCACTTGTATGAGTACTCGAGTCTAGAGAATGAGCTTTTTCTTCTTTTTCACTGGTGCAGATCAATCACTCGTACGAGTAGTACTCCTAGATCTTGCTTGCACTCACTCCTTCACTTTGGCTACTTTTCTTTTAGGTGCATTTTCAACTTGTGGAGATTGTCACCGGTCAGAGAAGTGTTGGGATGTCTCTTCCAGCAGGCACTGCCCATGCCCATGGTCGGCTTCGGAAAAAGAGCAGAATAAAAGCGTGGGAGTGCATGTGGATGTCTCGGAAGGAATGCGGGACGGCAGAGACGGGTACGTGAGTGTGTAAAACCTGAGTATTTTGTATTTTCATTGAATTGGTTCAAGTGCCTTGACGAGTCCCTTCCACAGTAGAATGCCATCCTTCACGAAATTTTCAAGAATGGCCGTTCTGTAATGATCAATCGACTCTTAAGCCAGTGGATTGTGGAGGTCGCCCTTGCATATAAATTGAAATGGTCACGGACGTACGAAAGTCGCTGTCCACCAAGAACTCTCCGATAGTTATTGCCACGGCTTCATCACAGCGGTACACTGAGTTTTTGTTGAGAAATTCCTTCAATTTATTGTCTTATCACTCAGTGCTTTAACGTTTTTTTTTAGGGTGCATTTGTTAGAGATTTATATTTACCGGTATGTGTTTCACATGACTCCTGACAAGATTAAGCATTTGAAAGCAACACATATTCTGGTTGACAGCAGCCATGCTCCCCAGGCTCAAGTGTGTGTGACAACGCATGGCAACTGGTAGAGTATATGTGAACACAAAGTCCACTACATACTCACAAACTCAAGTACATCACAACATTGTGCCTTCAGATCATATATTGTGCCTTCATATCTTTGACTAGCCCTAACCTGCCGTCTGACAGGTGTGTCATTGGTGAATGCACATGTATACTGTCTCTCTTCACAACTACGTGCATGTAACACAATATTTACAGTGCACGTGCAGTGTGTATAGCTAGATCAATGCACAGTAATTCCTAAATTGTGGCTGACTCTGTCACATTGTCATTTTCACGCGACGTACATTCTAAATCATCGAAAAAGCCGAAACATATTTCTACGTGCGCAGAAGACGATTGAACACATTCTTTCCTTGACATTGGTTGATGGCATCAGTCGCATCTAAGAGTGACACTCTATCTCAAACATATTTTACGCAATGCTCAACCATATTAATTTTTACTTGCGCTTGTTCATAGATAGATATCAAATATATGACACTTATATCCCCACCTTTTATAATAGAGAACAGAGAAGAATGTAGACGCTACCTTGGACAACCACCGGCACCGTGCAGGTGATACTCTGAATTCTGATTTTGAATTGTTGTCTTCGGATCATGGGTATGATCACGCAAGTGTGGAAACAAACCCCAGTTCTGAACCAACAATTTCCTGTACGGCAATGAGTGACGTTTCCCCTCACATTTACAATAACTACCCGTGTTCAGGTAATGAACAATTTTGCTAAACTTGATCCTCCCTACTATGATTCTTGCCTTGTGCCTTGCATTGAATAGCCTGACGTTGGATTTATTCTTTGTTCTGTCTTCTTTCTTAGTTTTCCTTTTTTGCATGTTCATGGAATAGATGTAGTAACGTATTGTTTGTGTGTTCGGAGTGCAGTAGTGTATTATGTCTTTCTTCTTTTGCATTCTGAAGAATACCAGCATTGCCCTGTTATTTTTCCAGAAGACAGTGAATTTCACTACTTGCCTACTGAAATCTCTAAGTGTGCAATTAGAATTCCGGCTTCACTCCTCCATGACAACTTAGTCGATTCTCTTATGACTGCTTTATTGAGATCCGAAGCTGTTCTTGGGCAGTATGCTGGTCATGTGACATGCCTTGATGTACGTGGTGACGGAAACTGTCTGGTACACTCACTAAGTTACTTGCTGTGGGGTTTGCAAGATGTGGACTACCGTTTCCGTGAGGTAATGCACTTGGCCATGGCTAATGCCAACGGTGAACTGTTCCGTAGGTGGAAACGCGAGGAACGCATGCGTGATGCCAGCAACGGCTTCAACTTTGAAGACGAGATATACCAAGAAAGGCGGGCTGACATTCTGAAACTAACACCTGTCCAGAATGGAAGAAATACACAATGCCCATCTCTGGAGCCTGTGCATGTCTTCCTGATGGCACACATCCTACAAAGACCAATTGTGGTGTGTGGTGGTGAGTTTGTGCTGGATGTGGATGGCCAACCAGTACAACAAAATCACTTTCCTGGAGTGTACCTGCCTTTGATGCTTGGCTGTAATGAATGCTCGAAGGATGCATTATTTGTGTGCTACAGGAACGGCCACTTTGCACCCATCCTTCCTGACAGCTCGTGCTCTGGGATCCCACTGATCTGGCACAATGGTTTATCTCTTTTGGTCTGCTACCTACTTGAGTAGGAGGATAGTCAGACTGCACTGGAACGATATGTTAGCCTTGCTGTCGTCTCCCCATTTGTTGCCAAGTGTCAAGCAGAGTTGGCACTGCCGCCTGTTATTCAAGCTGCTGTGGACTCCTTTGTCAACAAAGTAACCATGATGCGTTCGGCAGCTCCAGCTACTCCGACAAGCAGGAATAATAAAGAGAAGGCTTCCGTTGAGCTGGACAGCGGGTCACCTAGTGACAAATTCCCCGTGGTAGGTAGAAGGATAATTGATATCCGGTACTTGGCCAGTCAGCTCCGGAATGGGTGTACAATGTGTGGCCGTCACCTTCATCTGCACAACCGTGTAGGTGAAGTCAAACATGGGCTTGCCAGCCGGTTTGAGCTGTTATGTCGGCGGTGCAGCTATGCGACCGTGGTATCCACCTCCACGACGCACAGGCGGAAAGGTGTACCCCCAAAATACTGGACACGACAATTGCACCCTTTCTGAAACAGTCGTCACTTTTCGTCATAATTTCGCAAGTTTCTGAAACAGGCATCACTCGTTAATCCAACACTTGATAAGCCAGCACCCTCAACACACCAGTATAACCAAAAATGTATACCATAAAGTCGCGGATAAAAGCCGGGCTTATAAGCATATAAGCCGCTTTCTGCATCAGGCTTTAATGCAAACCAGGCTTGTATGCGAACCATGCTTATATGCACCACTAATGTTTTTGCCAGGCTTGTTAAGCACATCGGCCGATCCGGGCTTGCATAGAAGCCAGGCTTCTACGCGCGACACACGCGTAGATCTACCACTGACTACCGGTATGGCGACAGTTTTACTATGCACCGTACATAGCGCATGCACTCTTGATCTACCCGGTCCACGCTTGCATAGAAGCCAGGCTTCTACGCGCGACAGGCTTATATGCATTTGACCAGTTTGATTTTCAGGCTTCTATCCGCGATGTGCTTGTACGCAAACCCGGCTTTTATCCGTGACTTTACGGTATGTCCTTCCATGCCCATTTCAAATCAGATTTATTTCCTTAGTAGTTAGTAGTATCAAGAGTACATAACCAAGAGTGTGCAACTCCAGCTATGGGGTCTGCGACGGCAGAACTTCACATCACGTGATGAACCCGTGCACTCTAGTGCATGATAGATACTGGGTTGTACGCAGCCCAGCTTTGGGTACAACTCTCTTGTGGTCACTTTGCACTGTTTGCCAGCATAACCTTTTGAACCATGTCACGTGATGTGAAGTTCTGCCCTCGCAGCACAGCATAGAGGTTGTGCAGGCAGTTGCACACTCTTGGGGTTATGTACTCTTGGTAGTACCAAGAGAACATAACCAAGAGTGTGCAACTCGACGATCCCCCAGCCCATGGCGGAATTTTTTTTACGACATCAGTCCTTGGCGCCTATTGGCGGCTGTTTGGCTCGCTGATGCCATCATGCGTAGCCAGAGATCAAAGTACAAAGAATTTGTACATCACAGCTACGGTAGTCGAAGCAGAACAACGGACGATAGATCGATGTGTCCTGAACCTGGTGAACTCTCACCGTATCTACAAAAAATGCGCGGGAAAGCATACGCACTTGATCATACTTCAGCCAAAGAATGACGCAATAAAAAAATTCCGCCGTGGGTGAACCCATCGCAGCTCGAGATAGGAGTTGCACACTCTTGGTTATGTACTCTTGGTAGTACCCAGCTTATACACAGCACAAGGGCTTCTCTTGCATGATGGCTGCTGGTAACCATGGGAACATAGCAAAGCCAACACGACAGCATACCTTTCTTTAGCTGGCTGGAGACGATCTGACCGTCATGTTGCAAGATCAAGATCTGGTCTGTGCGGCGAGAAGCAGTTGCAGCCAGTACGCCCGTCCCTGAGTGGAGCTGCAGTCAGAGACGTGCATATGGGACAGACCCCCACGGGTTACATTCAGAATTCATTTCAGCATAAAGCTACTACTACAGTCCTGCTCAATGGAATCCAGTCGCTTCACTAAAGCAAATCCAGTCGCTTCACTCAAGCTTGCGCCTTGCATCAATTCGCAGCCCAGTGCTCGCAGGTTTAGGGCTGCGCAACGCCCAGCGCGTACTTGAGTGACGCGACTGGATTTCAGAGAGCAGCACTGTACTTCTGGTCTTAGCAAGTCAAAAGAGAGGATTGGCAAGCTGTGAAGTGTGCAGAGTGTGACGGAACATGACCGCCCGGTGTCTTCAGCCAGTTAGACCTGACTGAGAAAGCGGTAACCGGCTAGTTGCAAGCTCCCTACCTGTAGCCACGATCCAACTGTCTTTGATATCAGGCTGGTGAAGTTGACTGGACAGGCCATCTCCTGCACCGCATGGCTGCGCCCTGATCCGCACAAGTACGGCTGTGACATGATACGCACAACAGAACAGGATAGATACTGTGTGGAGCAAGCATCACCCAAACAGGCACATGATATGCTGGTAGTGTACCTGTGTAAGTCCAGCAAGTATGCACGCGCAAATGCCAAAGCACTGTGTCATAAGTTCATAACCACTGCTCGGTTGACTACCGGGACACCTGAAACAGATCACACCACTGAAAACATACACACTGGTTGCCAGAGGAGCAGGTTCATCCCTGGTTGGATCCAGAAACCTGGTATACCTAGTCCTATATTACTGTGGTACACGATCTAATCTCACATAACACTTCCCAGAATGAGGTGGACAAGATTTTAAAAAGATTGGCCGGCCACATAGTGCAATACAACATGACATTGGCGACATGTGCCCTTAAGACCTCACCACCATTATCCTCACCTGAATAAGTGATTTCTCACTCAGCCAGAACAGCAGAAGACCAGGCAGAGTTGGCTGGCTATTCCAATGCAGATCCAAATAAGCACAAAAGCACAAACAATATCAACTACAAGGATGGCATGAAGCGGACAAGGACCCTCCACAGTTCACGGGGGGGGGGGGGGGGAGGAATGAGCACATCGTTTACCTTTTGAAGCAGAACACTTTATACCAACATAACATGGCACAGTGAACTATTTTCTGTCACTTTTTCAGCCCATTGTTTGCATTTTCAGCGTAGTTTACAGTTTTGTCTGGTTGTCACGTCTGACGAAGAAGGTTTAAGGTAGTTTGGATGCGTGATCCAATTCAAGTAGTGGTCCCACAGAGAATATGCTCAAGCTCACGCAGCAGCAGATGCTAGCATTGGAGCAGCGGAAGAGGCAAATGCAGAGCATGTTGCAGACAGCCCTGGCAGGTCAGTTGCCTCAAGCTCAGAGCTCTCCCACCACTACCAGTACTACTGCTCGCCTTCATCTTGAAGGAGTTGTGGACATTCCAAGACTGATGTATTCCGCCGCTCTGGCTGATTTCGGTGCTTGGCACGAAGGCTGGGCGGACTACAGCCAATGCCAGCACTTAAAAACGACCAAGATCACAACACCAGGGTGGCAGCTATTCGCCAATATCTGGACGAGGATTTGAAGCGATTTATCCGCAAAGGTGTAATTTTGTTTCCGTCTGGCGCTGATGCTGCCGAAATTATCGACGCGTCGCATAAATTCGTACGCAGCCAGCGCAATCCTCTACTGGATAAAATTGAATTTTACAAGCGACACCAGAGTAGGCGTGAGAGCTTCGACAGTTTCTACACCAGCCTGCGTGAGCTGTACAATGCTTGTAATTTCGATGCTCTGTGTGGGACGTGTCAGTCAACTTGTTGCCACACATGCAAGCAATTGTCAACTACACTCGCAAACGACACGCTCAGGGATAGGATTGCCATTGGTATTCTGGAAGGTGACACTCGACATAAGTTGCTTGCTACGTCAAAGCTTACACTGGATGTTGCTGTCACCATGGGTCGCTCTGAGGAAGCAGCGCGGCAGACCACGGACAGCTTTAGGCTTGTCTGTCACTGCGGCCTGAAAGTCGACTTACCAGAAGAGTAAATCGATGTCCAAGATAGCAGCAACACCAAAGCAGAACCAGGGCAAACAGTCTGCCTGTAAGCACTGTGGTCGCTCCGTGCACACTAAGAGTGCATGTCCCGCGAAGGACAAGAAGTGCAATCACTGCCAGGCCGTTGGGCATTTCCAGCGCATGTGCCCTTAGTTAGTGTCCAAGTCGGGCACGTCGGGCGTCCGTCATTCGCGGCTCCAGCGAGCAGCTCAGTCCCAGCAGTGCACTGTACGCTTGAGTACACAACTGAACACGGAGGACACTCTTTCTATACTGGACTGGCTTGCAGACACTGGCAGTAATGTGGGCGCAATTGGCAAGCGGCACCTTTCCCACATCAGTGGATTTGTCAAGAATCTAGATGACGATACAGACGTGGTGACAGTGGTTACTGGTGAGGACCTGCGGAACCTCGGAAAGATCCACGCAACACTTCAATCTGGCAACACGTGCACGAGACAACTCTTCACATGTACACTGGACTGCAGGATGCACTCAAGGCACTGAACTTCCTGCCGGAGACATGGCCTGTTCGGGTTAATGTGAGTGACGTCAAACCGCCCGGTGCCAGCAAGCTGCTAGCTGCACATTCCTAATCCATTAACCCGGACACCACTCTGCCGTATATGCACGTGCATGCTTTCCCGCATATTCACGAACACTCTCCTGTTCAGAGTTGTTCTTTTCCGGTCGTGTCGACAAGGGTCATTCTTTTTTCCATTTCCCAACGCCATGCCTTTTATTGTTTCTGTGAATAATAACGATACTAACCAACATAACATGCACGCCCGCACCCCCCCCCCCCCCCCCCCACACACACACATACACACACACACACACACACACACACACACACACACACACACACACACACACACACACACACACACACACACACAGATGCACAATGGCTTACCTAGGCTGTAGGCATACGAGCGACTTGACACTGGTGAAGGACATAACGGGACACTGGGTGAAAACAGCCTGGCATGATTCCACTGTCTGATACGCATCTGCGTACAACACATAGAGGCAATGTACAACCATATAAATCACTCAATATGGAAGGTTGAAGGAGGTCAAATATTAACACGGAGTACAAAAGTGTTACACCAAACCCATACCCCTATTTTAGAAGATTTGGTTATATTAGCAGGGCAAACAGTCACTGAATGCTTGTGATTCGTCCGTAACCATCGATTCCAAGCAACTAGTGCCTGTGACGGGAATGGTCTTAGAGACTGCTTCCCCATTCCCGTTGGCCTTCCAATCACATATTGACTTACACTCTTTCTGCAGGCTCTGTATGGTGATCCCCGAATTACTTATTATTATTCATGCATAATGGACAACTATTTCTCTACACACATCCTTATTCTACCTCCCACACCGTACTCTGAACACAGCAGGGAGTCGAATATGACTCCCTGCATTTATTCTGAAATATGAAGCTGGCCACGACGAGGGTTTCCCCTCAGTTCTTGGTTAGTCCAGAAGGAGTGAGTTCGATGTGTTGTGTCGACTGGAGCTGCTAGTAAATTAGTAATAGTATGCTTACTGTTACATGGTGTCAGAACTCGTCTTGAGCATTGTTTGTCAGGCTCTTGAGACTCCACGCCCGTGCTGTTTGTCAGCAGGGTTGAGAACTCGGGATTTCCGTTCGTCGGAGAATAGTTGTAGTGGTTCCGTTCGTCAGATAATAGTTTTAGTGTTTCCGTTCGTCGTAGGAAAGTTTTAGTGTTTCCGTTCCCGGCGTCGGAGGATAGTTTTTGTGTTTCCGTTCGTCGGAGGATAGTTTTTGTGTTTCCGTTCGTCGGAGGATAGTTGTTGTGTTTCCGTTCGTCGGAGGACAGTTTTAGTGTTTCTGTTTGTCGGAGGATAGTTTTAGTGTTTCCGTTTGTCGGAAGGTATTTTTACTTTGATAATTCCGTTTGTCGGAAAGTTTTTTTGTTTGTTAGTCAGCATGGACGTAGCCCAATTAGCTTTTGCTCGTCAGGAGCAGCTCCGGGGATTTCGCTGTGACGGCCATCTGTCCGTGGCAGGGACACGCACTGATCTCGCCCAACACCTATCCAGGCTATTGGCACATCGCGTCGATGTTGTCTTTGAAGACGTTGCCGAATATGACGCGGCGGTGGAAGACTGTGGAGATCCGACGCCGAGTGGCGACGCTGTTCTCGGGTCCGTGCGTGGCAGAACCGGTCCCACACAGCCCATATCGGCGTCCAGGTCGCGCATCCCTCGTCGTTCCCTGAACGAGTCTGCAGCCCTATCGAGCCCGCCGGTACTGGATGCGTACACAGACAGCCAAATGCAGCCCAGCCACACTCCCAAGGCCATGTGGCAAGGGCTCTTTACAGTCCCCTGGCCCTGCAACCTAGACAGCGTCCATTACGAATTTGACCTGGGTCCTCGCCGCGACTTCGCACCTTTCACGTGAACTAATAATATTTATGTGCAACTCTGACTTGCCACTTTCACCGTGTTCGTTCAGTTCTCAAGACACTGAGGACTCCTGTACCGGCCCACTGTTGCAGGTGGCTATGTCTTAGTCGTCGCAATCTGGCTGCTTGCGACTTGTGAAGGGGGAAGGTGTGACGGGAATGGCCTTAGAGACTGCTTCCCCATTCCCGTTGGCCTTCCAATCACATATTGACTTACACTCTTTCTGCAGGCTCTGTATGGTGATCCCCGAATTACTTATTATTATTCATGCATAATGGACAACTATTTCTCTACACACATCCTTATTCTACCTCCCACACCGTACTCTGAACACAGCAGGGAGTCGAATATGACTCCCTGCATTTATTCTGAAATATGAAGCTGGCCACGACGAGGGTTTCCCCTCAGTTCTTGGTTAGTCCAGAAGGAGTGAGTTCGATGTGTTGTGTCGACTGGAGCTGCTAGTAAATTAGTAATAGTATGCTTACTGTTACAGTGCCTCACTCCCATACTGCCTCTGCTGTACTTGCTTCTAGTTCTGTAGCCGCTGCTCAGCCTATGAATCCTGTTCTTCCGGACGTTTCAAACCTGGCAATACCCTCCAACCCAGGGCCTCCAATGCACTCAACACACGGTCACAGCCACTCACCATCCAGCCTCCACACACCGACAGAGAACCGATTCGATGCTGGCCGCTCACCTGATAGACAGAAACAAAGTGCAGAGAACCTGGGTAAATATTTCGGGAGGTAGCCACAAATGCACTAACTGATTAAATTGCATCTTGGAAGATAACTGGTAAGAAAATCCAGCCCATAATCGATAAGTTAGTTAGGGCCAGGTGCCGTGCTTTAACACCGCAAACACTAGAGTGCAAAGCAGGGCATTGACTCGTCCAGAAGGTAGGGTTTATCCAGCAAAATGAGATGACACACACACACACACACACCATGCACACACGCACACACACACACGCACACACACACACACACACACACACACACACACACACACACACACACACACACACACACACACATACACACACACACACACACACACACACACACACACACACACAAACACACACACATAAACACACACTCTACCTCTACTTCATACGGTACGCAGTAAATTGCGGCATCTTACCGACAACTGCTCTACGAGAAAAACTGCGTGGCGTCGAATAGCAGGCAACGAGGCTGTGTCTATCTTCCAACCATGAAACAGAAGCAACTTCCATCCGCTCATATCCGACCAATAGCTCAGATGTCATCAGGTGGATGAAATCTGAAAAAAATAACAGGGCAACAGAAAGCACATTTTGGAATGGCCCCTAAATTGATAATTTCTCACTATTCTAAATGTCCAAATGGTAAAGATTTCATCTACACCTGCACGCTGCCTTTACCCTTACCTTGGAAACAGTAAGATGGTACACCATACACACGTCTTTCATTTTTTCCAACCTCTTTTATTGTAGACATAGTGCTTATAATTTGAAAGTAATTCAAACCCATTTTTTCTCGTCACATTGCCCCTTTTGAGTGATACTTTGCACATGCCCGGCACAGTATCCTACTGGTAGTTCATTCTATGGAAATTTGTAGATGTGCTTTTATTAGAGGCTGTACTTATCATAGTCAAGTCTCTCTGTACTATAGTTCATAGCAGTACGGGAATGTACCAACACCCAGGGCATGTGACTATCATCTAGGTTAACAACCCAATGTCACATGATAACAATAGTACATAACCCCCCAGAGTGTGCAATGCCTGATCCAGCTCTGCATAGGGTCTTGGTCGAGCGTGATCGGATCTTCTGATGTCATGCGTATACTCCACACCAGCGAAAGGCCGGTCTCGAGGCATGGCATCGTTGTTTTTGATCCGAGAGTCCCCGCGACTCCCCGGGTTCCCCTCAGATGTGTACGGTATTACATGTATGACGCACTACGCTCGACCAAGATCCTATGCAGAGCTGGATCAGGCGCTGCACACTCTGGGGGGGGGGGGGGGGGGGGTTATGTACTCTTGGTGATAATAAGCTACGTCATGTGACAATAAGCTAGGCCATGCGATAATACAGATGCCATACGATGTCACAAAGTAGACAAGCAACTAGCTGCCCTGGCCTGCAGCACACACAACACTGTAACATGATGTTAATACGGTGTGCACTTACTGGCTGCCACCCATTTGTACTGCGGTCGGAGAAATCTCCAAAACTCAATTTTCCCGTCAGCGAACACCTGAACAGTTTGAGCAGGCAGAGGTAAGCGAACAGATACCAGTGTAAGAATCAAGGGAGGTGGTGGTTTGGGAGATGTTTGGCAGGAAAGCAGTGCAACACATCAAAACCAACCCTGTCATGTAGACTGCATTGCATTCAACTACTGTAGGAGTTGTCGTAAGTGATACTTGCGCGATGAACACTTGCGTGCATGCACACCCCTGCAATACACACTCTGCCACGAGAAAATACAGCAGGGTGTACAACTGGACATGTTAGAGTCAGGTATGGTAAAACTGAGGTCACGGGTTGCACGAAAGCAATCCAAAACTGACTGCAGTGCATGATGAGACAGTCTCACAAATACAACCGCCGTGACTCGTTAAAAATGATGTAAACAACGAGTTCCACTTTTCTACTCCTATACACACTCTGATGTAGGGTGGTGGTATTCCTGTGCACGCGGAAAACTCAATCTGACTGAGTCTCACATGATCAGTGAAATGTATTATTTATGTTCTGGACACACACTCTGCCCTATATACTATTGCCTGTGCTCGTTGTGGGTACAGCACCATGTCCCAAGTCCCAAAGTTAGTATGGGTGCGACCACTACAAGTAAATTGAAAATAAGTACAGAATGCAGGCTTTACGGTACAGTCAGACTTCGCTTATCTGGTCCTCTTTTATCCGGATCCCTCGTCATCCGGAAGAAAATCGTTGGGTACCGATTTACACCATATGCCATGCATACATATGTGTGTTCGATTATCCGGTTCCCTCGTCTATCCTGATATTTTTTTGCGGAAAACAGATTTAAAGGGGAAGTTAAGGCAAAAATTAAAATTTCACCAGTTGTAGTCTTCGGGGTGCTGAGTCGAATGATCTTGGTCCGAGAAAGCTGAGACGCTCCTTTTCCTACTTGAATCCCAATCGAACTCGCGCACTTCCACCGAAACTGGGTGACTGCGCCCTACTAGATGGGGATTTGTATGCAAAATCTCACTAAAAGCGCCATTTCGTTCTTATAAAAGCACGGATGACCGCGATTGGCCCATATGTTGTAGTCTTTTGGACGCTGAGTCGACTGGTTTTGGTCCGAAAAGGCTGCGATGCAGCGTTCCTCCTTTATTCCCAATCGAACATGGTTGAAGAAGCGGTCACGTGCTCCTGGGTGCCCAAATCACCTGGTCACCACGCCAGCAGGCGACAACTTTCACACCAAGGTTCAACTCGAGTGACAGGACTGCACCCAAAAAAGGTCAAACAGGCTAGTAAGTTGTACCCTGCAGGCACGGTGACCAGGTGACTGGCGTACGCAGGAGCACGTGACCGCTTGTTCAACCATGTTCGATTGGGAATAAAGGAGGAACGCTGCATCGCAGCCTTTTCGGACCAAAACCAATCGACTCAGCGTCCAAAAGACTACAACATATGGGCCAATCGCAGTCATCCATGCTTTTATATGAACGAAATGGCGCTTTTAGTGACATTTTGCATACAAATCCCCATCTCGTAGGGCGCAGTCACCCAGTTTCGGTGGAAGTGCGCGAGTTCGATTGGGATTCAAGTAGGAAGGGAGCGTCTCAGCTTCCTCGGACCACGACCATTCGACTCAGCACCCCGAAGACTACAACTTAACTTCCCCTTTAAGCGAAGTCTAACTGTATCAATTAGCCTAACTTCATACTTTACTTTTTATTGAAAGTTGAAACGGTAGCGCAGAGGCAAGAGCATATCAAGGAGCAGTAACTGTACATTAGAGTGATTAGACAGGCTAGGATCTTACCAGAGCAGCCAAGGAATGGTCCTGTCCCGGGCAGAAGACATGAACCAGAGGAGCAGAGCAGTCCGTCATGCATAGCCAGTCGGGCTCCTTCTGCTCCTGTGTACATCCAAAGCAAGCATACATAGACAGTCATGCATAGAAATGTACATACCAATGCACACAAACAAAAGGATTGAAAGGGTAACCAAACCACCAAAGTTGGAAAGTCTCACAAATGACACTTCGAGGTTATCACAATTTAAAGGCCACATGGCGTATTGCAGCTACAGTCAGTATCGGTTGTCTGGGTATCAACTATGAAGAGTGGCTAGCTACGCAACAGGCCATGATGAGTAAACGATTTGTGTACTAGTTCTCAGCTACATACCTGTGAATAGAGAGCAGAGCCAGCCGATCCCAGGATGTGCTTGGACCGTGGCAGCACATCAAACGACAGCACTAATGCACAAATAAGTATAGCACACCACAAACAGATAGGGACTTCGCCAAAATGAAATCAAAGGAAGGTGTGGCTGCTACATGTAGAACATGAAATACAGTCAGACCTCGCTTAACCGCACACATCCTTTTTCCACAGAATATCCGGATAGGTGAGGGAACCGGATTATCGAACACACATACTGTATGTATGCAGGACATATGCTGTAAATCGGTAACCAATGATTATTCCCGTCGCTATGCAGAAGACGTTACTTCAGTAACGTCTGGCGCTAGCCAGGGTCCACACAGCTTTAATTTGGTGTTTGTGTGTTTGTTTGTGTCACGCCTGGCGCTATCCCGTATCTGACGGCAAAAAAATCATAGGGATGTTATAAATTTTTCAATTCTCCTATTTTTTTCAGGCATATCCTGGGATTCGAACCCGCACTATCGCCCTACATGCATTCCCCCATACAGTTCGCATTTACCATTCTTCCAAGTTGCTTCACGTTATGATCTTGCGTTTGAAAGCCCTATTTGAATATTGCGGGCAGCTGTATGTGGCCAGCTGTGTTTGATGGTACGGTAAGGGAGCCGGTGTCGTATTACCCTCGATCGTATCTGTCCCGTACCTATCCCTACCGTACCGTACCATCAAAAACGGCAGGCCACAATGCATATTCAAATAGGGCTTTCAAATGCAAGATCATAATGTGAAGCAACTTGGAAGAATTAGTATGTATGCGAAGTGTATCGGGGGATGCATGCAGGGCGCGATAGTGCGGGTTCGAATCCCAGGTTATGTCTTAAAAAAAAGGAATTTTTTAAAGAATTTATAACATCCCTATGCTTTTTTTTGTCTAGGTCATCAAGGCAAAAAAGCATAGCGTAGCCCTGAGCTTCCAAGCAAGCTCTCTCGTTTTCCAGATGGCGAGGGATCCGGATAAACCAGGTCTGAGTGTACATACATGAAAAGAGACAAATTTTTCCGTACGCATACCACGAGAAAACCATTGAACTTGTGAACGCGTAAAAGGAACACTTGTTCAGCTTGAGAAGATTGGCTTGCTCTTCCCTTGTGCACATTGTAAAATGCAATGAGAGGGTGTACATTTGGCCTTCCAGGTCACACTAGCCACATGCAGTTCTGTTTTCCAGATGCATTCAGTCGCCAGGTGTCCGAGGAAAACGTGCAGTTTGAGTATAGTGCCATGGCTAGAACACACCAAAGACCAAGTCATACCTGGCTTCAATAAATGCATGGCCTGAACATCAGTGTACTGGCCATAAGTACTGCAAAATTGTGTGACTGTTACAGCAGTCATCATCATTCCCTGCACACACTGTCCAAAGTGGCTATTCCCAAAGAGAGCTGGACATGCAAGTGAATGCTTCTCAGGTTCTCAGTGCACTGCGCTCCCGTGGATTAGTGGGTGTTTGTGCCGATCTTCCAAAACAGTCCAGAGCATCATCAGCGGCCATCCCACTGCTGTGTATGCTAACCTGTCTGTCCATGTGCAACAATCACATGACCGGGATGAACCCAGACCTTGAGATTGACCTTCTTGCGAGCATCATAATGCTCCTGGAGCAGTGACTTCAACGACTGAAAAGCAAAGCCAAGAGGTCAAGAAAGAAAGAAGTCAGCCACAGCGTGTCACCTGAAATTGTCACCAGCTTGCCTGAGTGCAGTACACAGGCGCATAGCTTGCATGGGGGGGGGGGGGGCACGTGCACCCCCCCCCCCCCCCCCTAAACATTCGACCTAGGTTCAGCATGCACGTTATGACCATGATTGACATGCACCAGCCATCCTACACACATTGTATGCGGCCGTGCACCCCCCCCCCCCCCCCCCCCTAAAAGGGAGACCAGCTACGCCCCTGAGTGCACAAACACAGTATCTATTCGCACTTCAACATTCAAATGCAGACAGACAATAGAATATCACTTGTCTGTACTAGTGAGTAGAGATTGAGTACATCGCTAAGCTGAAGCCTGAACTCTGTGTGCAAAATAAGTACAGCGCAACGGGTGTCACTGTGTTGACTTTGTACGTGTTGTCCCCATTGTTGTCGGGGTTGTAGCATGTTTTGTTGTGTGCTTACTGCTCCAGCCATTAAGCTGCTTTGACACTAACACCATTCATGCTCTCTTTAGTGTCACTGCTCTGACCATGTAAAAACTGAATAAGTGGCATTGACTTCTCGTTTGCTGATACTAGTATCGCCACTGCACCGATTTAGAGGTGTAATGGTGCAAGCATAGGATGAAGGCCGCAGACATCACGCAACTACGTTACTTGTTCGGCATGTACCTCCTCGCAGATTATTTGTATATTCTATTTTCATCATTGAAATTTGATTTTGTCAATTGTGGAAGAGAAATAAATGAAATAATGTTGTTATAAAGCAATGAATAATACTACCGGTATGTGCGCACTCATATCACAATCATAGCAACGAATGTGGAGTTCCAGAATTATGTTGCTGTATCCATGTTCGGCAAAAGCACAAAAATGCTGAGTACCCACCGCGAGAAATACTATAGGTGATCTTTATCCGGCTACAAGATAGAAGTTTGCTCACTGGTGATATTTCCTTGCACCAGCACAAATAAATCGTGCAAAATATTTCACCCAGAATGCTCACAAATCCAGCACTAACCTGGCTGCCTCGCAAGGTTGGCCAAACGTCAGAAAGTTGGCGTAGCTCGTACATACTAATAGTCGTTCTCTGCGCCAGCTACTCTTCCATTTCGCAGAGAATATACGTGGGTGCAAGCTGTTGACAGCAAGCAAAACAAACGAAACGACGAGGCACTACAACTTGTAGTACAAGTTAGTTTGTGGGCACTGACCGAAGGCCACGTCATCTGTCGTCTCCAGCTTTAGAAGAAGGCAGAGAGAGGTTAGTGCTTGTTAGTTAGGAACAGTTTAGACGATGGTGATGAAGAAGAAAAGGACTACCACGAACTGTCATGTAATCAACTGATTCACTCCTGTTCCTTATTGCAAGAAAGCTTAGCTAGCTTCTTGCTGGTTGGTAAATATTATTTTGTTGGGTTGAGATTTTTCAAACGCCACGTGCACACGCGCATGTGATCACGATGACATGGCGTCATTTACACCGGCTGAAAACCCGGGTACCCCTGCCCACAGCTCAATCCCGGCCATGGCCTACAAACTGCCTCCCTGGCTTGGACTAGCGTGCAGGATTGAACTTCGGACTGAAGAAAGTGAACTCTGACCTGGTCAAGTGAATGGTTCATTCAGTGGCTCACAAATCCGGTACAGTCAGTAGGCAGTATTGCTGGGACATGTACATGTCGACAGTCACTGCCAGTACATGCATGCCAGTAATTATTTTTGTTTTGTGTGACGGTCGAACTGAAGTGAACGCTCATCAAACCACAAGGAAAATCAGTTCTTGGTCCTGTAAGGCTGTAGGATTTTCCTTCCTAGCAGCCATGAGTGTGGAGGCCGCAGCAGCAGAGCAACCACCCTGCGCGAAGGTAGCCAAACTGTTGACCTCTCAATACACGGGTAAGTAGCGCAGTACAGTCATGTCATGTACTGTCTTGTACGACATATTTTAACCACTGGCGACTGGTAACTGAAGGATGTACATTTTACCCCTATTGAAGATAAGTTACTGCATCAACGGCATTTGTTGAGAACAGCTCCGCTATCACGGGTACACTGTAATACTACTATAAAGTAGCTCTTCAGCTTTCTGCAGATTTCTACCGGCCTCTGACCTTGCAGAGGCAGTGGAGGAAACCGGTAGGATTATTCAATATACTCAGTCTTCAAAGGACAACACTTCAACACATGTACCGGTACTGAAAGTAGCAGTTTTTACCGTACCACAAAACTTCATACAAAAAGAACGACCTCTTCGACAGGAGTGTCCAAATACACAGGCCACACATTTACACCAACTGTCGAAATTTGATTTCATGCTGGCTAGTAGAGAGGTTAGAATGCACGTTATTTCTGACGTGACGCGAAAGTTCAGGTCACGTTATTTGGCTCGCGCATTGAAAACACAACACGAGTGACCTGCGCCTCACGTCAAAATTTGAGTGTTATGCCAAATTTGACGTAAAATTGCGCATCACGTCAGAAAAAAACGGTCAACTTAACCTCGATAATGTTATGAAGTACATTACACCCTCCTCACAGAAATCACAAATGCGTTGTGAACACTACAGACTATTTATGGTAGATGCATGTCAGTACCGTGACTGCAAGTACAGGTCTACCCTTGTTAGTACATCGCCGGTTACAAGACCGTGCAAACCTCATTAGTAGACAACAATCCAAAAAATCCCCTGATGCCTGAAACGCTTCAAACAGCCGTACGTGCAAGTCCCAAATATCATACTCGCTATAAGACCAAGAAATTGAAACCCCACTCTGTAGTACGCTCAGAGATGCAGGGTGTAGCAGCCGGTCCGGCTTTGGCAGGACCACTTTTTTCTTGGAAATACAGTCAGACCTCGCATAACCGCACACATCCGTTTTCCACCAAAAAATATCCGGATAGGTGAGGGAACCGGATAATCGAACACACATACTGTATGTAATAATCAAGAGTACATAACCCCCAAGAGTGTGCAACTCCAGCTATGGGGTCTTCGACGGCAGAACTTCACATCACGTGATGAACCCGTACACATTATTTGCACTCTGTGCATGATTGATACAGGGTTGTACGCAGCCCAGCTTTGGGTACAACTCTCTTGTGGTCACTTTGCACTGTTTGCCAGCATCACCTTTTGAACCATGTCACGTAATGTGAAGTTCTGCCGTCGCAGCACAGCATAGAGGTTGTGTAGGCAGTTGCACACTCTTGGGGGTTATGTACTCTTGGTAATAATATTATGTGTGCATGGTAAATCGGTAAACCAACGGTTTTCTTCTGGATGGCGAGGGATCCAGATAAAAAATGACCGGATAAGCGAAGTCTGACTGTAGTAGCACAATGCTAAAAGTGCCCAGAATGCAGGATTTTGCACCCTAATTTCAAAAAGTTCCTTTCCAGGCTGAACCTTATGTCATCACAAGTAGAACAGCAGGAGCTCGCATGGGGCACGGGGGCACGTGCACCCCCCTAAAATTTTCGACCGAGATTTATTCAGCATGCACATAATGACCATGAATGGCATGTACCAGCCATCGTACACATGTGCGGCCGTGCACCCCCCCCCCCCCCCTAAAAGGGGGGCCAGCTACGCCCCTGAACAGTAGTGTATAAATTCTGCATTGTCTTTCAGATTCACACTGGAGATGTCAACTTGCTTGTGTGTGCACTTTATATGTTTATACTTTCTGCCATTGAACAACATTGTTGTCTGGGACCAATTGTAACCGACGCACAGATGCCATGCATCAGTAAGTCTCAGCTGTGTGTGTGTTTGTGTGTGTGTGTGTGGGTGTGGGTGTGGGTGTGCACGCACGCGTGTGTACTAGTATGTGAACAACATGTTCCTACGGTGCTTCAAGGTGATCTTATCACAAGTCAAGATTCTATAACGTTTGGCCAAATTAGTTCCACCATTTTACAGAAGGTGTATGGTACAGGGGCGAGAGTGTTTGGTATAATTATGATGCCCACAGTGTACCTGCATCATTCGTCGGTGGACTCCCTCATCCCATCGCCAAGTCCAGACTGCTGGGTCACCACGCTGGATTCGTACATGGGACAAACCGCTTCAAACATGCATAATGTCCCGCCGCACAAATTATTATTATTATTATTATTATTATTATGCACTTACGCATCAATGTCAGCGGTGGGAAACCGCCCACAAATTCGCACGTGCTGAATGGACATGGGAAATGAGCACCGAGCATTCGGTGCGGCATGGAAATAAAAGAGCAACGACAACAGAAAGAGAAATACAATAACAAGACGTACCTGCTAAGGGGCACATGACAGCATTGCTCAGATTGCGCCGCACAAATGCACAATCTAAGTGGGGTGGTGAAATACTAAGCTCTATACATGTGCCTCTTTCTCTCCCTTCCATGCCTGCCTCTAGGTTGGAGGTAGCGCACAGCGAATGCACCAAGACCGCCAACGTCGACTTGAAGCGGCTGATCGGCAGCGTAGAGCAGTGTGCGGACATCGTCAGTTGTCTGGTTCATGACGACCGTCATCCGGTGCGTCAGCCTGCACTGCTACAGCTACAGGATACACTCATGCACCATCGCAGCATACTGCACGCCAAGCGACTACAACTCACAGCACCAGTCGCGACCAACGGCACTGAAACGCGCGCGGCCACAGCAAGCAAACGCAGTCATTCGAAAGCTAATCAAGCCGAGCGTCCAGAGGCTCTGTGTGTAGACAATGAGCAAAGCAAGAGGTAACGGTGCTGTGCATGTGCTGTGTGTGTATGTGAGAGAGAGTGTGTGTGTGTGTGTGTGTGTGTGTGTGTGTGTGTGTGTGTGTGTGTGTGTGTGTGTGTGTGTGCGTGTGTGTGTGTGCGTGTGTGTGTGTGCGTGTGTGTGTGTGCGTGGGTGGGTGTGGGTGAGTGTGTGTGTGGGTGAGTGTGTGTGTGCGTATGTGTGTGTGTGGGTGGGTGTGTGTGCACACGTGTGCGTGTGTGTGTGTGTGCGTGTGCGCGCATGTGTGTGTGTGTGCGCGCGCGCTCATGTGCATGCGTGTGCCGTTTCCGCCGGTAGAAAGACCTATCCATACATTTGCGGTTCTGCTTGTGATGCAACTCCTGTTTTCTAGTCCCCCTTTCTAGGGGTGACACTTGCCCATTTGGGCATTCGTGCGCACGTCGTATGAGGAACACTGAAGACTAATTTGGCCAAAACTTGACTGCCACAAACCTACTGTTCATGTCCGTTTCATGTTTATTTTCCAGCAGGATGTCTGCAATCGAGGGAACGATCATGACGCCGGGAAAGGTGACGTTCGCCGACGTGGCTGGTCTTGAGGCTGCCAAGCAAACACTGCATGAAGCAATCGTCATGCCACTACTCTACCCGCATCTCTTCACTGGTGGCCGCAGACCATGGCAACGCATACTCTTGTATGGACCACCAGGAACAGGTAAATGTGATATGAAGCAGGGGAGGGGAAGGGGGGGGGGGGAGGACTCGAGAATGTCCCAGAGACAGCATAGGCCCATATGACTGTGTGTGCAGCAGCTGGTGCTTGCTAACTTGCTAAACATTGCATCAAAATGAAGACACTCAAATCAGTTATGGACTCGTGCTGTCACATTGTCTCTTCATCCATTATCTCAAGCCCCCCCCCCCCCTCTCCCTACACACCTAAACCGTACATGCCGCATCGCTGAACTTCGATGTGACCAGGTGGATTTTCAAGAAGTCTGGGCGGATCACAGCCATAGACATAGAGACAGTCTTCTCTCCACCAGTATCTACTAGTATTTTCTACTACAATAAGCAAGGGTCCCTGGTTCGAGTCCTGGTGGTGACAGTCAATTTTTTCTTCAGACTTTTCCCGTTTGTCTCTTTCCCTCAAACCAGTTAAAATACTGTATATAGATTTAGTAAAACTGCATGCTCATCACAGCATACCAACAACTACATAACACCTTGTTCTGTTTCTTGTTGCAGGAAAAACCCGCCTTGCACAAGGTAAGAAGTGTATACGTCATTCAATGAGCTGATAAGTACTGCATAAGTACTGCATAAGTACTGCATCCGACAGATTTTCATATTGCAGAGTTGAATGAGTCATTTTGCACCAGGAGGCATGCTTGCAGATGATGATTGTTCAAAGTGAAGGTAAAACCGGGTCAAGAGACCACCTGCATGCTGGCGGCAAGCACCTTTGCTGTTCGACTACTGTTATTAGAGCATTGATGTGCGTGGTTCTGTGTCTGCAGCTGTAGCATCTGAAATCAACTCCACATTCTATTGTGTCTCCAGTTCCAACCTGATATCGAGCTTTGTTGGTGAAAGCGAGAAGTAAGTACAGTCAACTTCGCTAATAACGACTGCGGATATAACGACAGAATCTCCATGCCCAGAGCAAAGTCCCATCCAACTGTAATACATATAATGAGACTTCGGGTATAACGACACTTCGCGAATAAGGACACTTTTCTGATGCCCCGCTGAGTGTTGTTATAAGCGTTGGTTGCTGACATGTCTTCTTGTTACGGAGGTTCTTTGGAGCAGTCCAGCCTTGCCTGTTTTGCACCAGATAACTGTTGTGCCGGGTTAGGGATGCTACGTGTTTCTCAAAGAACTAGTGGCGAAGCCAAACACGGCATGTCCAAATCTGTATTCTGCTAGGCAGAACAAAAATGTGTTTCGGGAAACCTAAAAAAATTGCACTGTGGCGGGCTGTAACCTGGAAGGACGAGAACACTTCCAGTATGAGGTAGCAGGGCTAGAGCATTGAACAGCCACTATCTGAAATACAGGGGGGGGGGGGGGTGTCATCCTGGCACAGTCCTCATAGAAACAATATAACGACTATGTTACCGCTTTATTTTGCTTGTTCAAATCTGTTCATTCTTGGTTGACAGGCTGATACGAGAGTTGTTTGTGCATGCCCGACGTGAAAATCCAGCAGGACGTTCGGTGAGTGTAGTCACTAGTCACTGAAATCATGATCATTTACCCAACCACTACATTATATTATTTACAGATGTACATGTTCCCATCTTGCTCAAAAAGGGGCAGACCTACTAGATGACTTCCTGGGAGTCAGGTCGAATGCCACAGCAAGCTCACAAGGGGTGGGTTAGACATCAGTTACTTGTCATAACCCTTCGGAAGTTGTTCGGTATTTGATAACATGCCATGGCAACCCCGGATTATTGCCAGCTGCCGTGGAGATTGAGCATACATGTATCACTTGGCAATGCCCAATTTTCTTGATTTCAACCATTGACACAGGTAGACCAGCTTTCTGTTCTTGTTTGTTAGTCAAACACTGTACTGCTGTGCTTGGCATGTTGCAGGTCATCTTTATAGATGAAATCGATTCGCTGTGCAGGCAGCGGTCAGCACGAGAGGAAGAGCACACGCGGAGAGTCAAGACAGAGCTGCTGAAACAGGTCAGTGCAGCGTGCTCATGTCCTTCGCGCAATTACATAAGTTCTGTGGTTGACTTGGATCACGTTCATCACCATATCCACATGCATGCAAAAAGTTCCCAGCAGTCAAAGTTACCCGAGGTGCATTTCTTGTCATGCAAGTATTCCTGGAATCCTGCAGTACAATCAGTGTCCCACATTGTCCTACATGTGTGTTGCAGATGGAAGGTGCTGACAATTCTGAAGCAGCCAATGTGTTCCTGCTGTGCGCCACTAACTGCCCGTGGGAGCTGGACAGTGCGTTTCTTCGGCGATTTGAGAAGCGTTTGTACATACCTCTACCGAATAGGTGAGCTTACCACATTACTCATACACTTCTGGCCGATTGTGGGGAACCTGAAATGCACAGGCATCAAGGTTTAGTAGAGATGTTGAAAAAATACTTGAACAAGTAGGAGTGCAATGGTTAAGATGCAAGAGCAGCATTCATAGATCACCCTTGCCCAGGTGGCCCTCTGAAATGAGTCTATCATCACACCAATATTGTATGCCAGACAAAGCTGAGCTTTCCGGCCTGGGTCTTCAGTATGCGTTATAGTAGTTAGCTAGCAACGTTCTGGTGAATAATACTAAGTGGAGTCACACAGTGCAGGTCTACCCTCATAAGTACCACATCGGTTACAAGACAAACATCTTGCGTAGACAACGATCAAAAATCCCCTGACTCCTACATTCATGTCCGGATAGTAGATAATACCCGTTATACTAAAGACAAATAATATGACCCCCCCCCCCCCCCCCCCGGATTATCCACATGACTGATTGTACTAACGAGGGTAGACATGTATCCGCATGCTGCTGTGTTGCTCAGTTACATATCCAGAACACAATGTAGTCAGGCATGACGGAGAACATGTTCTTGTGTGACAATCACCATGTACCTGTTACCTGCAGGACAACAAGAGAGACTCTCCTGAGACTGAAGTGTCGCGGTAGCAACGTTGCTCTGCGGGACAGCGAGTGGCACCTACTGGCAGAACAAACTGTTGGGTACTCCGGCAGTGACCTAGATACGTGTGTGGCCGATGCCCTCATGGAGCCAGTGCGCCAGCTGGCATCGTCCTGCTTCTGGCACTCGACAACTGGTATGAAACATGTAGTGTGACTAGAGGACTGTAGCGTCATGCACATGCTTGTTCAAGAGAGGGAGCAAGAGAACACTTCTGTACATGTATACAGTCAACTTTGCGTGTAACGACACTCGACCGGGCATCAGAAAAGTGTCCTTATTCGCGAAGTGTCGTTATACCCGAAGTCTCATTATATGTATACAGGTAGAATGGACTTTGCTCTGGGCATGAAAAGTCTGTCGTTATTCGCGACTTGTCGTTTATCCGCAGTCGTTATAAGCGACGTTGACTGTATGCAATTATGCATACAGGAACGGCTGTTTGTACTTGTGCCTGAGAATATAGTGAGATATTCAATTCCACCAATGCAGAAACAAGCTAATGTTCCATGATCAAGAATCCCAGCAATTGACGACACCTTAAATGTTGTGTGCAGGCCATAGCCTGATTCAATAGTGATGGGGTGAGACAAATCCTGCAGTCATCACTTGTGATGTTCTCTGTTGTCTTGTTTTTCTTTCTTTCTACTGGCTGTGAACTTGTTACTATGTCAAGATGGAAGCCAGTTAACACCTTGTGAAGAGACAGATCCAGGCGCCATGGCCAAACATCTCAGTGACATTCCACCATCCATGGTAAGAGAAACAACCATGACAAAAATATACCACTGCCGTCAGATAACTCAGTGACAAGTGAGTGAATGATATGTGAGAGTAGCCACCATGCTGGTCAGCCTGCTACCCAAGCACAATATTTGTCCTGCTCTCCCAAGAAATCATTAGACAATTTGGCAAATAAGAACTGAACTTCAATTGGTAATGACAAAATAGTGACACTACTACTACGCAGAAGAATATAGTGATGGCTGCTTACTACTACAAGGTGTTTTACTGAACGCACAAACCACTGATGAATGGCTGCTTATTATTCCTGCTAGTAGCACAGAGCAGCAGTACATGTCTCAAGGAGATGCTACAGGAGAGGCATTGTGCACGAAAGGCGTGGAGGATCCTGATATACATACAGGCCATACTTTCAGTGTAGGGTAATGAACATTGTATGACTGCACTCCTGTATTTGGCCTGTGTTCACTTCACTTTCTAGGTAATGCCACGGCCGATCAGTGTTGAGGACTTTCTACTGTCACTTCAACGAAATCAGCCCACCGTCAATCGGGACGATATGCTACGATTCGAAGAGTTCACTGGCTCCTTTGGACAAAGCGGATAGAGCAGTGAAAAAAGCTGTTGAGAATGAGCCAGACAGAATGAATTGCACAACACAGAAAGTCTGCAATCTCACCATGGCCATTTTTCTATTTCTGCCTTTGTCTGTCTGTCTGTCTGTTTATCTGCCTGCCTGCCTGCCTGCCTGCCTGCCTGCCTGTCTGTCTGCCTCTCCCATCCCTGCTGGTTAGGGAGTACATGCCATTCTGCTACATGCACCTGACGTAATCATAACTATACAACACGTCCAGTTCAATTTTACGTACAGGGTTTTGCTAGTTCAATTTTACATACAGAACCCCTGCTATCTCGTCAGAATATGCCCAGCATGCTTTCACACTGCACATATTACAGTGCATAGATGCTTGCTTTCTCGCAATATGAATGAATTATTTTGATTTCAGAACGCTCTGCACATTTCATTGAAGTACACGTGTAGAAATGAAGTATGCCGGTAATGGAGCCATCTCAGTTCTGCTGAACCGTGAATTCCAGGCTCAGCTGAACTGTTTAAAAAACGAGTGTAATAAATCAATGGGCTTAGCAGTGCTTACACCAGTGGGCAGAATAACAAGCATAAACAACGCCACAAGTGCAGATGGAATAATCTGAGATGATGTGAATGTGTTGCACGAAGCGGGAGAGAAGGAGTGAGGAGGTGGGATAAATATCAAAATATATGTACTTCAAGTACTGCAGAATTTCAAGTGTAGCAGACATGTCATATTTCATGATACCAGTGGATAATAATAATAATAATAATCACAATATCGCCAAATTTTCATGTTGTCACAAGCATGACACCAGGTCATACATGGCACGGTACTCCTGAGGGCACTCTCGAAGGATGCGTAACAAAATCTCAAAAAGAGCAGCGGATGAAATCTCTCCTGACCAGCAGGTAGTGCATGCAGTCTCATCAGACAAAGGACACATGTATCAAACTCCACGCAGGCCCAGACACAACACAGTATCACAGCCGGTGTCAAGAGTCCGCACTGTCTGCACTGAAGGGCGTTGCAGAGCCCTGCTTCACCCACGACAGGCCCCGCGTCGGCACAGACCGTCGCACCTCCTCGCACTCGTCTCCGGTGAACGTTGCTACGCTCGACGTCTCGGAGGCATTCCCATCACTGGGACTGGCCCTGGCGCTGTCATCACTGCCTGACGCTGCCGCTGGCTCTGAGCTGGCTATCATCTTGGCCTTGGCTTCTTCCAGCAAGGCGCCATCAATCAATGACACGGGAAATGCATGCACATCCACATCCTCGTCTATATCCCCACCACTGGAGGAGCGGCCCACAGTGGCTAGCGAGTCAAACAAGCGACTTCTGCAGTACTGAACCGACTCCATGGCTCTCTGCTTGAAATTGTCCTTATTATTCGTATAGATGGAAGATGCCTCCGGGTTAACGGCCTCCAGAGTAGTAACCTGCACAGATGTCATCCAGAACTTCAGTGTTATTCCGGCACCTGTTGTGCATGCATGCCCCGGCTCCCTCTTGCAAAAAGCGGATGCGAGGGCTAGACGTCTATTAGATCAGGCTTGTATTCCAATCTCAAATCTCCATGTATAAGTACATGAATGTACATGTACATGTACGTCAATATAGAAGCCAGGCATATGTGCCGAATGCCTATCTTCAAGGTCAGGTTTGTATTCAACATGTGTAGACTTTTAAAAAGAGAAGCTTTATTCCCGTAGCTATGCAGAAGAGGTTACTTCAGTAACGTCTGGCGCTAGCCAGGGTCCACACAGCTTTAATTTGGTATTTGTTTGTGTGTTTGTGTCACGCCTGGCGCTATCCGTATCTGGCGGCAAAAAAGCATAGGATTTATTTTTCAGGCATATCCTGGGATTCGAACCCGCACTATCGCCCTACATGCATTCCCCCATACACTTCGCATTCATACCCATTCTTCCAAGTTGCTTCACGTTATTAGCTTGCGTTTGAAAGCCCTATTTGAATATTGCGGGCAGCTAGACGGTGTCGTATTACCCTCGATCGTACCTGTCCCGTACCTATCCCCTACCATACCGTGCCATCAAAGACGGCTGGCCACAATGCATATTCAAATAGGGCTTTCAAATGCAAGATCACAATGTGAAACAACTTGGAAGAATTAGTATGTATGCGAAGTGTATAGGGGGATGCATGCAGGGCGCGCGATAGTGCGGGTTCGAATCCTAGGTAAAAAAAAGGATTTTTTTAAAGAATTTATAACAACCCTATGCTTTTTTTTTTGTCTAGGTCATCAAGGCAAAAAAGCATAGCGTAGGGCCCTGAGCTTCCAAGCTCTCTCGTACACCAGGGTATAGCATACTGTAAGCTGGGAATTTCGGCGCCAGTCTTAGTCTTAGTCTTAGTTCGCAATGTGCGAGCACCCGTAAAGGGTACTTCAAAAGTATAATAATCACTATACTATAATTATATCCTTTCACTCGTTTCCCAAAGGAGAAAAATGGTGTCGTAAATGGAATGTGAAAATCCACCGCGATCCGTGATGAAAACAAGTACATGTACAGTGGAACTCAATTAGTATGTACCCGGGTAAGACGTACACCTGCTTAGCACGGTCCTTTTTCGTCACACGGATTTTCCTCCCATATTAAAGCGCATATACAAACGTGTATGGATACGACATACTGTAGGGTCGCGTATAAAAGCATGACCCGTATAGAAGCATGACTCGAATAGAAGCCGATTTTTGAAGAGCGCCGTGACACAGAAGCACGATTTGAATAGAAGCATACGTGCACGTACATGTATGTGCACACTACATGCATGACAATGTGCACTGTACAGTGTAGACTGAAGATATTGACGTAGAAGCATGTTTGAATAGAAGCATAACTTGAATAGAAGCATGGTTTGAAGCCCGGCCTATACGGCCGTAAGCACCTGCTTTTATATGCGACATTACGGCACTCTGATAAGACATACAACTCGTGTATGACAGGCTTTTCAGCAGGTCACGTGGCCCAACAGACCTAGCCTCGCATACTACGTACTATTTTGGTGTTTTCTTACACCTGTATACATGTCAGGTTCGCTTGACAGGTACTTTAGTGTGTTGACCGTGCGGGGGAGGCTGTTTGCAGTGCTGGAAGCCTACTTTTAGTGGCACTAAACCACGCACATTTCTGAGTGCAATAAATAATTTCGAGCATTTTGACATACTGCACATGTATCGTAAGTAGTGGGGCCGCAGGAGTCAATTTTGGATAAGAAGTACCTCGGATACTACATACTTTTTTCCATTCCCCGAGGAGGAGGTACATCTTATCCCAGGTCCACTGTGATTTCCACTGTAATTTCGTATAAATGCCCTTTCGTATAAATGACTCAAACAAAGTCTGCTCGGTTCATTTCAAGAGAGGATGTTTTCTCAACCGGAGGTCGTCGTCATGACAAGGTGAAAAAAAGTGGTGTCCATAAAGCGCATGAACTTGAAAAAGATGCTGCGGTAATTACTTACTGTAATTTCGCAAATTTTCGGTGTACTTTTATTTTCGTTACTTTCGGTGCATCTGTTTCATACCTAAAATTTCAATACACCGAACAAACACTAACACGTATAATCCAATGGGGAACTGCTTCCCTGTACCGAAAATTTCAGTTCACCTAACCTAGCCTTTTGCTCTCATACCGAAAATATTGAGCACCGAAAATTTCTGAAATTAGAGTACTGTAATTTCACAAATTTTCGGTATACTTTTATTTTCGGTACTTTCGGTGCGTCTGTTTCATACCTAAAATTTCAATACACCGAACAAACACTATCACACATAATCCAATAGGGAACTGCTTCTCTGCACCGAAAATTTCTGTTCACCTAACCTAGCCTGTTGCCCTCATACCGAAAATATTGAGCACCGAAAATTTCTGAAATTAGAGTATTCTGGAGCTTAATCAGCTGAAGAGAAAGGCATCTACTGAGCGACTACCACCACAAAGCGAAGTGATACATGGCAGACTACTGCATCGGCCGGGTCTGTTGCTCCCCCCGCCCGTGCGCGCTTGATTTCCACACTACTTCGTGCACTTGCATGCTTGTGTTCTTTGATACAGGGTGGTGTGGGGTTGTGATGCACAGAAATGAAGATGTGCGTCATGAAATTTGACCTGTTCCGTTAGAATAGGATTCAGGTGATGCTGGAGTCCTGCCTACACAGCTTCACGGTATGTCTTTTTACATCTGCTGACAACACATTTAACATTCCCCACATGCACTCACCTGGTAGAATGCGTCTTTGACAAACTCCAGCAGCTCAGCAAGTGTGTTGCTCTGCGCTTTCCACTTCCTGAACGACACGCCACAGTTCATCTGACCTGTTACCATGTCGACGAGTGGATGAAACACCGGTGGTTGAAAGATAACAAATGGCACAGCACCACTGTGCGGGTGGCCGTCATCAGCTATCAGAACAAATTTGAACACCCCTCCAGTGTAACAACCAGAGCGGACCACTAATAGACCGAACCACACCAGTGATGACGTAGCGCTGGGTATGACATACAGGCCTGGGATGCGCCGCCGCTGGACGTTGCGCAGCTCCGACATCAAGGAGTATTCCTGCAGGAATGGCCGAAATGTGTGCATGCCAGCCGACGACTGGCCGTCCTCGTGCTGTGCCATAGCTCTCGACATCCGTGCGTCACTGCTCAACCCCTCCGAGCCATCTGATTACTTCAGCAATGTTTACACCGCTATCACCACCACTGTAGCACCAGTGTAAACTATAGAATAACTGCTTCCTTTGGGCCTTAGCCTGATAAATATTTAATTTCGCCCACTTTTCTACCAGGCACTACTTTTGTCTGTTCCGATCAATTGCCTCTTTCCTTACAGGAATTTTTCAAATAACTCGCACTATTCTATGCCAAGGAAGACAGGATCAGGCTAGGATTGTAGCGAGTAAACGACACCACTGTACTGAGCCTGAGGCAGTAAACTATCATATTAAACATTCTGGAGTTTGTTTTTTGAAAATATTTTCCTGAAAACATGAATGCAATCATGACATCATTTACAATGTTTTCGAACAACGCTGACGTCGTTTTATTGTTTTCTGCTTTCAATTCAAGTGAGAGATTCCATGGCGTAGAGAAGGACGCAAATCAGAAGTGCATGTGGTTTTCGAGGAGATAAAGTGATTGTTTGTCGTGTGACTCAATAGTGCGATACTGAGGAGAGTACCACATGTGCACAGGTAGCTCTGCAGTTGACACTACGCTGTCGCTATTGTAGTAGGTGACGCCAGCTGTGGATACTGTAGTATCTGTCTGGGCACGTGGAAAACAGAACACACTATTATTTTTCTAGTTGCCAACTGGGGCAGCCATAGTATTCTGTTTCTGAATGGCTGACGAGACCCCGCTGACGCTCAGGACTCCACCGATGTCTGATGATGATGATGTTGAAACACCACTTCTCGACGGGAAGACTGGTGACGGAGATGAGGATGCTCCTAAGGATAAGTTAGTACAGCTGCTGTACATGAGCAACTACCGGTATATAAAATTATAAACCATTCCCTGAGTGGTGCTTTTTGAGATTTGCTCATAATTCTCAGACTTCCCTGAGCATAATGGTGGCTTATATTATGGACCTGGCTTTACACGTAAGATCTACCGGTTGACCATCCTACGCAGACATGCTGCACGTCTCATGTTCTTACATTTACCTAAAACTTGACCCCAGACTGTTACCAAGGGACTAACGATGAAGTCCACAACATTTCAGAGGTGGTCCTACAAAGCATGCTACCAGACTCCATGACAGTAGTCCATGGCAGTGGAAACCGAGTGTGGACTTTTGCGTTGCACTGTCATGGCCAGCTGAGAAAAGCCTTAATCTTCATCTGCGTTTACTGAAAGCAGTAATCTCTACCATGCCCCATGAGGCTATGTTCACTTTGTCTAGTTGGTAGAGTAGAGAGAGATTATGTAAAGATGAAGAAGGTAGATGGAGTGCACGAACGCTACCCATATTTCCAACACTATCACGACGATGTACTAGTACGCTTTTTGTTCCTTTTTCTGTGTATTTGTACCCATTGGGCACCGTAGCAGTGTAAGGCTGGTGGACTGCTCATGTTTAGGTTTGATTGCGATGCTTTCATTTAATTTTAATAGTGCTGTGGGTTTTTTTATAAATACTTCTGCGCATTCCCTTCGGAGGAAACCCAGAAGTGGTGCCGTGCGTGTTGGGATGACTTGCAAGTCTCTGGGTGTCTAGCTAATGATAATGGTTGAGACTGAGGAGTTATGGCTGATCACCAAGACCTGAGTAAAAATCGAGGCCAAATTCAAGCCATCTGGTGAAGACCCCACACAAAAGTGACCACGATTCCAAAGAATCTTAGAAAAAAAGGTGTCTTTATGAACTTTCATTATCGACAAACCAGAAATCCACTGAATGAAGCCTTGTGAGTGCACATGTAGTCACTTGTGTGTGTGGGCAAAAAATACAGGTCCATATATAGAGTATGACAATCTGTCTATTGCTGAATGTATTTTCCCCATCTATACAAGGAAGGTGTGGCAGGGTCTCGACAAGATCCGGGAGTGTCTGACTGTCATCATAGAGATTCTGGGGTGGTGCTAGTTTGTGTCATAGTGGTGGCCCTTTTACGAAGTTGAAAGACTTTAGCTTGAACGTTTCCGAATGTTTCTATTGCTGCTAATGTGGATCCAGCTATTTATGTTTGCTTTCATTTCTTTTCCTTGCTTGGGTGCAGGTACTTGCTCACGTTCTGGATCATGTTCTTGTTTGGCGTGGGCTCACTGCTGCCCTGGAACATGTTCATAACAGCGGAGCAGTACTTCAGAGCTGAGCTGTCGCACTACGACAACCTGAGCAAGAACTTTGAAAACTACCTCATCATTGCCGCTCAAGTGCCCAACGTCACGTTTCTTTTCATCAACGCCTTCTACAAGGAATGGTACGTCTGTTGCGTGAGGCAAGAGTATACTTATGGGGACATGCACGCACGCAAGCTGCGAGGGTCGGGTTGAGAATATCACGTCTGCATGACGATAGTTTCTACATCAACTCTGCCAGGCCATGCGGACCTGATCCTAAACCGACAGGTATACTTTTGGAGGGAAGATCTTGCACGGCTTTTTGTGGCCCAAATTCCACAAGCCTTGTTTATTTGTTTGTTTGTTTACCTGTCATTCTATTTGTTCCGCTGTGTTATCGTTGTTGTTCAGGCTGTCGGAGAAAATGCGCATATTGATATCGCTGTTGACAATGCTGGCCATGATGGTTCTAACAGCCGTGCTAGCAGCACTTGACTCTGATGAATGTAAGTCGATCCAGTGTGCACTCATAGTATTGACCAGAAGTGATGACCTGCGACGCTTTTTTCAGAATTTTTGCGAAACCTTCCGTAAATCATAAAAAATGAGTACGATCGCATCCTCTCAGTTTCGGGAATTGATCCATACAATTACAAGGTCTAGAACAGTGGGATAGCTAGATTGTGCATGTCAGGGCTGTGCAGACTGGTTGGGTAGTTTGTGTTCAGGCTGACCTAGGACGGGGCTGATGCAATCTGTTCACTTCAGAGTACATCTCCTTGCAAAACCCATCAATGTTTGTAGCCGGTTGCAGTCACCTCCAGATTTGGTGACTGTGTCTGGCTTTCCAGTAGCCTCTCTATCCAAAATCAGCCGAAAAATTGGCTCTGTGATGCTCAATTCACCTTGAATTCGGTTACTCCGGGCTCTCGGCTTGTCAAATCTGTCATTTGTGGGTCAGTCGACTATTTGGGCACATCAGTACCAGGTGTGTGGTTGTAGCAGGGCATGCATCCGAAGTGGTTCCCACCCAGCCATCTCGACATACCTAGTATCAGCCCCACAGTAGCTGTCCCGATCTAGGTTTGTGATTTCACGTTCATTGTCAGAATCAGTCGAGCTCCCTTTGCTAAGGTATCGAGACTCCGTTACATTTTCATCACAGCCTAGGAGCTGTGGCATCATTCATGATCCACAGCAAGAAGGCCGCAATGCCTGTACCTATGGTGAAGTCAAATAAAGATGACATAACATTGACCTATACAGTACTGGCTGTTTCCATTTCTTTTGCCTCTTGTAATTGTATAGGGCAAGTGGCCTTCTTTGGTGTGACCATGGCATCGGTGGTCGTGATGAATGGTAAGTGTTATCCTACGCTTATATCACGATGCTCGTTTGTAGCCTCCGAGCCGTGCAAGGCCAGCTATCGTTGATTTCCTTCCTGGGTCACTTTGCCTCGGCAGTTCACACGGGCCGCATACTGTGCGTGTGCCTGACTGAGTGAGTAATTACAACCAAGCTTCTAGTGAATACTTGACTTGGTCTCTACTTAGAGTTTCTTGTTATAATGCAATCCGCAGATGACAATTAGTGGCTTGTTGCCTTATTATTTTGCCCTTTTTTCATGCTTAGTCTGCAAGTGGAGAGGTCATACGCTTCATAGCGAGACGCATGTCTTCGTCTTTCTGTGTTGTTGCGCAGTTGCTTCAGCCATCTTCCAGGGCGGTGTGTTTGGTATGGTGGGGAGGTTCCCACCACGCTATCGTACAGCTGTTATGAGTGGTCAGGTATGTTTGAGTGAAACTGAATAAGCACCACATGGGGCATGCCTATTGTATGTCCATAGCGTTTTGTTCATAACAAATGAGTGGTTCATCTCTGACTCACTATCAAGATGAGAATGTTCTACTTTTCCTACAATAGAGACATGCGCACGCTGATGTAGGTTCGTTCCTAGAAAGTCTAAGAATAAAGCGAATTTTGAATCAGACCATGTGACAAATTTTTTGGTTTATTGTACCACGGATGTTGAGTGTACTTAGGGGCCGTCCGTAAATATCGATGTTTTTTTAGAGACGATATTGGTGCTTCTCTCCCTTGACCCCCCTCCCCCCAGAAGACGCACATGTACATCTAGATCATGGAATCAATATTTTTGGATGCTCATTTTTTTCCTTTTTTTGTCAATAATATGAACCCAAGATGACAAACTTCAGGCACGGCCAGTCAAAATTCACATTTTACATGAAAAGATGAGGGCGCTGGCGCGCTAGCGCTACCCGTGCAGTACAACTCATCGTACAAAAAGCGTTCAAAGTGCAACTCATCGTGTACTGGTGTAGCCAAAGCGGCTACGCTCGGGCTTGAATTTTTTCAAATCCTTGTTCAGACAGTGAAGACTGGAAACTCTTGTGGAGTTCGTCCGTATTTGTTCGCACTGCCTCTACGTCTTGAAGAAGGTCTCCTGCAGGCATCGTTCGGCCGATTTCCACAATCAATAGCTCATTCTTTTGCTCTTGAAATTCGCCATGGGCGTACAGCTTCCAATTTTTGATTTTGTTCTTGTGTCGCGAGTTTTAGCTCCGCGAACGGAAGCTGGTTTATTATCATTATTATTATTATTAACTTTTATTTTACTAGGGTTTCACATTTCTTGTATAGCCATTTAGACGTCCGCGTGCAGGGATCGGCGAAACTTCAGATATTTACATCGATATTTTTCTGATGCTCGAAAAGACGCACATGGCTCAAACCCCCTCCCCCCCCCCCCAGACGCACCAATATCGTCTCTAAAAAAACATCGATATTTACGGACGGCCCCTTATCCCTCACAGTCAGTAAGTGCTGTGCAGTCTATGTCAGTATTTTGTTAATTTGTACATTGTCTCACGCCATTCATTGCCAATTGTTTCTTCGGTCCAGGGACTTGGAGGCACGTTTGCTGCCCTGGCCAACATATTCTCCTTGCTTGGTGAGTACCTGGTACATGTGGTGGTATTTTTTTGTTTTGAAAAAGGAATTCTTTGTTGTGGTTGTGGTAGTACTAGTGCCGGCGGTGTTGGTACTGTTGGTGCACTTTTCACACATGAGGCTAACAGGTATGTGTGCATGCATCCTATTGCAAAGCACCTTTGGTCTGGTGTCCTGTCTGCATAATGCGTATGGGTGCAAATAATAATTGTTTGCCCTAATGTGGCGAGCCATCAGACTGACTGGTACTCGTATTTAAAGTGTAAAAAAACTGGGTTATCCAGTCGTAACACATAGCATGCAGCAGCTTTTTCTCTAAATTCACATACCACAGTGTACTACGGTAGTAGCATGTTTCCCTTGCATTACTTGCTTATAGCCAAGAGTCAGATAATCAAGCCTATGGATTGATTTACATGTATACTCATACCTCGTTTATCCTGGTGGACCGGGCACTGCCCGTAACTTCGAAATCCCCATATTAAACTCCGAATCACATAGTACATTTGATGGGGAACAGCCATAGATATGCCATGTGACGTCACTATTTCCACAAAAAGTGACAAACGAGTAGTAATATTTCCACTGAAACCCGGCCAATGGGTGCCAGGTAGACCGAAGTGCCCGTAACTTCGGGGTCTGGATAACTGAGGTATGCATGTATCTGTTCTAAATTGTCTTATGTGTGTGTGTTCTCCATGCACAGGTGCCGGCGGTGCACAGCAACTGACCAAGGCGCAGCTGGAGAGAAGTGCTATCGGTTACTTCATGTGCGCTGTGGTTGTGATCATCATCTCCATTGTCGGCTATGTTGCTCTGTACAAGCTGGTGAGATGGGGCTGGCTGAGATGTGGAAGAGTGGTTTGTGTGCATACTAGTTTTGCTGTTGATATCTAATACTTTCTCACTGTGTCCACTCCTGAAGTATGTAAGTCGAGTCTATCAGGGCATAGAAGTGTGCTCGAATTGAGTGCAGGTCCCGAGAGTGTGGACTGTGTAACTGATATGCCTTTGTCTGTTATTTTTCCCGTGTTTTGGTCCAGCCATTTGCAAAGTACTACTCTAAATCGCAAACATCAGGAGGTATGTATGCTCGGTGTTACATACCAAACTGGGCTTTTGATCTAGGTGCAAGTTTATGGACAACCTGTGCGCAGAAGGCATGATTTTAATTGTATGTGTCAACACACTCTTCACATTTTTGTGCTTGTATACCATGGTATACGAGACTCTAATGTATATTATCTGAGTTGGCAATGCACTCCTTCAATGCACGGTTCTCGTATTCTTAATTTGTTGACACTTTTTAATTTTTATAGCACTTATCCCAAGTTATCCGTTTTGTAAACTGTTTTTTATTTTAAATAGTTCTACCGGTATTCAATATTGTGTGGTACTCTGATGTTTAGAGTCGTCAAACTGAATGCCCGGGTATTGTACAGTAGATGTGACTGCTCCCTGGGGCACATAATAATTGTGAAGGGAAAGGCTGTCTTTTGAATGCAGTATGTAGCCTGATTTGGAAGGGAAATGACTGGCTTTGAATTCTCATGGGCGGTGCTGTGCTTTCCTTTGAAACAACCATGCAGTGAACTACCGTAGGGTATCTCTGTCTCTTGGCTGTGTTTTTTTGTCACTGACAGGCGCAGGGCAGAAGAAACCGAATTTCAAACTCGTGCTGAAACAGGTACGGTGCTAGTATCTAATACTATAGGTAGCTACCTCCTCCGGCTGGGCGCCTATTTCCTTTTCCGTATGCTGTGCTCGCCCTAGTTAATGTGCTACGTGTATTGTTAGGATGGACAGGTGCTTGCTCCTCATCTTGTAGAGTTGTAACGATCAAGCTTCTGTGCTCTTTCTCTCTCTCTCTCTCTCTCTCTCTCTCCAGATGTGGCCCATGGCACTTTCTGTAGCACTGGTGTTCTTCGTAACGCTGAGCATCTTCCCGGCCATAACGGCGTCAATCAAGTCTGTACGTCAGACAGACTCTATGTGTAATGCCACATCATCTGCGGTGAATGGAACCAATGGAACCTCATCGAACACAAGCACCCCTACTGATGACCCCATAAGTGAAGCAGCACAGGCATGGATTTGTGAGTGTGTGTTTGTGTTGTGCACGTGCATGTGTGTGTGTGTGTGTGTGTGTGTGTGTGTGTGTGTGTGTGTGTCTGTCTGTCTGTCTGTCTGTCTGTGTTTGTGCGGTTCTTGTGTTGACACCAGTACGAGGATGAGCAGTGATAACTCTTTGCTCCTGTCTAATTTCGATAGGCACGTCCTCAGAATCATACAACTTACAAGGAGCCCATAACATTCCCTAGTTCCTCTAGACTCTCAAGTGTTCCTTGTGTCCATGTACGTGTCTGATATCAATGGAGAAGTAGAAAGAATTGGTCTAGGTGAATATGGAAGATATGCAGAACAAACTCAAACAGCTTGTATTTGAACGTTACCATGATCAGGCAACATTGGTTAACTCCTCCAATGGGTTTGCTGTTATCTGTCCGACAGGCACATACTTTACACCGGTCACTTGCTTCCTGCTATTCAATGCCATGGATTTCATTGGTCGCACTCTGCCCACGGTTGTGAAAAAGGTTAGCATTGAGCCCTTGGCGCATTTTCTTGCTTTGTCGTTGTTGTATTTCTGTAAGAGAACATCGGTGTTTGGCAGCAGTATTCCATGGACACTGTGTCATACAGGGTATTATTGCGTTGCCCGAGCAATATTATACATACGTATGTATGCATCACATGTTGTCAAGTTGATTCTTGCGCTGTGCTGATTGTCTCCATGCAGCCCGGTCCTCGCTATATTCTCGTCCCAGTATGCGCCCGTCTCCTCTTCATTCCGCTCTTCCTCTTCTGCAAGTTTGACACGGGGTATAAGCCATACTTCAACAGCGATGCCGCACCAATCGTGCTGATGATGTTCATGGCTGTGTCCAACGGCTACCTCGGAACTCTGTCGTTTATTTACGCCCCGAGGTATGTTGGATATACAAGTAGCTTGTTTCCTGTGATCACATAGTAAATTACATTCATAATTAATCACTGGGAAATTAGAACTGTCACATGATCTGCCACTCATCGATCATATTGCATGTGATTATCCTATGTGTCACTGCTGTTGTTTGGGCAATAAAGCCTGAATATATAACGTTACATGCACATCAGTTAGTCGTAGCACACAAGGGAGTCAAAGCGCACAGGGAATCGACATGGGCAACTGTATGTATCATAGTGTTACAGTAAAAGTCAACCCTTAGTCGAAACCCACATGATATCATTTTTTGTTTGCGACCACGGGCTGCCCGTTGTGTACACTGCAAGTGTTGTGTACTACCTCATAATTTAGATCTTTATGGACTCTTCAAAAAGCGTTTTCTGTATGTTCCTTGTTTGTTGTCCCTGCAGCAAAGTAGCGCCGGAGGATGGAGAGACCGCTGGAGCATTGATGGCCGCTTTCCTTGGCTCCGGTCTGCTCAGTGGGACTCTGTTCTCGTTCCTGTCAGCCGGCGTTCTAGTAGATGCGGTTCAAAAGCACCTACCCGCTGCATAGCCTCTAGTGGCCCGGAGTGGAAGGCATTACAATCTCAGGGTGTTGGCTGTTGGGGTAGGCCCTTTACCTTGCCCATGCAGACCATGAGAATCCGCCAAGGTGTCACATTGCCGTGCTTGTTTTGCGTGTTTTTAATTTTTTTTAAGTGCATGCCTACACTAGTTTTGTTGGAATGCTTTGTCAGTTGCGTCCACTGCTGGTGCTGCTGCTGCTCCTGAGCCTACCCTCTCTCGGGACGCAGAGCAGTTTTAAAGAACCATGTCAGCCCCTGTCACATGCTGGTCGTGGACAGCAGGAGAGCTGCAATGTAGGCTTGAGGCTGTCCGCTTGACTCTGCTCCGTCTTCGCTGTTTGGCTTTCGGAAAGGACAGTGCTCCACCACTAGTTTTACTATTTCTCATAGCTGTTGAGTATTAACTGGGTTTTTGATCATTCCTTTTAGTGGGCTTATTTATACTGTACACCTTCGCAATATATTTCACAGAATCTCTCAGCAGGAAGTGTGGCAAGAGTTGCGATTTGACTACGGAACTCCCATTCGTCAATCTGCGCATTTCCTCTTCTGAATATCTCGCATTCTTTTTTAGTGATCATTGCAACGTATCTCGGTTCTTTTTGTTGAGTGGTCAATAGTCCCAGCCAGCCCGGCATGCTGTATCAAGAGTCCATAACCCAGGGGGTTATGGACTCTTGGCTGTATCAACTACACTCTACACAAAAATAATTTATAACTTAGCTGATGCATCAGTGAGGACATCAGTGAGGACATAGTACATCTGGCTGTTGGTGCACTGTATGTGTTTGCAAAGAACACAGCTATCCACCCCTCCGGGTATACCGGTAATAGTACATGTACTTCCACTGCACAGCATAACCATGATAACACTGTGCTGCTATGATTGTAATGTAGTACCGTTGCCTCACAGTCTGCATAATGTAATAATTGTGTCTTCTGCCGAGTGCACATCACAATGGCCCCTGGCAAGAGTACACGTTCTTGCTTGTCTTCACTCTGCATGGGGATAGGACGGGCAATGGCTGAACCGTGATTTGGTGGAGATGCAAAAGATGTTTGCACAAAGAGGCCATTAATTTTGATTATGGTTGCCGAGACGAGCATTACATAAAAACCGGTAGCTGCTTTGGAGTGTGTGAATGCTAGAAACAGTTGCTCTCCCTTATGACCATGACCAATGAGTAGTAAAATAGGGGTGCAGATACTAGTAAGCGGCACTCTACACTACTATTACAAAGTATTAGTATACTAGTAGTAGTCTATGGTTGTTTTTTGCCAGGCGTGGGCCATCCCCTGATGGTATCTGGGAGTACTAAAAATTTAAAAACTGGTTTGTTAGTACTCCCTAATGACCATGATGACTATGTACATGACTGTACACGATCTTAGAATAAATAAAACTCCTACATGACGTGTGTCTGGGTTCGAGTCCTTTGTCCACGTAGTTCAGTCAGCGGATCCCGAGCCTCGGGTTTTTGGCGTCACGGCAACACTGACACACTTTGCTGAGGAAGAAATCTTGATTCTTGTTTTGTTTGGCTGGATTTGTTCGGAGACAGAGAAGTCTGTAGCAATGGCTCTCCCCACTGCCGTATCGTTCTTGGTTTCGACCACCTTCTGCGTTATCACCTTCGCTGGAATGCAGCTTTTCAAGGCTACACTTGCTGGCAGTGAAATGATGACGATTGTTGGAGGACTTGTTGGATCAGTATTGTTCATTTTGCTATTGACTGGTGTTAGCAATGCTGAGACACTAGTGTTCGGTCGTGGATTTCAGACCAAGCTTCCTGAGGTTGCCGTGTGTCTGCTGATGGCTGCTATTGCTTCTGGATTAGTTCATCGTGTCAGCTTCACCACCTGCATCTTGTTTTCATTGGCCAACCTGTACTTCATCAACCGAATTTCCAGCTCTGTCTATGGAGGTTCTCAAGCAACCAAGGGAGCTGCAGTCCCTGCCAGGAGAAAGAAGTAAACTGAGTTTATGCTCTGCCAAGTGGAACTTTAATGACTGAAATCGGATTTGGCCACCCCGATACACACACACTATGAACTGACCATATTTTGAATGAGTGCATGCAAGCCTTGCATGCGAGTGTATTGGCATCTATATCAAACTCGTGTGCATCATTGCATCGCACTCGTATCATCACCAGCTGCATACCCTGACTGTATCCATAAGGATTTTATGATAGTACTACCTTTCCTGTTCTGGGTACCAGGGTGCTAATCGCTAACATACTGACTATTTCTTTCCATAATTTTTCTTTTTTGAAAGTAATTTGTGAGCTGAAAAATGCTGGATTTGTACGACTTGTGGCAGTGTACGACTGTGAAATATCGCAGCCGTGTGGCTGGAATGTACATATGTCAGATTGAGGCTGGTCTCACTGATTGGGCGATGGCAGAATGGCCCTCTCACTTCTGTCCACCATGGAGTTAACTTGCTGTAAGCCTAAGGCCATCTTCCCACTGAGTTGATTTGAAAGCCTATCCTTCTTGATGTGGCTACTTGCTCCATTCAGCACAAGCTGGACACTGGTATGGTCGCAGCCCACATGAATCAGTAATATGGGTGCCACAACTGCACCCTTGCTTTTACTCTGTCAGTATGCCATTGTGGGAAACACAGGCCAGCATCTAACAAAATACACGGCTGACCCAAGCTTGGGGCACTGCGCAGTGATTTTCTTGGTGACCCCATTGCTCATTCAAACGTACCAATGAGAGAGCATGGCATTTGCTGCCGATGCGTGACCTTGCTCTAGCCTACCATACATGTACACATAACGGTATCTACAGCCTATTTCTTATTAGACAGGACGGCTAGAGTGCTTTCGTATGGTAGATGCGGACAAGCAAGCTGTGCAGTCAAGTGTCAGTTACTAGTCAGTATATCACATGTTTCCACCTTTAACGAGACATGGCCGTCTAATCGATTATAGAATCCATGGGTTTCATAAATGAAAGGTCAAAAGCATAATTGGGTGGACTTTGGCTTTTACCTGTACCGTAAAAGCCCGTGTATAGTATAGCAGCCTCGATTTACTGGGCATATACAAGGGCACGGGCGTTATTTTGGAACCAGGCGTATACTTGGAATAGGGATAGCAGTAAGTATTGGGTATCAGTACCTGTAAGACATGTTATTATAACGAGTCGCAAATTTAACGATTGTCCAAAATTCATAGGTTAACGAGAAGATCTTGCAGTATTCTGCCATATTCACACACAGCATATAATTATGAAGCAGTACGGCCTCAACGTCTTACACTAGTTACAGTACATGTACTGGTGACAGGTGTTTCCGGCATACCTGGACGTATACATGGGCATGTAATCTGGAACAAAACTGTCGACTTCCCCTGACTGGGCGTGTACACGGAGGGTGGGCGCTGTTACGGTATGCCATGGGCATCCTTATTTGGCTCGCGACTCAACTGTGGGCAGGTAGGTGATTTCGCATTTATAACGCGCGTTAACGCGACATCCCAAGTCAAAACTAGAATCGCACGACGGGGAATGCTAGAAGTCGGTGTGGGTTTCCAGAATTCCTGGTAGAATGCAGCTAAATTGATCGAAGACAAGATACATGTACCAGTTGAACCCCCTTCTGAGAAAGGGCACATCATACTTCACGGAAAGTTATAACTATACATTTCTGAAAATGCAGTACAGCTATGACCAGTTAAATTCAACCTCATGAATAAGGGAGTATAGCAGCCAGAGTTACACCACACGCACTACTCTCCAAACTGACTTATAATTTATGCGCCACACAACCTAATTCACGAGGTCGGATTTCTCAGGCCAGAACATTGTAATTCGAAGTACGTAGATGTACCTGAAACTCGCATGGGCAAACAGAATCAGTAGTGAGTGTTTGATTCACGACCCAAGATAGTCCCATGCAAAGATCGTGCTCAAGCAGCTACAGTACTAAACTATCATGCACGCACCGACCGAAGTTGAATACAAGTATCACATGCAATAATACCAACATATCCAAGTCACACCACCTAATAAAGGTGAGAGAACAATCACAAAACTACTGATGGTTGTCCTGGCCATTTCTGATTTTATTGAAAGTCTGCAGTAAAGAACGTTTAGGCGGTCTCCTCGACGATGTTTCCCTTCTCGGATACATAGATACCGTCCAAGAATTTACGGATATCCTTCTTCTTGACAGTGGTTGACTGCTGGATGAGTGCAGCTGCACACAAATTGATACACAATATGAAAAAGGTTAGACTATTTAGATCATTAATACTTCAGAGGAAGACCTTTCAGGGTTCTAGCCAGGTCATAATAGCAGGGGCTGACATGGGACAAAGTTACCCCGTATCCCATTTTCCACTCTCCAATATGTCTCGCCACGTTAAACGCAACGTATGGGGTGAATCCCCGACTTCACCCCAGACAAATGTGCCTTTATGAACCATCTAATAGTGACAGGAAAAGGAGTAGGGGCGTGCAAACAGAGTGTGTGTGTTTGGGGGGGGGGGGGGGGCTGCGCTCCGCTACCCCCTTTGGCTAGAACCTTGCAGTTCACTGCTCATATTGCAGGACAGGAATGCATTCAACAGAACAGACCACACATTATCTAGACAACTAAGATATGATACATCTAACGGCTAGCACAATGCTTGAATCTAACGGCTAGCACAATGCTTGATCATGGATACCAGATAAATACACACAATAGATTTTAACTCGGATACTGAGCCAGTAATAAATGTAAAAAAGAGAAGAAAACACATGAGAACGAGTTATGCAGCTACTATCCACGACTGTAACAAGATGATAAAGTCGTGGATAGTTGCTGCATAACTCGTTCTCATGTGTATTCTTCTCTTTTTACACACACTAGAAATCATGAAAAAGTCAACAAACTCAAGGTACATACCAGATCGAGAGACGAGTTCGAGGTCGTTTCCCTCAAGGATCAGTTCGTCCTTTTGCTTCGGTGAGGCCATGACCTTGACACCCTCCAACATCTTGACTTGGCGCACAAACTTCTCTCCCAAGAAGTTACGGATGTCAATGATGGTACCACCCTCAGTGATTGCACAGTTGATGGGGAAATGAGCATACACTGACCTCATCTTGTACTTGTAGCCCTGTCAGAGGAAGAAAATGTAAATACACATTGCCAACAACAATTACAACACACGGATGCTAAACTAGTAGGACTCAGTTATAAAGGGCTGGACATAGATAAAATCCATATCTGCATACACAGTAGCAAACAACATAATTATTATGATGCATAAAACTAAGGTGGCTTTGATGCACACATACATAGTCAACAACACGTGTTCTAACCTCATCTTCCCCTGATTATAGTATTGTATAGCCGGTTGTAACACGGGCGTGTGAACTTTACTTTATTATTTGCCTCGCAACTGGAACTTGAATATTCACATAAAGTTCGGTCGAAGCATAAAGTAATGTTAGCAAGATAGCAAGACAGTTCTTCTCTTTCATCGCAATTATATACCATACATACTTTCACGGTCAGTAGAGAAAGGATTTAATGTACACATTCTCACAGGACATGATTTGTTACATAATTCTAGAATGCCATTCCCTCAACTAATGAATAATTTCGGAAACATACAAATTACTAATTAAAAATAATAAAGCGAATCCGAAGTGCCGTGCTTGTGGGCAATGGGCTTCCATGTAGATGCGTAAGGTATTTTACCAACATTTTAACGAGTTTGAATGAGTGAAGGAATCAAAGAAAGTGCAAAAATGGATATTCTCTTTAACGATATAATTTTTATGTTGGAGACACTCCTGTCCACAAATTCGTCTGAACAATTACAAATGTAGTGAGATATAGTCATCAGGACCCCAAATCAAACTATATGGGGACTGAATGCGCATACCTTGGTCACACCAACCATCATGTTGGTGATGTGGCTGGACACTGTTCGGATGCAAGCCAACTCCTTGCTAGTGGAGAACCACATGTCAAAGCGGAGCTTAGTAGCAGAGACACGAGTGAACTCCAAGCGGATATGGTTGAAGTTACGGTGCAGAGAACCGCGTGGTCCCTTCACGGAGATGGAACGACCCTTGGTCTTTACTTCCACTGCATTCCACACCAACAAACAGTGGGAAGGAGCTTCGCTGTGAAATGAACATGGACCGATCGACAATGATTTTCCACAAACTACTTACCCCCCTCAATCAGGTTCAAGACCCTGCTGGCGTGAATGGTCTTCATGATGACTACAAGCAGTATCCAAAGGAACACAACACAGTCTGAAAACCTGCTACGCCGTCCCAGGAATGGCCAGAAAAAAGAACTCTAAAGGAACCTACCGTCCTAGGGGATACTGCGACCAGAAAGGGAGAAGAAAAGCGTTGCCATATTTTTATGTAGTTGCGCATGCGCACAGCGAAAATGGAGAATACGAAAATGTTAGTTTATGCATTGCACGGATTCGTTTGCTCCGTTTTCTTCCTCACTTCTTGCGGGGCAAGCGACGAGGTGAACTCTAGCTATATTGATTCTGGACCTTCAACAGAAAATGCTACCGTGGACAACAACCTGCTGCTGTGTATCCTTTGAAGAGAATTTGTATTTCATCGCCATGACGTCAGTCATTTGGGAATTATTTTGTGTTTGAATTGTTCGTTCTTTGTGGAAATAACCTCTTGCCTGGAAGTACTTTAGTTTTCTGTAGCTTGAATACTAGTACCGCCACTTCTCCGCTGATCTCAATCGTGATAAACACTGGTCGTTTGCCAGAGCTTCTTTAATTTTTTAAATAATAGTCAAGTTTATTGGTCGATAAAATTAAAATTTTAAAATTTTAAATTTATTTGCCTCAATTCAATGACTCCATGACTGACGTCATGACGCGTAGAACTGCACCATCCCCCCACCACCACCACACACACACACGCACACCAGACCATGTACCACCACCACCATGTATACGCCCGTCGCAAGAGAAGCACGCAAATCTGCAAATGCACTGGATGTGCACCCACAGATTTTCTCTTATAGCAACGATAGCGAACAAGATCTGAATGAGACAGATCAAGACTTGCGCCAGATAACTGTCTAATCCACACAACTGGCGAAGCCATGTGAATCGACCACCAATGCACACCTGGTCTACACCACACACACACACACACACACACACACACACACACACACACACACACACACACACACACACTATAACACTGTGTACAATTGCCGCGTAACCGATTAATAACAGATTGCGGCCATGTAAACGAACGACTGGAATTCGCTGCGCACTTTAATCATGCCATAACACGTGAAGATCGTAAACGGGGATCACATGGGATCCTGTACACCCTCGCGCGCACGTTGACCTAGCATGCCGTGTACGTAGAATGCCTAAATGTTTTACCCATGACAGATAACCCTTGCATAATGACCACATAATTGCCGCATAATTGACCTGTTTTCACCCGCATAATCATACCCATTTTGGTATTGTGTCCACGTTATTCAGTGGGGACAATACAGTAACAAGTGTGTTACTCCGCTTGGTTTGGCGCACAGCAAAGTTATTTTTGTTGACATCGACTTTTCTGGAGATCATGAGTCGTACCGTACGATGCATGTACTGCGAGTCTGTGGCCGCGTGAACTTGGTCGGACAGGTAGCCCAAGTCTTTGGCTAGCCTTTGTAGGATTGCACACCTGCGGACTGTATCCTTAACCGTGGAATTTACTCGCTCAGACCAGCGCCTGTATCGCACTAAGCGCAAGGAGCAACAGGAGATGGCAAACTCACTGATGGCAGTGGATGACTTTGCCAAGCAGTATACTGTCCTTTCGCGATTGACAGTCCGAATGATCGACGTGAGTACTTGCACATGCGTACTTAACTGCACCCCAGCAATTTGAGTAATGTTACAGCTTGTATTTGCGACGCTGTCACGAATGTTTTTGTCTCTTAATATTTCCGGTGTTTGGACCCTCAAATTTGCTCCCGTGAATACAGGTGCACAATGCCCATGTGCATAGCCCAGTGCTTATAGTGGCAGGAAAGGCTACACACTGGGCTACTTTATTCATTGAGTAAGGCGCTGTCCGTGGCCTCTCGAGAGCCACGAGGCCTGATTTTGCGCATTTTCGTTGCCTTTCTCTGCGAGTACCCTCAACTTTCTATTCCTGCACGCAAACGATTGACTTCTGTACCCCTTGTAATCACTCTATGCTTCCAATGCGCACTCGGGCAGTCAGGATGGCACCACTCCACTCTTTTTTTAAGTCTTCAATTTTGCACAACCCCTGCATGATGCATGTCTTTGCAAATACATGTAGCTTCAGTGTTTAGGTCCTGGCTGGTTTTCACTCGTTGCTGCATCTTCTGCCTTCGTGTCTCTCGTTCTCTTACACGTTTTGTGCAGGTTTTCAAAGCATCAAATGCAACTGTCAATGCATCTGGCTTCATTCCCGGTGTTACCCCGTTTCCAAACAACACTCAAGAAGACCTCAGAGAAGGTAGCTCCAGCTGACCTAGAAAGACTATTGGCGTCTGTTGCGTTCTGTGAGCAGTTGTGTGGGATCTAGTGCTGGTATTGCTTGTGCAGTTCTTTTGAAGCTAGTGTGTATTGTTGGTAGGGGTTGCCTGTCGAACCTCGTGCCATCAGGATTTTTTACATTGTCACACTTTGCCGAAAAACCTTAATCTAGTGTATACGTGTATGTCATCGACTTTGGACGGTTCTGACCCTTCAATGGCCAATTGAGTCGTGTTTCCAAGATTCCTTGTGAATCCCCTCTATCTATCTATCATTCTACAAAGGAGTAATTTTGGCAATTGCTCTTGTTTCGTATCTATCTATCTCTATGATACAGTGTCGGTCAGTAAGGAAGTGCAGTGTGTGCCTGTGGGTGCAGCACTGGCATTTGTTTTATTCTAGCACTTCACCCACACTTGAAAAAAGGCAACTGCTATACTCTTAGAATGGGAACTCCCCGAATCCCGCTGCTACACATGGTACCAACCATGGCCACTAGACTCATGAAGCTGTGAACCAAATCTGTTTTCCCTCGTTCCAGGCCAGTTCTCTGCTCACTGCACATCCCAGGACTGAGAGAAAGTTCTCGTGACATTGAGGTGTACATGCAATATGTTTTTCTTTCGCTAATTGGCTTGTATTATACGCTTTTTGTGTGCAGCGGTTGCTAATATCGTGGAAAATGTGGTCCTCTTTGGAGATCTAGCGCTTCGGTGTCCAGATGCTATGGATGAGGTGAGGAATGGATCTCGTCATTTCTTAGTTTTATCTTTGCACGATTGCAGTTGCCTTATCTCTTTGTAAAGACGTGCAGCAATTCTGGATCTACACCCCTGCCATCTCGTTTACTCCATGTGTGAGATATGCTTCTGCCAAATTCCTATTATGCATAGCTGTGTGTGTGGTCTGTGTGGTTGATCATTCTGGTGCGACAGGTGTTTCGCGTGCACAAAGCCAAGAAGTGGCGTCCGCTCATCGAGTGGGCACACAGCTTTACCAATGAGTCTGCCATAGTCACAGGTTCCGATACAGAAGTCATCAGACTGGTAAGTCGTCACTTGTCAGATGGGCTTTTGTTAAAAGATTGTCTTGAACACACCATACCTGCCTCTATGGTCACAGCTTGTGTGGCTGGTCTCCTTTTGCTCAACTTTCGCCTTTATGATAAGACCATGCCCTGTGTTATGGAGATGGTGACACCTCAACTGTGACTTGGGAACAGCTTGTCTAATTACGTAATTACGTTATGTGGAACCTCTGTAATGATGCTTGGCTGCAGATGGCACAGGAACTCAAGTTGTCACCGCCTGATGGAAAATATCAAAACCCTTACCGCAAACCAAAGATGAGCACTGCTGTGAGTAACGTCAGTATGTCTATGTCCGTGCCTATGTCTTTCTCTGTGTGTGTGTGTGAGGGGAGGGGGTCTTTCTGTGTGTGTGTGTGTGTGTGTGTGTGTGTGTGTGTGTGTGTTGTAAGTGTGCCTGTAGCCATTCTATCCAAGCCCGTCCGAAGCACGTTCAGCAGGCATGGCCGGGCCAGTGCCCGTCCCGGAATGAAACTCATAGCAAGAGTACATAACCCCCCCCCCCCCCAGAGTGTACAACGCCTGATGCAGCTCTGCATAGGGTCTTGGTCCAGCGTAATCGGATCTTTGCGTCATAATACCGTACACCTCTGAGGCGAACCCGGGGAGTCGCGGATACTCTCGGATCAAAAATAACGGTGTCCTGCCTCGAGACCGGCCTTGCGCTGGTGTGGAGTGTACGCATGACATCAGAAGATCCGATTACGCTCGACCAAGACCCTATGCAGAGCTGGATCAGGTATTGCACACTCTGGGGGTTATGTACTCTTGCTCATAGCAATCACGATTTGTTCTCAGAATCATGCCACTTTTATGATGACTGTATTGGCACAGGGCTGTACACCGAACCGCATTGCCCTTACATCTCCAGTACACGCTAAAGCGAGGCTGCCTCATGAAAAATAATGTAATTTCTTTCGTTGAAAAAAGAACAATGGCAGTGACTAGTTACGGTATGTCGTCTTGGTCATAGGCATGGTTTGAGATCACTGTTGGACGTTTCTCGAACACGACTTGGGATGAAAAGTGGTCAGGTGATAGGCCGCAAACCTGTTCTGGTCTGGGGGCCCTGCAATCCTCACGCTGTCAACTTGTGTTTGTGACTGGTGCACCAACCATCCTAATATCCTCAAGTGTCCATGCATGCCAAAATTGCCAGCCGCGCTACAGTTGTAGGCATGGCAACTTGTGGTGGTCTGGTGTCCACCTTGACCGTGTTATCTAATGTTCTTTTTTTGTTGTTCAGGAATGGGAAAAATTGCGAAAGGAGAAGGCCCAAAAGGAGAAAGAAGCCAAGCGTGCTGAGAAGAAGAAGAAACGCCGTGGACCACGCATATCTGGTGAGCTGTAGTGCCTGCCATGCAAGCGCAGCAGCAGCACAGTCATTGTCACAAGCCCGTGTCACCGCGTGGACGGCTCAGTGCGACTATTCTGCACGCACTCTTCCTCATGCATAGTGGCAGGCTATGTCAGTAGCTGTGCCGACGGCCAAGGCCCCACTTCCAATGCTGTTCAGTGCAGATCATTTTAGCATGGCTGTCTGTTCCTCCGCTATTTGCTGGTATTGAATTTTAACCGTCATATCTTTCCTATATCTGCTGAGCTAGTACTAGTATCTTCTAGTACGTTGATTCTGTAGTGTGGCTACGGCCATACAGCACGTGTAAAATAATATACGGCTTTTGTTGATACATGTGAGATGTTGAGCGCAATCCACCACACACGCACACACGCACCTTGTCATGTACAGTGTATGCAAACATGCACGCGACTTCCACAGTGAATCGGCAGTTCATGGGGTCGGATACTTCACCAACAGTGAGGCGTCCAATGCCCGCCGCCAAGAGTACATAAACCGTTTATGTACTCGTGCCCCCGCTGGCCTCACCTCACTTGAAGCAAGAAGGAGCCACTGGTGTGTGCGATCCCCGGTAGCCTAATCCGTAAGGCACTGTCCCAGAAACGCAGGGGTGCAGTGTTCAAACCCCGCTCGTGGACCTTTCAAGCAACATAGACTGGAATCAACACGACGATACTGTGCCTCCGACAGCATGCATCCAGGCCAATACACACGTACACGCATATGGACAGAGTACAATCAAGGCATAGTTATTGTGAGCATGGAGGATTGACAACTGTATAATCCCATTGCCTGGAAAACTATGCGAAAAGAGGATATACGTCAAAGCCATACAAGCGGTGTTAGCTGTTAGTGGACCAACATAACAAACGACAGAACACACTGACAGCAGACTGACAAGAAGAATGAAGGGGGGGGGGGGGGGAATCGAACAAACGAGTTGGAGAGAAAAACACAAACAGTGAATGCACCGTGCCATCCGACGGTGATGGTGACCTGTCACCATTTATTGGTCGGATGTGTGCAAGAAAGACGTCCGAGAAGTGCTCAGATGTAGCTTAGCAGATCATGGCTGGATCTGCCTGATTTGACGAACAATAAACGATAACGAGGATGGGGAATGGTGACTTGTGGGAACAGTGGCCACCAAAAGCAAGCATATGTACACAAATACAACTGAACTGAGAAACAGCGCGGGCAAAATATCTTGGGAACTACTGAAGCAGCATAAAAATGAGGGTGCGCAAGGAAAGATAGGAGTGGACGGGTGGTGCACGCTGGCCAAATCAGGACGAAAAGAGGTATTGAGAAAGGTATACGGGTAGGTAGGTTATTATGATTAATAGGCAGCAGCGTCCAAACAAAAATTGATACATATGGACGAGGCTATGAGAAACGTGTCCATATCTCTATTGATTCACGCTCATGGTATAAAATAGAACGGCTACCATACGAAACCATTGAAACAGTTGGAAAGCGGATAGAAGACAGGATATCGATACTACATAACGAGCGCAGGTAACGGCTGTAGCGTCCACCGCACTCTAAAACAGCTAACGCCATGGCACTGAAACAAGGCCAAGCCTATCTACAAATGGAGCGACCACACAACGGAATAGCGAAATACCCCGTTTCCCCACAATCAATATATACACGGGGAAAAAGGTCAAGTTCATTCCCTAAAAAGGTTCGAGATAGTCGAGTGATAACACAGGCGTGTTCGAGAAAGAGGCTCAACGTCTTGGCAAGTCTTTATAGGAGGAATCCACGGACGTGCACTACAAAAACGGAACATCAACTAGGAGATGATCAGAATCACCGGACATCTTCCCTTCGAGGTGAATCTAAACACCTGGCAGTCCGCTAAAGAATGCATCTGACAAGGACTTCACGCAGCACTGCACAAGAAGATGCGTGGATATGATGCTGGGTACAACTTTACACCAAGCATATTACACCCTAGTGCCGGAAGCCACAGCTGCATACGTGGGTGGGTGCGATGAGACTAAACAGCAACTCAAATTCTCAAGTACCAACAAGCCATAGCTGTGGTACAACAGTACGCCCTGAACACTGCACCTGGTAAAGAGCATGGGGAATTATTCTCAGAAGAGAGAGCTGCCAATGCCCCGAAAGACTTAGACAGTAGTACTGTTAGTAGTGCAGGTAAAGATCCCACTCAGCACGGTGACTGTCGTACACCATCTGTATTATGAAGTCATCCTCGTTCACAAACTGCTGCACCATCCGATCATCCACATTCACCAGGATGCTGTGTTGACAAAGGAACACACACACAGGCACATGTACAGGCACATGTACACGCATACACACACACACACACACACGCACGAGGCAGAGCGGAGGCGGGAATGCTACATTAGGTAGGGATCGGAGTACCATGATGAGTAAGGGCATACCTGCACCCACACACACACGTCTCATTGAGTCTTTTCAAACTCGAATGCTCCTCTTCTCTCTCTCTCCCAATTTCTCGTTTTCCCACCTCTTCACTTATCCAATGGACCACTTGCCATTTGTACAGATCCACGAAATCCCGTAGAATCCCGTAGAACCGGAAGGGTGTTGAATGTGTGCTAAGCATGCGCATTTGACCAATTTTCGCGTCATAATTCAATGACCAGCAATCGCTTTTCCAGCTTCTTCACTTTGGTTAGAACTAATGACTAGCTAGATCTTTGTCAGAAAAAGGTTTTCGTATGAAATGCCTTCAAGCCCCATTTCTTAGTGGAAATAGCAGAAAACACAATAGGGTCCTGCACATTCAACACCGTTCCGGGTCTACGGGATTTCGTGGATCTGTACAAATGGCAAGTGGTCCATTCAACTCAAGTTTTTTCCCCCTCAATGTTCACTTCCGTGTGGACATGGGTTCTTTTTATGCGGCAGAGGTATGGGTTCTTTATATGTGGCAGAGGTATGTTAGGTCCCCACTCCCCGACATCCTGTGCCCTGCATGCACCTCGCATCACGCGCTCTAGTAACCACGCTCATCTACAGTCCATTCAGAAAAAGATGGACTTCTAGCTTTTGGCCATAGATGGGTCAAACTTCGACTTTTTTAGAATTTTTTCTGCAATCCCCTGTGCAATCCTCTTCCAATTATGTTTCTGAAGTTCTTTTGTCCACAAAGCAAGGCATAACAAGAATAGGATTTCGGCCAGGTTTTGCCCCAAAAGCACTGAATTGGGAAAAACCATAAAAATCCAGGCCGTTTGACCCCGCCTGCAACAGTGCATCGTGCGGTTCGAACCCCAGTTCAGGCACCCTTTTTGGACCCTTTTCAAATTTCAAATTTCGCAGCACTGCACTCACGGCTGTTCGCGCACGGACATCTAACAATATGGAGTCGTTCGGTGCGATTTACGTAACGCGGTACAAACCTCATGAATACGATGGGAGTTTGCGTTTTGGGATGAAACTCATGTCACTCTCCGTGTGGTTCCACGATTTCGCAAGTCAAACCAGGATTTATTATTTGAAAGCGCTCGAGCGAGATACTCAATATCCAGACAATTTGAGAGAGAAGGAAGGTAAAAGGAACTCCTGGCGTGGTCAACCAGCATCCTGACCTTTTCGAACCTCTCCAAGCTGTCCCTGGTAGTCTGGATATTGACGCACGCACTGATTTTCAGCTTCTCCTCGCCGGGATCACGGGTGCAACTTTCAAATTTGCCGATATGCACTCGAACAAACACACAATTGGATCCACATCACAATAGGGCTCGAAAGTGATGACGTCAAAACGGCCAGGGAGTAGTAAGTTGACATCAGATTTCTATTTTTGGATCCACTAAGGTGTGACTTTGCTATTGCCTAAGTATGTGGGTGCATAGCAACCCACTCATGTCGCATGCAGGTGTGACTTTTATTTCGCCACCAGTTGTAACCCCGCCCCCAGTAGCCAAATCAGTCAGTTTCACTGGCTACATCACCATGCTGTGGGTAAGACCGCTTGAAATGTGCTTGGATCCATACAAAAACTGGATCCAAGTGGATCCAATTTTTGAATTTTTGAAATTGTTGCTATGTTGTGACGTAGCACTTTCAAGCGCTATTTCGGGGCTATCTGTGTGCTTGCTGCCTTTTTCAGCAATACCCCACATGTCTACTGGGCAGTTTCCACCAGGCCTCGGCCTCCTGGACTCAACAGCGACTCCAGCGCCATGCCATCTGTCCCCTAAATCGCATGAAAAGGTAGCTCAGCATCGAACGCACGGGACCTGAAGTTTGTGCACGGGACGTGATAAAACTTGGTGAAGATAGCCAGAAGATAGTCCTCTACCTGGGAAAACTGAAAGCTAGACTGGGAAAACTCCTGAAAGGGCTTCTTGACGCAGGCATGTCAACGATGAATCAAGGAACGAGCGAGAAAGAAGGCTTGACTTGTGCAACGCGGAACAAACTGTTCCTGAGACGAAGTTGGCCATGTGAGTTAACCCGACTGCTGCATGGACGATAAGTGCTGCGAATAGTGATCATGCACCCTGGCCTGAGTAGCTCGCTTGGCTAATTGAAAGTCTGCCGACCTGGGCCACATTATGTTTCTAATACATGCACAACCCCAGTCACAGCGCACAAGTTGGTTGAGTTTGGCCGTCAGGAGGCCAGCGCAAGGTATCCGGGGCGCGGGTCTGATTCCAGCGAGGGGCAATGTGGTACCCCGCAGCGCAAGGGTAGCGTGATACCCTAAGCCAACGTGCGTGCTGCATGAGTAGCGTGATACTCGCCGAGCGCTTTTGCTGTTGCCTAGCAACGCGTTTCTGTCTTTCCTGGGCCCCCAAATGCATGTTGGGTGGCCCTGCGCATGACTGCACGTTGTCATAGCAACCTTGGAAATCTCAAGCCGGTTACCAACAAGCTAGGAATCAGACCAAGCCGCCGAATGCCCCCGCCGGCCCCCGGCGCTTCATTGCAATTGAATTAATATTTTGTCCAGAATAGTGAGCTAGGACAGATCAAATACAATGTAGCTTGGAGTACCATCATGCTGAGTGGCACTCATTGTGAGACGTAGGATAATGTAGAGCGATAATAAATACCAGGAGGCGTGGGTGGGAGGGAGATAGATTCGGGAAATGATGATGCCATCATCCCAGTGATCATCAGCAGCGATGAGGAGGACGAGGAGCTGCAGGAGGAGCTGCAGGAGCAGCAGCAAGGGCCTGTAAACCAACACCAAGAACTAATCGGATATGACGAGGTGGTCGTCGTCAGCAGGGACTTCATCGCTGAGGAGGACAGTGATGTTCTCAACATTCCCAGTGACGTAACTTCTGGATTGGCAACAACCTTCCGCGAGAAGTGGAGTTTGTCTAATGCAGCAGATGTGAATGAGGATGATGATGATGCCATCCGTGAACTATTTTCCTAACTCTCTCTCTCTCTCTCATTATTCATAACCTCCCCGTGGCGTTGCTACATCAAGTAGTTTTTTTTTTTTTTTGATGGCTGTGGCCATCCGTTCGCCCAACGGTCTCGTGTGAGTACGGCGTTTATTTGTGCTGCCAGCTCGCGTCCGGCGTTTGTTTGTGCTGCCAGCTCGGGCCCGGTGCGCGAGTGAAACCGAACCGTGACAAAGGCTTTCGCTCTTTAGTGCTATTGACTGGCTTTTCATACGATACCTATTGATGTCTAGAGACATGCTGTCTAGCCTTCCCCTGGTACGCATTCACGAGGCTTTGTTGAAGTTCGTGCCGTGTGAACTGCCAAAGGGAATTGTTTGAATGGTGCTGGGGCGAGTGCGACATTACGGCGTCCCTGCAGCCGGCCTAATCGCGTTTGTTGCCACAACCGATTGTACCAGCGGAAAGCTAGTTTCAAGAGGAACACGGAATACCTGTTTTCCGGGTAAACCTGGCCTGGTAGCTTTCTAAATCGAGCGAAAACCACAGCGAAATCGGCTGCCGAGAATTTTAAAATTCAAATTTCCTTGCCGATCCAGCCCAATCGAGACTTTTGGCTGCCATCTTGTTAAATGTCCAAATTTCGCGAAAAAAAACAGCCGTGCCCTGTACTGTGTACGATGAAATCACGAAAAATCGCCAAATACGGGAGCTCGCCAGAGACAGGGCCCATCTTTTTATGAATGGACTGTAACAAAGCCCAGGATTAGTATGTCATTTCTTATCTACCACACGTATAGGCTGTTCATACTACGTTGCAATACGCGTCACGTGTTGGCATTCCACGTACTGGCAGACGTCGTTTTCATGCAAGTGCATTCACACAGGTACCTATACACTGCTCGTACAGCAGTGCGTACAGCTTTTTTTTGGACACAAAACTGCCGGAAACGACAGAATGGATCTCGGTAACACACTCGGTCTGGATACGTCGTCTACGTTTTCGTATCAAGCGTTTGATTTTCCCGCCGCGTCACGTTGTCATGGCTATTCGGACGAAAGCGCCACATACCCCACGTTTTGAGCGTAATGTGAATGGCCCATTACACGTGATTCTTCAGCTGGCTGCATGCCCAGCAACGTATAATAGCCACTTACCCACGCTTGGTTCGTTTATAGACATTCTTGATGATGTCGTGAGGAACATCGTACTTGCGAGCAACCTGAGAGTAGAAACATCAGCAGCAGCAGCAGCAGCAGCAGCAGCAGAAAAATCAGGAGGAAAGCACAATACACAACCCATTTCAGAGAACAGTGTAAACAGTACGGAAGATAACAAAAGCAGAATTCAGGTGCCATCCACCGCTGAGTGTTACCGTATGTCCGCACCTTTAAAGCCATGGAGGTATATTAGACTATAACGCCAGTCTCAGTTACAAAGCCATGAGCTAAATAAATGAAGTGACATTTGAAGTAAGTTTTGTAAAAAGGAAGGAATAAGTACTATGCTAACAAACTTGCAGCCCAACAGGAAGGGTGAACAGGTGGATTTTATAGATTGAAATTTCTATGTGGACTTTGACTTTTATGGCATGGCGTAGTAGATGAGTCATTTTGCATCTAAGACTGCGTTTACACGACAACGCTGGGGGTGAAAACGCAACAAAATCCTTTCGGATGCATAGTTCATTTACACGGTACGTGGAGCAAAACGTAAAAGTTGTACACCAAAACGGAAGAAAACCAAAACGCTGGCCAAGGTGGAAGAATTTGAAAACGGAAATGTTCTGCCGGATAAATTTGGGTGTGTAAACAGTCGAAACGGTCTGATGGCCTCGTTTTCCGTCACGTTTGTTCCGTTCTCGGCCGTTTACACGGATCCGACAATCAAACAAATTGTTTTTACTTGGTCCGTTTCATCGCAATTGCCGCTTATCTCCCACGCACCTTTTGACAGGTAAAACCCAGTCCGATCTCGATATCTAACTCACATTCGTTTGGGAGGTTGTGATGGCAAGATCAAAGGAGACTAGAAAGAAAAAAAACATCGCGACTAGCGCCAGTGGCATCGCGATTCATACAATTTTGATGGGAAAGTGGGAAACTTTTCGCTGCAGTGAATGTGTGTTGCAGCGAAAAGCCAAGCGCAGCTCAAAGACCGGAACTGTAGCAGGGGAAATCGACATCCTGACCTGGAGAGCGTGACAGTCACGGCCAGGCCAGCACTGCAATGACCTGGTATTCTTTGCAAGCCTGCAAACTGATGGCGAGATGGTGGCAAAGAAGACATTGTCCGACCTGGCTGCGGCAGTGGTCAGCGTATCCAGCAGAGCGTATGACAGCTATCTGGAGAGGGATGTGTGCCTGATTCAAAAACATTGTTGAACACACAGTACTGTAGTGACAGACGGGTCACGCTGCCCACGTTCCAAGTGCCAAAGTGACAGCCGCGACTGTTCCTTTTCCATCGCTGCCATACACCAAGCGGAGAAAGCAAGAGATGCTCTACGCCAGCAGCTATACACACCAGCGAATGTCAGCTCAAGTGGCATCAGCTCGAGTGATACAGAGCCAGAGTCGGATAAACTAAAGCGTGAGTGCAAGAAGGCGCTCCGTCGCTGTTTTCTTTTGTACATTTTTTGTAACCTTGCTTCCTTTCTTCGACTTGCTTCAGATTCCATCGCTGAATTTATTTCTTGTGGCGGACAGGAATCCTGTATCATGCTTCTTCACTATGCGTATTGGAAATTTTACAGAGCGGTAAAAAAACTCCTGTTCTTAGTTGCGATAGATAAGCGACAATTGCGATGAAACGGACCAAGTACAATTTTCGTTATGTGACTGAGTGCTGTCGTGTGGCGTGTTTTCAACTATTCCTTGAGTGTGATTGGTGCTTCCACGACAACACTTGGCACATGACGAACTTTGGCGGATCCTTTGCTCCCGTGTAGACGCGCGAAAACGATACAAACCTAGACCACCTCGGATCAGCTTTCATCATGTAAACGCACGAAAACGAAAAAAAGAAATGCGGGACTGAAAACGGAAAACTGGCCGTGCGTTGTCGTGTAAACGCAGCCTAAAATAGCTAGGAAAGCAGCGGTGTTTCGAATATAAGGTCATGGCTTTAACCCTTTGTGGACGGACTGTACGAGTTTCGATCTAATAAGATCGAAACTTCGTAACTTCGTAACTCCATCGTTTCTTGAGCAAATTCCACAATCGAAGGGTCTACGTGGTAGCGGGAACTCCAAGCTGTCCAATGCAACAATCGCTGAAGAGTTACAATGTCGGACGCCGGAGATATCGCACGCCGTATTCTTACCTCGGCAAATTCAAATTTTTGATCGATCATTTCGCCATTTTTGGGGAAAATCCCTATTCGTGTGCTCTTTGAGCGACTGAGCACATGATAATGACGTAGCCGGCTGAAGTTTGAATCGTCTCAAACAGATTTGAGCGTTCTGCGATGAAGGAGAGTGGAATGGCGTTGATGGGACGAATTTGCTTGCATATCAGGCTTGGAGACGACTTTGCTGTGTTACCGCGCCTGATTTGTGGCGGCCGGATAATGGAGATTGGTACCCTGGCGTTGCTCTCGTCAAGACCTTTCCAATGAGCCCTTGATTGTGAAAATCAAGTGAAGGACACCAAAGTTATGACATGGAAAAGTCGAAAATTGTACTGACATTTTGTAATTCTGGTGCATACTGTGCTAGTAATCCGTCCATAAAGGGTTAAAGGCGCTGACATACGGTATAAACGCCCACCACCACCACCACCACCACGAAGCACAACGAAATGCACATACACGCATCATCGCAGAGTGATACGAATACCTCATGATATTGAAGGAACTGCGCCAATCACACACACGGCATTACCTTCACGCTCAGTTCCTGCACAGTCAACTGATCAAGCATGATAGCATTGTAGATGACGTCCTCCTCTTTGCGCACATAGAGTGTAACCGCTACAGGATACGGTCAAATGCAGCACCAACAAACAAAGACACACGTGTGCATGCACAGTGAGTTTGTATGAAACAGGAAGCAATCAGCGGAGCGGGGCACCAAAGTCCAATGTGTTCACCAATTGAATTCCGGGGCTTTAAAAAAAACCGAAACTTTTGACTTGCTTGAACTCCAAAAAAAACACAGAACCAACCATAGTTAGGAGGGATTGAGAAATGATGAATCTATTGATCAACCATGCTACCAATCACATACAGATCCTAAACTGTTAAAATCCAGGACTTGGTTCGAGGAATAAAGATCCTATGAGTGGAAAAAACGAGTTCCGACAACATCCAAACTCCAAGTACAAAGTAATAATAAAGGTACAGCAGAAAATAAAATTTGGCACTGCTTGCATGCCCTGTCGTCCCGGCGGACAGAGCTGCTGACATACCTGGCAAACGACGCTCAGTGCGTGGGTTCTTGCTCCTTGGCCCGCCGTCCATATCCAAGTTACTGAGTTGATCCTAGTGAGGACAGTGACACACAGCAGAGGACACGATCCATCACAACGGAGCAGTATAGAGAGAATACCTGGCAAGCGAGGTATGAGCGTGCAATACTAATTGAGAAGCAATACATGTACGAACATTCGCACAGTGAATAATGGCAAGCACAAGTCGATAATATTATAATCTTCAGGCATTCTAAAAGAAAGGCCCTAACTCATGAGCATTTCTAGGATAGTACATGTATTATCAGCCACATCAGTCAATATTAGCTTCACACCCTCCCCTCCTCAGGAGGCAAACCATCAGTTTTACTTGTATTAGCTTGCAGGAAATTTAACAATTGGGAACTCATGACTCTGGCACAGGGGAGGGTAGTCGGTCCTTGACCACTTCTGGATGCAGAAAACTCAGCTAGACTGACTCTTTACAGGAGCTGTGGAATCTGTCTGCCAAGCCAAACCGTTTGGACGGCATTTGGGAACCTATGCGACACCATAAATGGACGACTGTCCTGTTCTTCTTCTTGATACTGGGACCTATGCTACACCACAAATGGAAATATGTGCTTGTTTTGCGTAGGAATTTTGTGACTGGATCATGTGGTGTGTGCTATAAAAGGAGATGTACCCTTAGGGCATGTTCGATTGGTAAGGATCGGGATCAGGATCCAGATCTCAGATCCATCGGATCCTTCAGATTCAACTGAACACTTTATTCCCGTAGCTATGCAGAAGACGTTACTTCAGTAACGTCTGGCGCTAGCCAGGGTCCACACAGCTTTAATTTGGTGTTTGTTTGTTTGTTTGTTTGTTTGTGTCACGCCTGGCGCTATCCCGTATCTGTCCCGTACCGTATCGCACAGCTGGCCATTTGCTGGCTGTCGTATCTGTCCCGTACCGTACCGTACCATCAAACACAGCTGGCTACAAACAGCTGGCCACATGTATACGACTCCCTGTGTGTTGCAACTGTGCTTGAAGCGGGGACGGTTGCACTTTTTGTAGCTCCGTTTTATCTGAGTTTTCAGTCGTTCCTCTTACTAGTCTTGCCAAGGGGGTGGCTCTGGGCCCACCAGAGTTGCCCCTGGCGTATTTCTGAATTTGCTGGGGCGAGGGTTCCGCGACGCGGTCGCCAAGGCAGTGTCTTTTCAGTCACAACCGTTGTCGTCCTCGTCTCTCCATTCGCGGTGGTGTAGCTGACCCCCGAATGGTTTCAAACTGCGAAGCTCGGAGGAGTACAGTGGTGGCAGAGGCATCAGCTGTGAGTGGAGACGGTCGCTGGAGATGGATGGTGATGCAGGGAGAAGAGTTACGCTGCCTGACGCCGCGTGTGAAATTGTTTGAACCTGCAACTTCAGTTCGAGCGCGGTGGACTTCTAGACGATGTGTCCTCATGGCTGTTTTTCAACGCTTGGCCTATCGCTGATATCCCTGCGTGGGATGTTCTTCCAGTGGAGTCCAGGTGGGACTTCGGGTGCCCACACTCCATCACCTGGTTGATTGTTTCGAAACTGCAAAAATAATTATTGTTTCCCATTTTGTGCGCATCTCTTGTCATCTCTCTTTTCTATACGTCGCACACCAGATGTACTACTATCGCCGTCTTTCTCTTGCTTTCTCTCCCTGCTTGCTGTTTTTTTGTTTCTGTTGCCACTGTCCCTCATCATACCCATGCTTGGGTGGTGGGCGGCGTGACCCGTTAGGGTAGCTGCCAATACAGTACGACTCCCTGATGTATAGAGAGACTTTCCGGAAAGAAATAGGGAGACGAGGAGGAAATGAAATTAGAATGGATGTTAGTTGCCGAATAGGTGATAGGATGCGTCAGCAAAAACATACTTTGGAAGAGAGATCCCGTTGTCTCCAAAATAGGCGTGAACGGGCGAGTCAGCGCCGGTCACAGGAAACGTCGGCAGAGTGATCCCGTCGACTCCAGAACGCGCGTGCTCGGCAGAGTCAGCGCCTTCCAAGGAAACATTTCCATCAGTTCCCACAACATGCACGATGAGCTAAGTAACAAAGCGTAGCGTAGGGCCCTGAGCTTCCAAGCTCTCTCGTATTGGACCTTAACTGATGCCATGTTGACAATGGCGCTTACAAATCACCCCAAAAGGGTGAACACCGTACTCATCGCCTCCGTCGTACAAAAAGTCAACAAGCTCTATCTCCATCCACGCGTGCGTATCACAATGTGTACAAACATGATTTTTACCCGCCACATACGCACAAAGGTCACATTTGGATCCGGTCAACCCTGCTCCCCGAGGTGGGTTGACCGGATCCAAATCCGAAGGATCCGGATCCAGATTCGACCAATCAAAAGGGTGCGAATCCAGTGGATCCGGTGGATCGGGATCCCGATCCTACCAAACGAACATGCCCTTAGTTGGGCTAACTTCCTGAAGAGATAGCGTATACTTTTAAATGACTAAATCCCTACACAAGTTGAATACATATTGACACTGCCAAAGTTACAATTCGAATTCGTACAATTAGCACAATTCCTTTTGCATGCAACTCGTATAAGGATATAGAAATGCACTCTACTATTTAGCATTTACCCTATCCCAGGTAAATCTCCTTTTATAGCACAACACAATCCAAAAACAGAATTCAGACACACGCATTTCCATATGTGGTGTAGCATTGACTCCCAATGCCCTTGGGGTCCTCAGGGGGAGTTTGTTTTTCATCTACAGCCAGTACAAGTTTTGGTAAATGCATTCCTTTTTCTTTCTTTCTTCCAATACTTTCGTTGTACCAAAACAGTACATGTACATTCAACTTCCCTCTACCAGGTTCACCAGGTTGGCAGAAGTCGGTAGAAGTACGAGACTTTGGTACATCTACAGCGAAGGTAGCTGTTTTCCACAAAATGTCGTATTTCGTACTGTAAACAACCTAGAGATGGGTCATATACAGACTTTCCATCAATAATCTAACAAAAATGGGTAGATGTGTGTGTCCTGCACTTCCAACTACGGGCCTTCTCATCTTTTCTTCCAATATCTACTGTTCTACTCCATTCTAACAAGGCACATGTAAGCCTTGCTTGACAGTTCACCATGTATGATGAAGACAACATGTCACAAGGTGGAGGGCCCACTGTAAGGAACAGTGTTCCTGACTGCAGGGAGAAACTGGTTGCCAGGGCCTCGGTCTTATGACCATATGAATCGCACGGAGCTGTGACTCTGGTTCAGACCCTCTGTAGAAGGAGGGGATAAGTTGAAGTAGATGAAAACAAACGTAGCCCTAGCGTTTTGACGGCTTGTTCGTTAAATAGGACACTTTCCAGCCTTCCTAGCAAGCAAGAAATCTGTTGAGTAATAGTTTGTTCACTCAAATGGTCAACCTGGGTTTTGTTGAACATGCCAACATGGTCTCCATGGAGGAATTGATCGAAATGTTCCAACGCCATTCCGGCTACATGCCGCAAGTTTTAGTGGGAAAAACAAGCGGCATTGTGTATCGTTGCGGGGAAGCGAAGCTGATCGCACCATGCGACCGAGTTTTGGTCGTCCAGACGCATAGCTTCTTTTCCAACCCTGTGGAGAAGTATGAAGAGGGCCTCAAGCTGTCGACGGGACTCCACAACATCGAAGTCCGTGATACAATGTGCGGACGGTCTGCGTTTGCCGCAAATGACATTTCTGAGGGAGGGTTCGTATGCGAGTATGTGGCGGCAAAGCCAGAACTTCTGCCCGAGGAAGTGATCAAGGCCAGGGAAGCAGAATACGAAAGGCGTGGATTGGGCTGCTACATTCTGCAGTGCCGGCAAGCCTGCTCTCAGCTTGTGTTCGATGCGACGGAAACAACACTGGCTGAGAGCAGGTTTATCAACCATGCCCCCCAAACGTTCCCGCAGCAACAATTTGCTCCTCATGAGCGTTATTGTGGCGAGAGGGCAGAAGAGGGTGGGTTTTGTGGCGAAAAGGGAAATAAGGAAAGGAGAAGAGCTTTTCTTCGACTACGGTGTGCGGGACAAGGCATTGCCCTGGTTGTCGTCCCGAGCGTTTTTTACAGATGACTCGTGCACCTGGGTTTGTGATGAGAAAGTTTCTAATGACATTCAATTGTGCTTTGCCCAAATTTGTTCCACCAGTTGAGTCTCGTCATTACTTGGTAGGTGTTTCTACTGTTGAGTTTCTTTGAACGTTGGTCAAGCTATCATCGATGAAGTACTCGCATGTGTGCCCGGGGGGGGGGGGGGGGGGGGGGGGGAACATGATGCAAAAGCAGGCCAGTGTATCACAGCAGATCCACTTCAGCCGTACCTTCATTAGGTCAGCACATCCTGGCAAGGGCATTATTCTCTCAAGGTCAGTCCTGCAGAAGACATAAGGCAAATGAAGCACAGGTGAACTCAGTCGATAGTACCCACTGCACATAACAGTACCAGACTGGGCATCAAACAACATGCACATGGAAGGATAGCAAGTTTTCAAGCAGCCCATGCCTGTCTATCCAAGGCTAGGGGAGTTGGAGTAGTCAATCTTTAGGGGACAGTAGACGTGGTTGTCAAATACTACAAAACCATCTTTTCACTGTTTTCCATCACTTGAATACACGAGTACACCTACTGTTGCTTCTGCTGCTGTTGCTGCTGTTGTTGTTGCTGTTGCTGCTGTTGTTGCTGCTGCTGTTGCTGGATGAGTGCACAGAGTTGAGATTGGGCTGCACTGGCATCATACATCTGCATCGTTATATGCCAAGCGGACGCACCAGCCCGCATATCCAGGCAGACGGCCATGCACACAGACAGACACACAGGCAGATGGGGTGTAAGGATTGAAACACTCAAAACGTAATAGCACTTGGATGGAAAACGAGAACTAAAGCAATCCATACCAGTACACTCCTCCTAGTGCTATCAGAAGGGATCAAACAAGCAAGAATACGTGAAAGGCAACAAGATGGAGGAGGAAGGCGAGCCAGTGGCAGGAACGGTGACTCCCTTTCTCTGGCAAGACGATCACTCGAAAACCAAGCGGTGAAGTTCCCATCACAAAGCACAGCACTATCATGGTATCCTTACCGGTGGTGGGGGCAGCTGGTGAACGTCACTGGGATTGAAGTGGACTGGTCGCCGGCCCAGAGTACTGGTAGTGGTCAAGATGGTCACCTTGCTGGGCGCCTGGAAGAACCCAGACGGGTTGGTCAGTGACCGCTGTGGGCCAGGCCACGCACTGGCAGGTCCTGCCGCTGCTGCCGCCGCCGCTGCCGGCAGTGTCACCGCAGCAGCGGCAGCAGCATGAGCGACAACAGGCACATTCGCACCAGCCGAGATGGCAGCCTCCTGGTCTGTTGCTTCATGCACGGTGCTGGAAGCCAGGGTACTGGATGGGAAAGGAGCTGAGCGGTGATGACCAGGACCTCGCCGGCGAACTGTAAAAAAGTAAAAAGGAACAAACCGGAACTATGATCAATACCCAAATGCATGAAATCTGCGCTGTATCGCATGCACAGTTTCCTGGGAAGCAGGGGTTGATCCAGGATTTTTCCAAGGGGGTGCCACAAACATAACAGGATTAGAGAAACCAGATGCATAATTATTACCGTAAAGTACCATTGAACCGCCCCCCACGCCAATTCGCTTCCCAGCTTGTTTTTCATGGGGGGGGGGGGGGGGGGGGCGGGAATTCGATCAAGGCTGTTTGGTGCAGTGTCGTTGTACGACAATGCGGTGTTGTATCTTGCAGACGCAAACAGGTGAGAAAGGTCAAACTCGACGTACACATTCACACAGACTCTCACCCGAATGTTTGTTTGCGCACTAGAAAGTAGTACGAGGTTAGCTGTATGCATATGGACATGAGTACAGAAAGACGCATAATTTCTCTACCGTATAATTCTGAAGTCGCTTCAGAGACAGAAAATCGAGGGGGGGGGGGGCGGGAATTAGAGTGGGGGCGGATCAACGGTACTTTACGGTACATCCAGTAATTTGGCAGCTGTTGACCGGACAAGGGGTGTCTTTAGTACGCAGTTAAATCACCGGCAGGTACGGAAACAGGCCATAGGTCTCAAATAAGAAAACCCGGGTGTGATGGAAATCAACTCAATACGGGTGTGTATCGCACCATACACCACCTTCGGGAAGTCTCACTCACTGTGCTGCTGTTGCTTGAGGATTTTAGCCATCCGCCGATCAGCACTTTTGGATTCATCCTTGTTCTTGCGCTCAGCTCCCTGAAATTTACAGCATAATAACCAGCATTAAAACTATTGTAATACAGGAAGAACTTTTTCTCAAAGTGCAAAGACTCCACTGTAGCCCAGGAAAACGTGCTTCTGGGTTATTCAGGTATTCCAGGTTCAAAGCCATTATTACCGTAATGTCGCGTGCATTAGCCGGGGCTTATATGCCTATAAGCCGGTGATGGAGTCAGGCTTGTACACAAGACAGGCTTATACACGAGACAGGCTTATATGACAAGCACCACTCAATGACCAGGCTTGTATGCGCAAACTGCTTACTTTTGGACGTCAAAACCAACATTTTCCAACGGGATTTTTTTCATTTTTTCGCTCCCTGAACCGCGTCCCCCCTCTCCTTTCTCTCTCTCTCTCTCTCTCTCTCTCTCTCTCTCTCTCTCTCTCTCTCTCTCTCTCTCTTGATTTCCGCATCTTCCCACGTTTTCCGCGTGTGCAAGTGTACGGTACCATGCAAACATGGACATGTAAAAGGCGCGCTCACCAGTCTTGCGTAGTAGCCCGGCTTACGCACGCGACACGTGGCGCGTCTCGTGTACTGGCCCGGCTTATGCATGCGACAGGCTTGTACGCGAAAAGCTGTTGCAGATTTCATGCTTCTACACGAGACAGGCTTATGCACAAATCCGGCTTATGCACGCGACATTACGGTATGTGTTTTGTGTTTTTGTTGGAGGAGGGCTGTGAAGCAAAACAATGAGTTAGAGTGCCTTACTTCATTATTCTCTGTTAGACTATCCGTCACTGCCCACAAACCACACAAAAAGTACTGAAACTCACATGATACAGGCCCTGGATTGTACAGATTGTGGTAGCTCCAACCACTTTGCAGGTGAAACATCTCTCACAGTATTACTGGTGGTTTCCCATTCCCAAGTTGTTCTCGGGCACACATTTACCCTGGAAATAATATTCGTATGGCAGGGGCGTCGGAACCGGTGCGGCAGATGCGGCCAAAGCTGCACCAATAAGTTCATCTTGTGACATTTGAAGCATTGAAATATGGGCCAGGGATGAATTTACTGTAATGTTTTTGCATAGCAGTTTTTGCTATGCAAAATCTCAATTGTGGCGTAAGCTACAAAAAGCATGGATAGCCTGTACATGTATATGTATCGCAGTTTTCTGCATGTCACTGTGATTTTTGAGTAGCAGTAGATCGATTTGCGTAGCAAACTGCGATGCGATACCGGATAAATTCATCCCTGTGGGCTATTAGGGCCCATTTTCCCTAAAAATTACCCCGGGGGACGACCCCCAAACCCTCCACCTATTCATGTGACCGCACCAATGTCGAGTACCTTCCGACGCCCCTGCAGGGGGATATTAATGCATTAGTTGTACTTACGACGGCTTGAAAGTACAAAATAGCATTTTTCCGAACTTTGAGGCCCCAGAAGTACAACAAAATGCACACTGTATTTCCATACGAATTTCATTTCTGGGTCTTAGAGAACATCTTGGAACAGGAAAACCATCACTTCTATTGTAAAAGGTCTTCACGTCCAAAGAGGCTGGGGCTACTTTCAAACTGCCAGTTTTGCAGCAAGCTGTGGCCCCTAAATCTAGTGAAGGGAGTTGCTTTACCTTATCACGGAAAACTTTAATTTTGCAGTAGCAGCGGTGGCTGGCCTCAGCATCGGCTGAAAAATTGTCAAACGTATCCACTTGGAGAAAGAGAGGCATTCCCTGCACAGCAGCAACAGCAGCAGAAGCAGCTATTAAATTCCATGCCTGGATATTGATACCCACAGCACATGCCCAGACACACAGACAATTCTAGACAAGAAAAGGACAAGCCAGTTGAAGACAGTACCAGGCGACGTCATGACTGAGCAGCCGACATGAAAATAATAAGGCACTCACCCTGACACCTTTCTGAGGCGAGAACTCTGTGCTCAAGCAATTCACACGCAGAGTAGCCTGTACAGAACAGATCAGCAAAAGCCAACAGCCCCTTGTACGCAAACTCCACAACACGAAGAATCAGGAAGAAGACCTTGGCACTGGGGCATGCACGAAAATTAGCACTCTTGCCAGTATCAATTGCAAGAGTTGTTTTCCATTTTATATGACTGTAATTAGCGCCGAAACTATTATACCAATGACTCACATACCGACAACAAGAGCATATAACCAAGAGTGTGCAACTGTTGTATCATACCGATAAATTGATCGTTAGTTAACTCACACCAGGACTTGCACAGTTAAGAAATCTCTGCATCAAAGACCTACCCGTGCGGGTTGTGATGAGTTCCAGATGAAAGAAGTGGCATTGTGTGCAAGGTCATCGATGCTCTCAAGGCTGGTGCTGGCACTCTTGCGGTCAACGTCAAATGCGCGCAACAGTGGGTTGGGCTGCTGCGAGTGCCAATAACTCCAGTGCTGAAGTTCACTTTCCTCATCCTTCTCCTCCCGGAACACCAATGACACAACAGACTGCAAAACAAAATGACAGAAGAGAGCGTCCAGCATGAAGGAACAGTGCCGGCCCACACAGCAGGAAAGGCACAGCAATAGCATCCATGCATTCACACAGATAAAACCTTATACTATTGAATGGCCCTACACCAACACACTATTCCTAAACTGCACTGCAAATCTGTACGCATGCAGGTAATTCAGGGGAGGCGAGGAAACATGAAAGGCACAAGATGAAGGTGAAGATAGGCAGCATATTGACTTCAACTGCCAAGTTCAACCAAGAATAGAAACCGCCCAGATTAGCACAAAACATACTCCAAAGCAACACCCACCCACTCGCACACATACGTACAGATAACACACACACACACACACACACTCTTGGAAAGATGACTCAATTGGCTATTAAACCGCCCAACGGCCGACACCCCCTGAAATTAAGGGCTCACCACATCTCAGTATTAAAGTGGGCGAGGACAAGGTGCAGAAAAAGGATTGACGGCATCAGGGTATCCCTGCGAAGGTAAAACTTGCTATTAGTCCCGTCCCCCCCCCCCCCCCCCCGGTATTTGAGCACTTGGGCATACATGTATTTGGTGCATCCCTTGTGTCAAATATTTTTGAGATATCCTACATCTCGGATAGACATAGACAGCAAGAGCAAGAGCAACAACAACACCCCCCCCCCCCACACACACGCACACAAACAAGGCAGAGCGAAGGTGGAAGTGCTACATTAGGAAGGGGCTGGAGTACCAGGATGGCTAAAGGCATACCTGCACCTGTCGCGGTGATGCCAATTGGCCGGCATCATTGCTTTCCGGCCTGGCTTCAAACACGATGCCATAAAATTGGCCTGGACAAAAATCAGTAGGAGAACAAAACAAAGGTCTAGAAAGACTATTCAAAATCCACCCAGCAACACCTTTGATGAACCCCAGTGACAAACAGTACTCTACAGGTGAACCTGTTAGTACAAGTATACGTATGACATGTTTGCATTACAAAGAAGCCCCCCCCACACACACACACACCGCCAGAAACACAAATCCCTCCAGCAGCACGTGCCTCAATGCAAAAGGCTTCAGGCTGATTTTACAATACAAAACTTGCTGATTGAGTGATGACCATGCCACAAAAGAAGAAATAAAAGCAACTGCATGACTGAACCAAACACTTTGCTACGTTCACACACATACACCTCTTACACGCACACACATATACTACCGATTGCACGTACTATCGCGCACGCGAACACATACACACACACACACACACACACACACACACACACACACACACACACACACACACATACATGCATACACAAAGTACAGCACACACAGCAGGCAAGCCAGGAACAACAGCCAGAATACAAGCGTCACCTTTATTGAGATACGTGAGAGTGTCTTCGCCATGCTGAGTCATCATGGATGTAGCAGCCTCCAGATAACAGCGATATCGATCACTGGTGGAGAATACAGTTGGTGGTGATGGTGCACGCACCTTCAATGTCTAAGAATAGATCATAAAAGCACACCGACAATCGAGAGAGAGAGAGAGAGAGAGAGAGAGAGAGAGAGAGAGAGAGAGAGAGAGAGAGAGAGAGAGAGAGAGAGAGAAGGAGAGAGAGAGAGAGAGAGAGAGAGAGAGAGAGAGAGAGAGAGAGAGAGAGAGAGAGAGAGAGAAAGAGAGAGAGAGAGAGAGAGAGAGAGAGAGAGAGAGAGAGAGAGAGAGAGAGAGAGAGAGAGAGAGAGAGAGAGAGAGAGAGAGAGAGAGAGAGAGAGAGAGAGAGAGAGAGAGAGAGAGAGAGAGAGAGAGAGAGAGAGAGAGAGAGAGAGAGAGAGAGAGAGAGAGAGAGAGAGAGAGAGAGAGAGAGAGAGAGAGGAGAGAGAGAGAGAGAAAGAGAGAGAGAGAGAGAAAGAGAGAGAGAGAGAGACACACACACACATACACACACACACACACAAGAGAGACAAGAGACAGTGAGAGACAAGAGACAGAGCGAGACAACGACGGCTCTCCTGCTCACGCTGTACGAGACAGATTCACACTGCACATGAGAACTGGAAGTGTCCCCCCCCACCAAATACACCTTCTTCATAGACTGACTTAGTACACGACATGATACGTACAGTTAGAAATAAGTGCTGTTCTGGGCTTCCTAAAACCATACAAAACAAAGACTGCCCACATTGAACTCTTCTAAATCAAACATACGTCAGATGAAGATGGTGGGGATGAGCCAAGCAGTGCTGAATAATCTGGAGGCCGAGAAGGTAGCAGTGGGCGACCTATTGTCGGACTAGAAGACTTCTTCGTCTTCCTTGACTGCGGGACCTGTACTGGCAATGGTGGCGGTGGAGGTACAGGAAACGATGGCATGCTATGTGTACGGGCCGTTCTGTTGTCGTGCAAAGCAATATATACACGCGAGCCACGCACACACCAAGATACGCCCCCACCACCGCCACACACATAGACAGAGACACAGATATGTACACACACATACGTACACACGCATACATACACCCACACGTGTACACAAACACACGCACCCATATCCACACATTTTTACTTTGTTGTTGGCAAGCCATCAAGCAATGAAAATATTAATTTGATGGGGGTACACAGTGTTTTAAGAGCATGGACCCGTGATCCAAAAAGCACCATGCAGAGAGAAAACTGTTGAATTGTGCATTGGTGGAAAGTGAAAGGCGACCGTTTGAATAATAATAACCTCAGGTACTGCACAGCATTATCACTATGAGCACTGCAATGAACACATCTCTGCCTTGTTCATGACTTCAGAGTAACTTCCATTCACTCACTACAAACTCCAGGATGATGATGATGCAGTCTTGTCTGAGATCACATTTTAGAAAGTTCATCACCAATACACTGCGCTCTTGCTTTTATAGTCCATTTCAAAACTATAGACGCGTACCTAGGCAAAAACCGTTATGCCAGCATCTATACCACATAAAATCTGTGATCACTTTGTGCATAAATTTTTCCAAATTGGGCGTCTGTTGTCCAATCGTTTAGAAACTATAATTATGAGAGTAATTGTGGAGCGGACCTGAGCAATATTCCGAAAACTATTCTCAAAAAGTTCCAGCCAAATTTGAAATATTTCAAAAACCCTACGCGTCTATAGTTTTGAAATGGACTGTAGTCTTGGCCGAAAACCCTTACATACACCACAAGGACTATAGTGAGGACACATCCAATGACGATACAGTCAGACCTCGCTTATCCGGATCCTCCCTCACCATCCGGACGAAAATTGTTGGTTATCGATTTACAGCATATGTTATGCATACAAACGGAATGTGTGTTCAATTATCCGGCTTCCTCGCCTATCTGGATATTTTTTGTGGAAAACGGATGTGTGCGGTTATGCAAGGTCTGACTGTACTGATAATCACCGACAAGGAGGTCTGAAGGAGCGAAGCAACTGTCTTGAAGTTTATGGCAGTAAATATCACTATCATCATCGGCAGTGTCCACCCCAAGTTGGTTGCGGTGTATACAAGATGGGACCGACAAGAGCACAATGTGAGGGTGAAGTTTCTGAATTACCAAATGCCAGAGAGCTTTGCCACAATATCTCCAAAGCCGATCATTTGCTATATGGGGCGCCACTGCCAGCTATAGTGTGTGCATGTAATTGTTGTCCTAAAAGAAACAGAAGTTTGTAGGAATGTCTGCACATGTCGTCACTAGACTACCAACCAGATAAACTTGCAAATCAGTGATGGGACTGCATGGTACAGGGGAGATTGGATATAACGACACTCCTTCGGGAGAGAACAAAATGTCACTATATTCGATCTGTCACTAAACCCGATCTTCACAAAGGACTTACTAAATGACTTGGGCAACAGAATTATGTCACTAAACTCAATCTGTCGTTATATGCAAGGTCGTTATATCCGATCTCCACTGTATAGCAAAAACTGCGGTGTGCACTGATGACGAGGACAGGTAATATGGCTTTAACCGACTAACACGGTAGTCTCTAGATGCATCAGACTTGGGAGTTTGGAACTGTACATGGACTACGTGTAGTGGTATTGTTGAATCGTGTATAAACATGAATTGGGGAAACTGTTCAATGAGCTGGTCTTCTGCTGTTTCCAAGCATGAAAGCAACAACAGTTCAAAGGTTCTGGGTACTAATACGAATTGGATTGTAGATCAGGTGGATGGCGTGCGTAACAAGCATGTAAAGAGTACGTGTACAGCAGTTTACAAACCTTAGTACATGTACATTATTCTCGTACCCCTGGGCTTGGGACTGGTTGAAGAGTTGAGGTGTAGTTGAAAACAAATCCAGCCAAGCCTGGAAAGTTGCGGACACGGAGTTACCACTGCCATCACGCTCTCCAGTCAGCAAGGGTTGAATGATATTCTGCCAATCTTTTATTGGCTCATCGAGCGGCTTGGCTGTAACCAAGTTGGGCATGGACGCCCTTGTTGCTGCATTGGGCTCAACAGAGCCGAGTGACACATCCACATCCACACTGTTGACACTCTCCAGCGAAGAACTGGACGATACAGCGGCACCAATTTGTTTGTCCTCGGCCCGATGGTGGGCCATGGAGCGAGGGAGTAGGCTGTGAGCACAATAATGACCCGCGGAGTGATTTCTTTTGGAATCTCAACAATGGAACAAAAAGGGGTGCAAGCCACTTTGTACTTACCTCATAGCCTGCGAGACAACTTCAGATGGAGGAAGAAGTCCACATTGCAGCAGCACATGCTACCAGCTTTGAGCTGGAGCCATCCTGCTAAAGAAGTCGCATTTGCCTTCCGAGGCAGTTCTCTGCAAAGAAAACTTTACTTGAACAAAGGCTGAAAGATCTAGCTCAGGATCATGTACACGTAGAAGCAAGAGTACATAGGTTATGTACTCTTGCCAGTCTTGGTAGAAGGTCTACATGGTCTACGATCGTGCATGGCTCTGCCAAAAGAAAGAAAAAAGTAGTTAGTTGAATGCCCTTGGACGTGGATTTGATGATCACTCAAATCAAGAGTTCATGGACTCTTTGATCTTGCTCATATTGCTGCACCATGTTGGCATGTACCAGTACTGCTGTGCACGTCACGTTTTAAAAACGACTACGTAGGTGTACGTGATCATGCTGCAGGCCAGGGGAGGGGGGTACCGGGTGTGCAGACCATGTACCAGATCAGAGACATGCCGCGCGCTAGCGGCGCTGTAGCCTAGTGTAGGACTTAGTACTAGTAGTAGTACCTGGCTGCTAGTGTGCATGTGCCGGTAGTCTACGATGGGCCCATTTTGATTAGCCCCAGACTGGATACAGTTCCACCCAGGGAGCCCTACACATACATACCGCATATAATTATGTAGATAGGGCTAGGCTCCAGCCCGGCCCCAGCTTCCACCCCGGTCCCCGGTACGTAGATCTCCTCATGGTAGACTCTACTTGTGTACTGCCAGTACAACTCGACTCAGGTAGTAGAAATAAAAGAAGTCGCACCCCCCAACCCCCTCCTCCTCCTGGCTTCAGTTCAGGTTTGAGCTGAAGATGGGGGTGCACCCCATCTTTGCCCTTGCCCAAAGACTAGGGAGTTCAGTCACGTGACAAATCAGCTGAAAACAGCCTTCACGCGGGTCACGTACGTCATTTGCATGGTAGCGGTGGCACCATGGACTTCGCTGCAGTTTTTTCGAACTGCCTTGTCCTGCTTTCTTTTTCAAAGTTGAAAGTAATAATTATTACGTGTATTTTGTTGGTGCGTTTGATAGCTAGCTGAGGTCTTCCTGCTCGTTTTGGTGCCGCACTTGCTTGGGCGACTGTAGTTTGAGCTTTTTGTTCTGAAGAGTGTAGTTTTCAATAGGATTTTTCATCCGTTTGGAGGGAGTACACGGCCAGGAAACACCCACCATCGTGTTCAGCGACCTCGAATTATGTAGAATAGTGCTTTCTTCTCGAGCTGGGGGATCGCTCTTCATCGCGCTTTTAAGACTTTCACCTCCTGGTCGCCCAAAATGAATGAATTTCTGGACCCAATATGTTCAAGCGCTAGGAGTGTTTCAGATGATTTGTTGGCCCTAGTGAAAGATTGCACCTGACGTAGACTTTCGCTATTGCGACAAAGTGAGCTATGATTTTGTATTCGACTCGTCGCTTTGAAACCAGAAAGAAATTGCTATGGAGTGGTGCTCTGACATGGATCGCGTCAGTGATTGGATGGTACGCGTATTTCACTATTGTGCATTTTACATGTAAAATGTACAGTCATGTACATGTACATGATTGATCAACTGTGTGACGGCCGCAGTAAAGTTGAGCATCTGAAGACCAAACTGCTGTATTTATTATTTGTACATGTATAATACAACCATAGCCATCAGTGCTCACTTCAATTTCATAGTAATGGAACTCGTGTTCAATGGATTTAGCATTGTTGCTATGGTGGTTGCTACGGGCGCCGCGCTCGTTCTCATTGGTCATCGCTTGTCGAAATATTATATTTTGGTCAACATTAGGACTAACCAACCTGATTGATTATGCCACAATTATGCTGAATTATGCTCGGTTCCACTATGTATTCACGCTGTACAGTCATAGAGGATTGAGAAACCACGCATACACACACGCGGCCCCAGGGCTTTCTGACAAAGCTGTATTATGCCCGAAGCATAATTTTTGTCTAAACCGAAAGATTATGCCGACCTTACATGTTGGAATCCGTATATTATGCTGGAGCATATTTTTTTGACAAAGCTGTATTATGCCCTAAGCATATTTTTTGTCTAAACCGAAAGATTATGCCGACCTTACACGTTGGAATCCGTATATTATGCCGGAGGACAAAGCTTTAATATGCCCTACAAAATGTAAGCATAGCCCTTTCCCAAAGGTGCTCGCCCTTTTTTTCGCCCGTTTTGACCCTTTTTGGAAAAGCCTGTTTCTTTCGCCCTTTATTGCGTTTTTTGGTGAATATCGCCCTTTTTGAGCTTTTTTAGCTGAAAAAGTGCTAAAATCTGTTTACTCATGCATACGATCGCAGTTTCCGAGTGCTCGATATCGCGATGGGCCTTGGCACGCCGCTTTTTGGGGGGGTAACACGCTGGTGAAGCTTGTACCCGGTGTACACAATGCTGTAAACAGTGGGTTTTTTGAACTTACTTCCTGGTTTGCCTTTCTAGGACCCAGGCATAAATGGAAGAGTGCGTATTCATTTCTCATCTTGGGTTCATATCTAAACATGTATCATGGCTATGCTTCACTGAAAAAAGAGCACTTTTGCCTGTTTTCACTGAAAAAGAGCACTTTTTCAGCATATTTTGAGGGATGCGAAAAGCACTAAGTGCTAATTAAAAGAGCACCTTTGGGAAAGGGCTAATCATGGCTATGCTTCACTGAAAAAAAGAGCACTTTTTGCCTGTTTTCATTGAAAAAAGAGCACTTTTTCAGCATATTTTGAGGGATGCGAAAAGCACTAAGTGCGAATTAAAAGAGCACCTTTGGGAAAGGGCTACCTAAGCATAAGTTTTGTCTAAACCGAAAGATTATGCCGACCTTACACGCTGGAATCCGTATATTATGCCGGCATAATTTTTGGACGAAATCCCAAGATTATGCCAAATATTATGCAGGCATAATCCGCCAAGGGCTATGCGTGAAGCTGGCTACATGTACATGTACATTGTAGGTCCAGCTCCAAAAATCGTGCATCTGAACCCGTCCGGCTTCGTCCGGAGACTTGACGTTGCAAATCAACCTTCTCAGTGGATTGTTTCAGACAACATGCTCACTGCTGTTTAAGTTTTTTTCTTCTACGCTTTGGCCTTGATCCAAGACGGCCTTCTTAAATCGACTTTTCCAACTTTCAAACTGGCATTATGGAGTAGTGTGAGCATTATACATGTAAGTGGCATTATACCATCATAATATATTATAATTATTATTAGCATTGCCTTTTAGGCATATGCGGGTAATGTCGGCAGAAAAATTGGCAGAATTCGGTACTTTTTCTGGTAAGTTTCATGCATGTTTGGTATGTGGATAAAGAAATGGAGCAGAAATCGAGGAATTGCCCGCCATAAGGTTTGTATGGTTCTGCCAATTTCACTGCTTTTCGAGCAGAATCTGCCGCACCTTTTCGAGCATTATCCGCACACCCTAATTGCCTTTAGCATTATCGCAGCAAATAACTAGCATTACCCGCCCATGCCTACCCCTGTAAGAAGGCCTTAGGCCTGTGGGGATTGCCCTATCAAAAATTTGATAATAATGAAGCCGGACGGATTCAGATGCACGATTTTCAGCCAGCTTCATGCATGACATCGTTGTCGACCGGCAATTATGCTTGTAATGCCAATTTTGCATGCGAAATGGTGTTATAATGCCAGCATTATGCCACCTGGAAAAAAGGGACTATACTGCCAGCCATAATGCTAGCATTACCCGCCCATGCCTAGTGCTACATGGAAAAGTGCAGTGGTATTTATTGAGTCAAAGCAAGTTTATTTGAATTTCATACGGTTGATGGTGTGGTCACTAATGAGTGTGGGTATGTAGCAATACAGTGCAGACCAGGTCCTACATATTTTCTGGAAGCAGTCAATTATGTAGCGTGTACAGTATACTACATAATACTTTTGCAGTATTAAAATTTATATCTGACTCCTTGTTACAGGAAATGATTGTGTGGAGAAGACAATGAATACAAATACTTTTGAAAGGTGCTGGTGATGTCGGCTACAAAAAGAGCTAAATGCACAACACCTGTTTCAGCAAAATGATTCCAGTTATTTGTCAAATAAGACTCAATACTGAAAACTGGCTAATGTTTGCAATTTTGCAAGTTAAGAAGAGCATAATGCAAGACAGTATCAACCATCGTGAAATCAAACTTCAAATAGTGGGTGTATATGATCAAGAGGACAAGTCATACATGTATGTACTCTTGATATGATGTACATGTATGTGTCGTCGCCACAGTGCTCCGCAAGCATTTTGGCATCTCAAACTCGCTGGTTCTGAGATATCGTGAAAAATTTAGTGAAGCGAACACCAGTAGTACATGTAGTATTGGGCAATTTTATACAGTAGATGGGAGGTAAAATACCCTTTGAAGGCTTGACAGAGAACGAGAAGATGTTCCTCACGAACTGCAGTTTAATTAAAAAATCATTTTCAAGAGAATGGACTCCGATGGAGAGCTTGGAATAAACACCACATGCAAGAAACTAGATGAAAGATGAGAGACCAGCAGGGCAAGTAGATACGGAAAATGGAGGATCAGCAATAGCCAAAACCAGAGTAAGTACATGTAGATATGTAGCATTTTATCACTCCACTCCATAATCTAACGGACAATCTCTGGTGCATTGAGGAAATGAGTGAGACAGGGTACGGTAAGGTGCGTGTTGGTAAGGGTTAGATGCATAGGGGAGGTGCAAAGGGGGCTCAGGCAGAGGAACAATGGTGAAACGAGAGAAGAAAATCAGTGAAAGAGAAATCCGGGACTCTAATCAGTTTGCAAGCGGCACTAGATACTAATCAAGGGGCCGAAGGAAACAAAGACATCCAAGTAATACAACACTTGAGGTGCAGGAGAATAGGCATGTAGGGACACGGAGGGTAGCTAGTCTTAGGTCTATCCACAATTTGGAAAGGGCAAACAAGGGACACGGAGGGTAGCTAACAAGCTGGGTAGGATGAAAATCAGGGCACACAAATTGTATAGAATGAGTATAAAAATTAGTCGACGTGATGCAAGTGGTCTCAATACTTGGATGCCCGGAGAGCAAGACGTGGTCATTAGCAAGTCTGGTATCGATAAAGGAATAAAGCTGTACATGTTGACACAGATAATCTGTCTGTTTCTGCCACCATACAGTAGAGGAGAGATGTCAATAGGGGAAGTTAATGTCTATTTGTTCGAATCTGTATTTTCCTAACAGCCTGGTCAGGGACGCAGGCGATATAGTATCTGTAAAAAGAAGTTGGCTGAATAGATGTAGTCCAGCGCAATTTAGGCAGTTGCCATAGCAGAGGGGACAGTGTCTGGAGCACTGATGGCACCAACGCTGCCGTATCTGAAGACAAAAAAAGCACGACAAGAAAAACCGCAAGGAAATCACTATCAAGAGCCACAAGGAAACTGGCAACTGTATATGAAGACAAACTCCCACAATAATAAACCAGTGTCATCGCCGTTTGGTTTGATTGGAAGAGTAATGTAGAGGGTGGCACCGTATTGGAACAGGTTCATATTTTTAACCCCTTGTCGTATAAAGGGTGGCACAACATGACCAATACTGTGCAGCAACCAACACAAATTAATCATCCAGTTGAATTTAATGGCCAGCATTTTTACAAATACAGTCAGACCTCGCTTAACCGCACACATTCGTTTTCCACAAAAAATATCCGGATTGGTGAATAAGAATAAAAATACCATAGACGAGGGAACCGGATAATTGAACACACATTCTGTATGTATGCATGCCAATTATAAGTCGGAAACCAACAGTTTTCTTCCGGAAGGCGAGGGATCCGGATAAGCGAGGTCTGACTGTAATAGCAAGAGAAGCATTCACAGTGACACAAGCTGATAAATATTACTTACACAGTGCTGCGGTATTTCTCAATGATTGCGCGCTGCTCCATGCGTGGTGCATCTTCGAATAGAACTTGTAGCTCAGTCACCAGCTCGACAATTTCAGGAAAGGAATAATTTGAAGAAACCTCTAGTTCGTGGGTCTGCAGACACAAATACACAGAAAAATAAATGTCATTGAAGCACAGCACACAAAGTCACCACCTTAGCGAGATTTAAGCCGCATCCCCTCTTCAAGGTAAACAATTTACTTCCAAAGCTTTAACTATCCTCGTTTAAGGTAGCTCGGGCCTATATCGCTGGTTGACCATGGCAGCAGTTCCTTTTACCTTCCTTCTCTCTCAAATTGTCTGGATATTGAGTATCTCGCTTGAGCGCTTTCAAATAATAAATCCTGATTTGACTTGCGAAATCGTGGAACCACACGGAGAGTGACATGAGTTTCATCCCAAAACGCAAACTCCCATCGTATTCAGCCGTGTGCAAAGAAGGCGTTAAACTGGTGAATTTTCGGAAAAAGTATTTCGGCATGAGCTACCTTAAAATAAATCATTGGTTCACAGAACTAATTCCTAGCATATTTTCCGCAAACAAAAGTAAGCCGAGTCAAAACGCCTCCATTTGTGGACCTTCTTACGAGCTCGACACAAAACAAGTTAGAGAACCATTCCTCACCCAGGCAGGTAGTCCCAGGGTGTGTCGCGCAAGGCACAGAGATGCAGCGGCCACAGTCGATGGTAGGTAGTTGATAAAGGGGTCAAACTTCAACAGTGTCAGCTCACAGAGGAACTGTGGGTGGGGCAAAAAGATAGTACACAGACAAAACAGAAGAACAAAGGTACTAAGTATGGAACAATCCACACAGAGAAAAACAAGCATTAGGCTTCAGAAATAATGATACAATGTACCGCAGAGACATCATTGGCTCGAAATCTGAAAATCTTCCTTAGTTTGATTTCCAGGAAAAATAGGCTTGGTTTTACACATCAGAATGGAGTTAATTTTAAAGGTCCATATTAAAGGGGTCGGCCGTATTTTTCAAAAAATTAAAAAATCCGTTCTCAGGCAAAAGGCTCTTGACGACCCCTATTAAACCATAGGTTGAATTTCAACGGTTACTGTTGACTGCAAAGGACAATACAGTCAACCTTGCATAGCCGGTCCTCTTTTATCCGGATACCTCACCATCCAGAAGGAAATAGCCGGTTGCAGATTTACAGCATACAATCGGTTCCCTCGCCTATCCGGATATTTTGTGGAAAACGGATGTGTGCGGTTAAGCGAGGTCTAACTGTAAAGCAAGCGTGGAATTTGTGGGAACAGAACCGGGCATTGAATAATTCGCCCAGGTAGCATTATCATTTGTCCTTCACACAAGCACATTCTTGGAACTCACCATAGCTAGCCACATGACACGCTGGCTGCAATTGGAGACACTGGCAAAGTGTTCCAGGAAGCACAGGGAAGTCGGCATAGCCATTTCATGCTGCAAGTGGAGGAGCAAAAGCATCTCCATGCGCTGGATCTGCACGAAAAAGAAAAACATTCACATGTAATGGACCAGAGAAAAGGATGCATGTCAATTAACCCTTTAAGAGCCACAGAAAAATTTCAAAATTCTGCATTTTTTCGTGTTCCTTGGATCATAGCTTCAGTTCTACTCACTCAATCCTCACAATCTAGGGCTTCCTGGAAAGGTCTCCGCGAGAGAAAGAGAATGAGGTCGATCATGATAGCCAGCACACCGTCTATCCAGCGCTAGATCGCAGCGACAGTACGAAAAATGCCTCAAATGCGTCCAATTGCGTCCCGCTCCAGATATTTCATTTTACTCGATCGTGGAGTTCCAATTTTTTCGCTGTGTACTCTTGACAATATCAACAGTAAAACCCGTGCAAATCCGAGTAAACCAGCGTGACGAAAAGTCTCAAAATTCTCAATACTAAAGTCGCACTGCGCGCTTTTGAAATTGCCGCGATCGCGGCTCAACTTACGAGTGATTTATCTCGAGAACCGTTGCTCGCAGCGCTTCGCGGATTGTTTCTCCCGACAGGTGAGCGTTTTCTCTTCGCCCTGGATATTTCGATCACTGGATTTGAGCGAGATTGGACTGAGTTACGATCTGTTGAAGTTTTGCATTTGAATGCGTCGTTTACGACGCATTCAAGTATGGGGCGGCTCTTAAAGGGTTAAAAGGGAACACAAAATAGGAACTACAATCATTTAGGGGTTAAACAAATATCGAAGTTTTTCTTCTTCACAAAACGAAATAATTTCGTATCAGAAAACATTGATACATGACAACATTGATACATGCACACGGCCAAAGGAGCAGTGACGCACTTACAACTTTTGCATGTATTAGGCCATGGTAAGTAGTGTTGAAACGATCTCACCGGATACTCGTTAGCTCGCTCGCCAGAAACTCAGCTCGTTTGTGCGGCCAGCTCGTTTGCACTAACGAACACCGTACTCCGTACACATGGCAGTATATGTCGACCGGGGAGTCGTAAAATATTTTACGACTCCCTGGTCGATCGAGAGTCCAGTCCCGCGCAAAGTGAAAATCACTCGCAGTTACAGTGACTGTATGTCTGCACGACACTTGAGTTGTTTCAGTTGCCGTTGCAGCTTTGGTGGACTCTACTGATGTCTTGTTCCGCATCTGTTGACCTGTCGCAGGATATGCTTCGGTCACCTCTCCATTCGAGTGAAAGTTACGCTCAGTCGTTTGGAAGTTTTCTCCCGCGATGCAGCGAAGACCAGGGCTACTTGCAATCTTTGCAAAACGGTCTATTCTTACAAAGGCTACTCGACGACGGCGCTGAAAAGACATCTCGAAACCAAACAGCAGTCCGAAGTGAAGCAGCAGCAACCCCAAATGCCGGCGGTGATAGTTTGCACCAGCTGAAAAAAATCGAACTTAGAAAAAAAATTATTCAAAAAATCATATTTGCCACATCAATGAAACTCGTTAGCTCGCTCGATAGGTTGCTCGTTAGTGGAACTGATCGCTCGTTTGTTATAGATACGCTCGTTTCAACACTAATGGTAAGTACACGCGCACCGACGATTTTTGGCGGCGCACCGACGATTTTTTATTATTTCTATGCATGCATATGCGCGCATGAAAACGGTCAATGCAAAAGGCATGAATCCGGTAGTAGTAAAATACCGGTATTTTTCTACTCCCTGGCCTGAATAATAAAATAATTATATGAACCTATGACGTCAAGAGTCCATAACCCCCCAGAGTGCGCAACTCCAGGTTGGGGTCTGGCGCAACGAAATCCAAACATTGCGTCATCCGGTCCATAGTCAAGCATGGGCGGATGGGGCCATGTGCATATCTGGTACATCCGCTACTCACTACATGACGTATGAAGTTTGGATTTCGTTGCGGCACTGATTTGTGCTGAGAAGGATCACGAGTTGCACACTCTGGGGGGTTATGGACTCTTGATGACGTACATATGTGTGACCCTATCTTTGGAAATAAAAAAATTGTGGGAAATAAAATAAAAAATCGCTCGCTCGCACCGATTTTCACAGGCTCATGACCTGAGAATCAACTTTATTTTTTACCATGGCCTTATGTCAACATTTTTTTACGTTCTGAGGGGGAGGGAGGGGTTGGGTCCAAACTAAAATAATTTATTGGTGAAAACAATCGATATTCACGGACGGCCCCTTATAATGCTAGCCTTGCTGCAATGTACCAATGTGAAACTTTGCATGCCTACCAGAGAAGAGGCAACATAGCTCGACTAGTATAATGCATGTTGAGTGGTCATGCAGCCTACCTGTTCAAGGCTGTACGTGTTGTCAGTGATGTAAACAAACTGAGAGATCTCCGGCACAGTGATCTCCTCCAGCTTGCTTGCGACAAGGACAGCAGTTGCACCAACCAACTGTAGCTTACCACGGTGCACATGCATAACGGACAAGAATCGATCTACATACCTGAAAGCAGAACGAAGGAAACAATAAATTAGGTAAAGTATAGAGCACTGGACAGGACCCAAGTGTGCAACCTTTGTCGTGAGCTACAATGGACCAAGTCCGTGGAACTACTTGGGTCAACACGTGCACGTACATGTATCAGAGAGAAGCAAATGGCACCAGACTCAACACATAGAGCAGAAGACCAACGGTAAACCACACCTTACCCAACAGCCAAATGAAGGGTCTGCGAGTGAAGCTTGTACTCTTCTGCAACCGACACCATCCAGTCAATGAGAATAGTTCTCATCCATGGCTCGATATCGGACTGTTTTGCCATGTATCCTGGCCAGGGGCGCAACCGCACCTGACAGGAACAATCAACAAGAATAAGAAAAAATGCATCAAACATATGATATCCTGATGCAACACCTAGTACTCTGTCCCCTTGGAAAAACGCGATTCCGCGGCAAATTTCGCAGAAGGTGCCATCATCCGCGGAAATCACGGAATCCACACATTTGCCCGCGGAATCTGAATTTTTTAAGGGTAAACAGAGTAAACCACTAAAAATTACTACTCAGAAAGCAGCAGAAAAACTACTTTGCGATCTGTTTGAGCACATTTCTCTCCAAGATTCTTCACTCTCATTCAGTTTGTGACTGCAAAGGATAGTATGAAAAGTGCTCCTTCATGCGACTAGTTGTCATATCCTCTACCAAGAGTACTCTCGCCTCTACGAGGAGGGTGAAAAACTTGCAGAAAGTGCCGCAGAAAACCCCCTTTCCCCGCGGAATTTTGAATTCATGGCCGCGTTTTTCCAAAGGGACAGAAACTGTACTACTGTCGTCTTGCCCAAAGGACGAACTATTTCTCTACGCTCTCGCCACTCCACACAACAAAAGGACTGGGAAAATAGTAGTTCTCGATACCGAGAGAGAAAGCTATTTCGTACCACACTTCAAGAGCCGACGAGAGAAGTGACAACTGACAACTGGCAAAAGGAAACATATTTCGGAAATTGGTGCTCTCATCATGTCAGCACAAAAAGGTGCACGTGTCGGCAATACAATAAAGCAGCGCAGCAGCATGTACGACACAGAGACACAAATACAGCAGCATGTACGACAAAGAGCTACTACTCAGAAAGCAGCAGAAAAACTACTTTGCGATCTGTTTGAGCACATTTCTCTTGCCAGTGCAGGTCTCTCCAAGATTCTTCACTCTCATTCAGTTTGTGACTGCAAAGGATAGTATGAAAAGTGCTCCTTCATGCGACTAGTTGTCATATCCTCTACCAAGAGTACTCTCGCCTCTACGAGGAGGGTGAAAAACTTGCAGAAAGTGCCGCAGAAAACCCCCTTTCCCCGCGGAATTTTGAATTCATGGCCGCGTTTTTCCAAAGGGACAGAAACTGTACTACTGTCGTCTTGCCCAAAGGACGAACTATTTCTCTACGCTCTCGCCACTCCACACAACAAAAGGACTGGGAAAATAGTAGTTCTCGATACCGAGAGAGAAAGCTATTTCGTACCACACTTCAAGAGCCGACGAGAGAAGTGACAACTGACAACTGGCAAAAGGAAACATATTTCGGAAATTGGTGCTCTCATCATGTCAGCACAAAAAGGTGCACGTGTCGGCAATACAATAAAGCAGCGCAGCAGCATGTACGACACAGAGACACAAATACAGCAGCATGTACGACAAAGAGCTACACGCACAGCCATGTACTGAGTACCATGTACACGCCCGTCGCAAGATAAGCACACAAATCTGCAAATGCACTGGATGTAGTAGTAGTAGAATTTATTATTTGGATGTGCACCCGCACCCACCCCCCCCCCCCCCCCTCCCCCTTCGGAACCTAAATCCATATTTTGTGGACATTCAGAGTATAAGGCGAACACTACACTATAAGCGGTGTGAGCCGCACTCGCACGAAGTCAAAGGGGTGAGTCTTTTTTTTAAGTGTTTTAAAGTGCAGCTAACAATCTGGAAAACACGGGACTTGTCCACCACAACACTTATTTGCAAAGACACAGCATTGTACACTCCTGGAGGGCAGATACTTTTTAGGCAGCACTCACCTCGCGTCGTCGGAGCACTGTCAGGATGTCATCACTGTACTCCTTCAAACCCAGACTCTGGAAGCTGAGGTGTGTAGGACTTCTGTTCTCGGCGGACAGGGGGGAGAATGCATCTAGAAGAGAAGATTTCGGAGTGTTGATGCGCGAGTGTTCTGCACGAAGGAAAACCCAAACTGGAAATGTCATCCATGCTCCCGATAATCACACACAGCTATGATTATCAATGTTGAAACGATACGCGATACGTCGATTGCAAAAGGACAGGGGAGTGAGTGTTGAGTCTATTCTTCATGAAGCTTGGTTTAATAGCACATTCGATTACACACTATTTCGTCCATGCACACACCATATTATTACACCGAATCTAAAGAATCAAATCAAAAAGAGCCAGGATACTCTAGAAGGTACAAGTCAGGATACCTAATACTTTATTAACATTTTTCATTTTTAGGAAATTAGAGGCCACATGCCACGTACTGCTCTTTTCTCTCCGAGCAAGCCAGATATGAAAGAAAGAAAAAATCATCAGTCACACCACCGGGACTCGAACCAGGGACCTTGCTATTCAAATTTGAAAATAACATGTTTCATGATAACACTACACACTCCAGCAACCAATTTAGTTCTCTGAAGAAGCTTTATAAATCAAGCATGGGAAACATCTGACACAGCTGAATTTTTGTCTGTTTCTATTTTACTTCACCAGCTACACAGGCATCTCTGCCTTCTCGTCTAACCATAGTCCATATTTTTCCCTGCACTGCAAGCGACCACAGAGGCCATATACGGTGCAGGGACTGCGTACCTTGTTTGGCGGGATCAAAGGTTGGGAACTAACCTTTGGAACGGGGAACATTTCGACTGATGGAGGAAAAGAAGTATCACAATCCGTATAAATACTAAATCGGTATAAAGATTGGCATAATGGCTGGAACACTTGTCTGATCTCCAAACCAAATCAAATCCGAAAGACGAGGTTATAAACTCTTCGTTTCAAAATTGGCGGGACTAGTGTACAGTGATAAAACACACAATTAATTTATACCATGAACACAACTGACTGTACTCTTGTGTACCTTGCGAGCAGGGGCAAGAGTCGGTCAAACTGTAATCGGCGAAACCACTATCGCTGTGGTTTGTGCAGTGGCAGTGCGTGCTGTTACAACTGCCGATGCTTTGACGTGGCTGAAACAACCAAGCACATGCATTGCTTTCTCAGTACAAGAACAAGCCAAGGCTAGGGAAAGATGGTCAAACATGATCACATAATCCAGGAAATGGGAAAGAATATCAATTCTGTATTAGGGTAGCCCAAAGATTGACAGCCTATCGAATGTATGCGAGAAAACTGCTAACAAACAGGACCCTACCTGCTTCGCTTGCGGCTGCATACGATCCACCAGTCCAATACCGGAATCCTCATGACTCATTGCCATGGTTGTGGGCCGTCTTTTCACGGAGCGAACATCCATAGCACTAAGGACAGGAGAATAGTTCTGGTGCGGTACACTGCCAACGCATTCACGGTTTTCAGCCATACTGAATTTGGAAAATGATTCTAAAATGAGACAGAGGGAAAGGGGTTTGGCGCGGGTTATCTGAACCGAACCGCCAACTATTATTTTCTGTACAGACAGGGGTCCCGGCAGCTGTTGGCTTATCTCTCAACACTTGCTGTGACACAGCAAAAGCGAGCAAAAGCCAGACAAGCGTGCACGTTCAGGGGAGAACAAAGGGAAATCCGCCTGACAAGACACAGAGTAGGAGTTACGCCGAACAAACAGCGAGAGTAACTGCCGTCTTCGCAAACTTTCCTTGCAAGCACCTGCCACTTGCCAGGCCTCGGCCTCGCGCTCAAGATCGGCTTGGAGCTGGGTTCGCGAATTCGCGCTATGCTGAACGGCTTTTCGAGCGTTGAAATTTCGCGGGAACTGTCAACCAATCACATCCCCGATAGCAAACACGTGGTCAAAACTTTTCCAGCTGAGAGTTTGTTTTTGGCGGGTTCCGGCGCGAAATCATGAGCACGGCGCGGTCGGGATCAAATTTTGTAGGGTGCCTTCCGGGGAAGCCCCTACATGTAACATAATCATTGTTGTGATCAGGGAGTAGTATTGTACTACTCCCTGGTTGTGATTATACATTTATAGGCCCTTCGATTTCGAACAACACAGGCATCGTCGACGTCGTCATCTTTTTTCTTTTTCTTTTTTGGCTGGATGTTTTTCCTTTGCGCTCTTGAAGTAACAAAGTTTTGTTCTTATCAATATCAATAGATAAATTTCTGCGTCGATCGCAGCTAGCTCTACCATGCTGTAGCTCTGCCTTGGTCTACGAGTCATAACTATGTTTCGTTGTTTATTCATTTAGCCATTTAGGTTTCTTGCATAGCACGCAGTGCACGGTGCCTTTCTGTAAATTTTTGGAGATAGTGGTGGCGTGTTGACTGGCAGTCTAGCATTTCCATTATTTTTCATATTTTGTACATTACATGAACATAAGTAACCAGCTGGCTGACGTGACGGAGGAGGCTGTATTCCGAGTTCGGACATCACCGTGCTGCTGAATGAGTGATGAGGCCTCTATTCGTCGTCTCAGGCGCCGTCTTAAACATGCAGTGGAGGACGATTCACTGGTAGACGTTGAGCGACTGTTGCGTGGCCAGTCTAAAGCTGTTGTCAATGAAGCTGCCAGTCTGAGCAACGGCAGTACTTTACTGCATGATGCATGCAGCCAGGGCCTAGAGCAGATAGCCGTGTGCCTTGTGAGTGGGGGAGTCGATGTGAGCAGCGTTGACGCAGATCTGAACACGCCGCTGCATTCTGCAGTGCGGAGGCTACAGAACCACCGCTCCTCGCGCTCATGGAGCAGCATGAGCTCGGTGATCTTGACCCTGCTCTGGGCTAAAGCATCTATCTACAATGCTGAGAACGGCCTGGGCATGTCACCGCGACACTTGTTACAGCCGATGATTTATTCACTCCGGCAGAAGAAGAAGAAACGGAGTACCAGTGCCAGTGCGTCTCCGTCTTTTGACCATGAGCGCTTCATGCAAGAACTAGAAGCCGTGACAAGTTCTGACGCCAGTGCTGAGACAGAATGGCAGGAGAAACTCATGCATAGTGCCCTGGAAGATGTTGATGAAGCGGATGGCAGCGAATGGCGCTTCTTCGATGATGGATATCAGTACGAATCCTTAAGTGATTACATGACACGCTTGGGAGATACCTTGAGTCGCAAGCGCCACCAGCAACGACATGCATCACCTCAGGCTAAGCGAAAGCCGAGAAAATCCAGCGCGTCACCACCGCCGAAACGCAAGACCCTTGGCCCTCTAAAGCCTGAAGTACGGACTCGGAAACCCACTGCTACTCGCCTTCCCTCTGACCATGACATGCAGTTCCTTCGCATGCTGCAAAGTGCCAAAGAGAAAGGTGCCACGTTATTTGAACATGACATTCCTTGGCCATGCAGGGGCCCAGCAGCCGAAATGGCAAAGCTTCTTGTGGATGGCGTTGCTGCGGATAAGATACGGCTGCACATCCATCGCCTCTTGCGCCGTTGGCACCCGGACAAATTCGTGCAACATCTCGGCGCGGTGTTGGCTGCTGAGGACCGCGAGCGTGTTATCCAGCGTGTGACAGCCCTATCGCAAGCGCTAACTGCGCTCCTACCTACCACCTGATATTATCTGCACCATTGCTTGGCGGCTGTCTTGTCGGCTGCTAATCAGTGTCTGGCGCCTATAACAGAGAGCACAGGTACGTAAAATCACTGCCCCTGGCCCAGCCATGCTCTGGCATTAGAAAATGCCTGATAGAGTAGAGGAGTGCCTTCTTGTGTCGCTGTGTGGACTGCATGCGTACTTAGCTACCGTAAAAGTCCGTAAATAAGTACCTGCCCGAAAGAAATACCCCCTTCATTCTTTTGGCTCTGTCTGTTGAAGTCAAGTCAAGCCCGATATGCATACTGCCCGAAATAAGTACCGGTACGATGCGCACATGCAGCACTTGGCATGTACATCGACATGAAAATGACTTCTCCACTACACACAAGTCAGGTCCGAAAGTTAGTTCGTGCCCGAAAGTCAGTACCCGCCCGAAAGTTAGTACGGGTGTGGTCACTAAATTCGAAAGTAAATACGTACTTATTTACGGACTTTTACGGTACTTGCAAAAGAAAGATCAATAGAGCGGTATTGGCTGATATACCCATGATTGAGCAAAATTATTGCGCTGTGTACAACTTGCTCCCCCGGATCGCTGCGCAGGAAACCATGCTTTCAGTGCGGCCACCACTATGGCGTATGTCTGGCTATTGTAGTTCTCCACACTGAATGCATGTGCAGTGAAACATCAGTGTAGCATAGTACCTCCAAGGGCTATACATACCCTACGTGACTAATACGTACTAGTGTTGTCATAGATGGAACCAATCAAGGCTCTATCAAGGCTCTCACAGAGTGTGCAGTATTTTTCGATGCTGCATATGGGAGAACTCGTTTTCCATGCAGTGTTGCAACACTAGGCGGAATTTGACCTTTGAACTCATCTAAATACAGTAGTGGCAACTGAAATCCGACCCCAGCTCGGTGCACTCACATTGCAAAAAAAAACAGCACGCGCGCCTGTACACTACCAAAATAGAGGCCCTGCAGCCATGGCCAGTGCATGCACTTGAGCACGAAAATCAGGGGTCGGATTTCAGCTGCCACCCCTGTAAATCAGTAATGGTGCACTTGATTTGACCTTTGAACTGACCTCTATATGTACCCAAGTACGTCAGGTGCAGGCACTCTGTGATAATCGACTTGTAGAGCTGTATATGGGTGAGAGGTCAAGATCTGTGCCAGTAACAGTCACGTGGGATGCTGTAAACCGGAAAACCTGTGCGATAGTCATTGCCCAAATTTGCTCGGCCTACATCGATATTTTGCCGCACAATTTTGCCACAAATTTTTCGATATTCTGCTTGGCATTTCCTTTCTCCGTCGGTATTTTGCTTTGGTTTTGCTCGAGATAAAATGAGTTTCAAGGAAAACTCAACGATAATTGTCGCTGATGACGACGACATTTTTGATTGAGCTCCTGCTGATGCTCAACTTTCCACTGAAATGTAGCTATGAGTCTGTTTTCTACAACTTTTGTGCTTGTTTTCAACCTTGGCGACTGATTGTGTTGAGAAGTCCCTAGGAAGCCTTGGATTTTTCGAAAAGCCCACCAAAACTCGATATTTTGCTCAAAACTTGCCGGAAACTTGCGCATCCGATATTTTGCTCAAAGAATTGCTAGCAAATTTGGGCTGTGACTACTGTGCGACCTGGAATCCTTCGCAGTTTTTGCGATGGGTGTGAAATCGCAAAAGTAAGCTGGCGCGATAATTAGAACTGTACTTCGAAGTAGTAAAAAACTAGGGAAATTGACCCATTGCGCAATGACGTAAAAACACCCTTCACAGCCAAATATGGAATGCATGAGTAATGCTTGTGAGTATGCTGGGATCAGGAGTGCACTGTTCAACACCCCAGACGACCCCCCCCCCCCTCAGGTGGCTGTGAAGGGTGTTTATGGTACAAATTACGTCATTGCGCAATGGGTCTACTGACTCCAATCGCAAACATTTACCGGTGCAAATCTCGCGAATCGCGAATTAGAACTGTATATCCAAGGATTTAGGTCAAATTACTGGAATAGCTTACTGCAGGGTCTTCGAAGAATAGTACTTTATAGTCAATAGTACTAGTAGGTTATAGTCAATAGTACTAGTAGGTTATGTCATAGTACTAGTAGGTTATGTCATAGTACTAGTAGGTTATATCATAGTACTAGTAGGTTATATCATAGTACTAGTAGGTTATGTAATAGTACTAGTAGGTTATATCATAGTACTAGTAGGTTATATCATAGTACTAGTAGGTTATGTAATAGTACTAGTAGGTTATGTCATAGTACTAGTAGGTTATGTCATAGTACTAGTAGGTTATGTCATAGTACTAGTAGGTTATGTCCCGGGTACTATAAAAGTTTATACTGATGTTTCACTGTAGTACATGTATTTGTTAGACGAGATTCTCAGAGGGTCAACAAGTACTAGTAACCCCAAGTCCATGTGCATGTATGTACGTGAAAGAATGCAGATACCAGGATGTATTTCAAGTCTAGATCAATAAATGATTGGAATATTCTGCATTATTCTTCATAGTACGGCACTGCATACAGCTTTCCAGTAAGCTCCGCACACAGGATAACTTATTGGGATTTTCTACACAGCGTTGGGTACGGAGTGCATGCACCCAGGCCGATCGGCTGACGTGTGGGTACAAGTATGGCACCCTGTTGCAATGCAGGTTCATGCTGAAGGAAGCAGTCATGGCAGTGTATGGATGCTTCAAGACAGTTATCCCCGGGCCTTGCTGTGCCCCTTGCAGGCGCACAGAGGGCATGTGCACACTAGAATCTTTCGACCTTCGTTCAGCATGATTGTGGATGTTTGGGCCGAAGATCGCAGTTCAGGGCAGTGCCTATTGTAAACCCACCCCGCAAAAAGAAAGAAGATGGGCCAGCTACACTACTGTTCCTACCATGACTGCTTCCGGAATTCCGTCTGTATGATCTGTTGCACACAATACCTACCGTATGTCCGCACTTTTAAAGCCATGGCGGTATATTCGATTAAAAAGCCAGTCTCAGTTATAAAGCCATGGGCTTCATAAATGAAATGACATTTCAAGTATGTTTTTGTAAAAATGAAGGAATAAGTACATGCTAACAAACTTACAGCCCAGCAGGAAGGGTGAACAGGTGGATTTAGATTGAAATTTCTGTGTGGACTTGGGACTTTTTATGGCATGGCGTATTGGGTGAGTCATTTTGCATCTAAAGTATCTAGGAAAGCAGCGGTGTTTCGATTATAAGGCCATGGCTTTAAAGGCGCTGCCATACGGTATGTGCATGACGCAGCAAGAGCCTGCATTGCATCAGGGTGCCATACTTGCATCCACCCTGTATATGGAGCACACCAGAGAACTGTCTGTAGTATGAAACAATGCAGCGAGATGGATGCAGAATATTCCGGGTCTTACAGCAAGCACCTGCATTGATCCATTCTTGTCTTCCCTGCTCCATTCTATCTAGGAAAGCAGCGATGTTTCGATTATAAGGCCATGGCTTTAAAGGCGCTGCCATACGGTATGTGCATGACGCAGGCATGAGCCTGCATTGCATCAGGGTGCCATACTTGCATCCACCCTGTATATGGAGCACACCAGAGAACTGTCTGTATCATGAAACAATGCAGCGAGATGGATGCAGAATATTCCGGGTCTTACAGCAAGCACCTGCATTGATCCATTCTTGTCTTCCCTGCTCCATTCTAGATGCAAGAAATAGTGCCTTTCACTTCTTCTAGATTCTTCCCACATGAACTCTTATGCCATTTATGGCTAGAGCAAATATCTAGATCATTGCATCGTCTCTATGACTCACCCTAAAACCCTAAAGATCTTTCCACAGATTTCTCAATGTCCCTACAGTACTGCTGGGTTCAGAAGAACTGGGGGTCAGCCTCGTAGCATAGGCTGGGCTGTTCTTATTTTCATTGTACATGTACTATGTTCTTTGCACAGTTGATTCACCGTGTATACTTTGGTACTCTAATTTCAGAAATTTTAGGTCCTCAATATTTTCGGTATGAGGGCAAAAGGCCAGGTTAGGTGAACAGAAAATTTAAGTACAGAGAGACAGTTCCCTATTGGATGATGTGTGTTAGTGTGTTGTTCGGTGTATTGAAATTTTTAATTTAGGTATGGAACAGATGCACCGAAAGTACCGAAAATAAAAGTACACCGAAAATTTGTGAAATTCCAGTATTCTGTGCTTGGTTGCATTCTAGCCTGTTCGGTCTTTGGCACCCGACGCTACTGTATAGCTTTTCTGCACACTTTCCCCTGGTGCTGCCAGTTAGCTCTCACGACATAAGCGTAGCCACAATTGCCGGGAAAGCCAGCACCAATGTGCTCTTCCGGGCAGTACTAATAAGTCCGCGTTGTTCTGTTCGCGACACCTCCAATCAACATTTTCAACTGAATCAAAAGTATGAAGAAAGAAGCAATGCCTTCTCATTCTGCTTGTTACACAGCATGCTTGACATGGGGAAGAACTAGCCTGTCAATGCCACTAGAACATATCCTATGTCGGCAGGAGTATGACTTTCATTTGGATGTATGGAGCAAATCTCAAAACGTTTTCTCAAGGCATGCATGTCACCATACATCAGCTTCTGGGGTCAGTAACAACAGGGGAGGGGAGCGCGGGGTACATTTTCCAGCAACAACTAGAAAAATGTAATTTGTCCTTGGAGTAAGACGAATCTGATCAGCACTTGGGGGTTGGTGTTTGCTGTCAAGCTGAGCTTTCCGATTCTGTGATGATGTCTTTGTTCTCATCGATGTAGATTCCATTCATTTGCTGCGTTACGGTTGTGTCATCGTCCTCTCCTTCGGCGTCCTCTTCGGTCTCGTCGGCTTTGGACACCTCAGAGTCGCTCGGCGTCGCTGAACACTGCAGCGGCTCCAGGTACAGCTCTTCGTTGATATCCTGAAGCTCGCTGGAGTTCTGGCGGCTGATTGCGCTGCTTCCGACGAGGGACGACGAGCTACTGGTTACGCTGGGTAAGCCCTCCGATACCGGAATCAAGGCCCTGTTCAGTGGGTGCCTGCACAACACAGCAAGAAGAAAAACCCGTACACGTTTTCTTGGCATGCCAATTTTAAATTCTTCCGTCTCGCCCAAACAATGCACATATCTACCATGCGTCTTCCTGGAAGGGCCAAAGTGTTTGGGAGTGTTTTCGAAAATTCCAATTGCTCACTAAATTGTACACCAGGTGTTCCAGCCCTGTTCTCCGCTCCCTTGAAAACTTCAACACAAATCAACTCCTTCATTCAATGATGACTGTTATTAATAGATTACGGAGCATTGCAGACCATTGCGGACCATTGCAGACCATTGCAGATGAGTTGCATGCTATCGAGAATTTTCCTATTACAGTGGACGTGCTTGTCCTGAAAGCAGTAAATTGCCTGGAGCATTTTTCTTATTCGTGTAGCTGATACCAAGAGTGAACTGCCACAGCCTATGTGCAACTCCCGTGCTGAGTAGTACGTCTGAACCCTTTGTCCGGGTGGTCATCCAGGTGGGCAGTAGAGCTAGCTTCCACCCTCTTGGATCTACACCATGGTTGTTGTACACAATCTGTTGTACATTATTGTCAAATCACTATGTCTTTTATATGATTTGTACTATCTGTAGTATCTGTGGTGTGTGACAGTGAAAGCAACATGGCTGACAACATGTGATCCAGTAGTGGGTGACTGGTCTTGGAAGCAACAGCTTTGCCTGTGCTGGCCATCCGCGGTATGCGAAACATCTCTTTTGTACTTGAAGTACGAGCTTGGCTGCTCTGCAAAGGCAAGCACACGCGTACTCACCCCAAATAGAAGACGTCGTCCGATCCACTGCCGTTGCCTGTCAACGGTATGGTGGTGTGGTAGCGAACAAGGTCGATGAGCGTTGGGCATGGCCCAGCGTCCTTGTTACACACATAGCCGTGCTCGTCATTGTACACACGAAAGTGAAGCACTGTCTGCGGCACTCTGTGGGAGAGAAGGAGAACGAGAATGAGAGAGAAATACGCAGGTTTTACAGGACACTGAGGACAGTCACATGCAGGGCCTTGGTGATGTTTTCAGACAGTGGTTTGCGGGATTGGTGCTGTTGCGGCTGCTATTCGAATGGCTTCGCATTCTGGATTATTAGTAACTTGAACAGCCAGAAACGTGTGTGGTTGGCGAAATGGCGGAGCATTGGTCTTTCAAGTATGGGGTTCACGTCCCAGTTTGAGTAAAGCTTACTTGCCACCTCCAAGAGACCCATCTGGGATTGGGCATCTGCCCAAAGTCGGGATACACAGACATGAAGGGAAAGGAAACAAGCACCGCACTCACCACGTCAAACTCTTTACAACAGGATGCCTCAAACACCCCTGAGGCCCTGACTTTGAAAAGCAGGGCTGTGCATGGTGCAACGACCCAGAAGCATGGCATTCTGCACGTTGCCAGTTCTATAGCTAGGGTATTGGTCAATCCTCTTCTCGCAGGACACGGCACAGAAACTGAGAAAGCCGACTTACTTGACGGAAATGGCGTATTCCCCGGGACACGTGTCACGCTCTCGAAGTAGAAAGTTGCCCACAGCACCATGTTCACTGAGTAGTCGGTGGGCTCTCTCACGTGACATACGACCGAAGAACCAACTGAGCAAAACAAAACACACGCACAGCAGGGTTAGCACTAATTAGATGTGCTAGATGCAGATGCATGCCCTGAATATATGTCACTCCTGTTTACAGTAAAACCCAAGGTCGAAGAAGACTTTAATACAATAAAGTGTGATGTGTTACAGCTGGAAGAGGCTGTAGAATGTACGGTAGAAGGTACCTAACACTTGTGAAACTTTCCAACATGTTGTCGTTGGAGAACCTGACGTGTGCGCTCTTTCTCAGCATTCTAGAACTACCGTGTCTTTGGGTAAACTGAGTGCAGCATGCTGTCGTCGTTCACAAATGTTTCGGTTTGAATAGAAAGATAACTTATCATGGGTAACATTCACTGCAGCAGCAGCGTGCGTTTGCGTAGACAGGTCTCTGCACTTACTCGAAAGGCCTGTACCTCGAATTGTAGTCGGACCCTTTACGGGCAAGCTGCACAGCATCAGTGAGTGCACACAGAAGAAACAGACCGTCACGAATTGCAACACTTATGAAAGTTGAAACTCATCTCTTTCCCATCACTGCACAAGATAGGACGCATGGGTTTATAGTTTATACAAGTACAAAGTTTGATCTTCAAGTACAAACTTCACAGACGTATGCGGCATTTTTTAAATGTACTGAATTGTTTGTAATCACATGTCACTAGCCACGGCGACTACAGATGATAAACCAACATGTAACCTACCCTCCTACCCCCACCCTGAAGTTATGGGCAGTGCCTGATCCCGGACCAGTCGGATAAGAAAGATATGGACATACATGTATAGGTATAGATGCTATGCACGCGTGGCATTCGACTAGAAATGCCTCCCTCAGCCTTACCACGGTGTTGGTGTGCTCTAGTTGGCCACTAGACAGTTGTCGATTGGCCTGGCTGTGGTGGTGTGCTGGCGCGTGCACTGGGTGTGCTGGCAAGGAATGGGCTCGGCCTGCAGGTGTACCGTACAGATGATAGTCGCACAACGTTACTGGCAAGTATGCAATTTCGTTTATAGCACAGCCGTCACAGGTACATGACATTCCTGACTGGGAAATCACAAGAAACCCAGAGACTACTCTGCTGTTCTCATTCTTACCCAACGGAGATTTCAAACTGAGACATGCAAAAAGTCATTAGTTCGAGGGAGTAATGTAACTGAAGATACAGCTGTGCTCGGTGAAGTCAGTTAGACCCAAAGTGCATATTTTGCCCTTGGCGCCCTGCAAGTGGTACGAATGTGGCTTGCCATACAAATGTACAAGTAAACTGATGTAATCGTAACTGGTCCGGGGCACCAGTGTTGCACTTTGGATTGGATCTCAGTGACCGCGACTGTAGTATGGGCATCTCCATGATAGTTCCAGAGGCTGGAACATCATTTCAGGTTATGGTAACTGTAAGTTACCGTGGTTCCGATGATATGTACTTCAAGTAGTTATTATTATTAACGGTACAGTGGTTCCAATGATATTAAATTTTGCCATGCTGCGTGCCCTACCTATCAGCTGTAGATCACGACGGCCCGATGCGCCCAGTGCTGCCGCTGCTCGATCGTGCTGGTGCTGATGCATCATGGAGTGAACAGAGGAACCGGACGCAGAGCAGCGCTGGAGCGGCAGATGGGAGCGATGCGCGCGCAGCAAGGCTTCGTCGCTGGCCTGTAGCTGCGCTGGGCTCAGCGTTGGCCAGCCACAGTTGACAGTCATGTCCGGCGTCGGCGGGCTCAGGCATGCGTCCGCAGGCAGCTTCTTCTTGGGTGTTGTCCCGCCGCGCTTCAACGAGCCCACCATGCGTCTCAAGCCCGCCTTGACTCCTTTAGGACCGTGCGCACTGGCCCCGCCGGTAGGACTCTGATCAGCAGCCGCCGGCAAGATGCCGCTATCCTGGCTACCGCGGCGACCGCTTCGAGGCACCGACGTCGCCGTGGGTGACTCGCACACCTGGTCGGAGGAGGACGACTGGCCAATCGGTAGGGAGATGGACTCTTTGAAACGACGCCGCTGCTGCACGTACAAGAAACAACAAGGCAGTGCAGCATGTATGTGCGGTTAGCCATCGACATTATAATTATACAATCTACAGCACAGGGTATAATGATGGTAGCCGATTCCAGATTTTATTATGGGTATTAGAATCCGAGTTAGGGAAAGCCTCCTTCACCTCATATAAATGTCCCCTTGGCTTCAGATCTATCGTATCCATATCAAGTCTGACTGTGGGTGGAAGCTCATCTGAATGCAAAACACCCATTAGTAAGGCACTAGCGATAGGCGTTCACCCTCTCGTCCTCCCGTTGACATAGATCAGCATGGAAAGCACACCATGGCTATTTTGCTTTGCATGTATACATGCATGCAGAATTATTTCTTGTGGATAACGGGACTGCCTGCGATCGCAGATATATACTTACCGGAGTGTCTGGTGTGAGGTCAATGATTGGTGCGGAGGACTGACGATGTGCTGGAGATTGGCCACGGCTGCTGTAGCCACTGCTACCACTCGATGACTGATGAGCATAACACAAAAGAAAGCACGAAAACAGTCATTTCTCTGTAGTGTGTCGAGCGTGTTGTGTTCAGCAGTGGGTTGCATTTGTCATCTAATATCGTTGCCATAAGCTCTAACTGTTATTGCACTTATAGCAGCACCTGAATATTTAACCTTAGCTTCATTCAATGTCTGACTTTAGCTTAGCTTTGCATTATCCACTGATGATTGGAACAAAACAAACGCTTCATAAGTTCGTAACCCACCTATGCTTAGTAGCAAGAGTAGATAAACAAGAGTGTGCAACTCCGGATCTCTCCTGCACAATCTGCAGATACCCCCGTCCACGGCGGAATTTTTTGTTGACGTCACCTTTTTTTCAGAAGAACGCGCATTTCACCGCAGAGCAGTGTGAGAGCACGTGCTGGGCACCGACCTTGTAGTGTAAAGCCGGCCAAGAGCACGAGGGAAACTTTCCGAAAGACTCGCAGCTCGTGCGTCGTCGAAAAGATTACGTCAACAAAAAATTCCGCCGTGGGCCTACCCATCCGCGAGTTGCACACTCTTGTTTATCTACTCTTGCTAGTAGTCTTAGACTCTAGTGTTATGTACAGTGCTGCTCAATGAAATCCAATTGCATCACTCAAGTTCGTGTCTTGCATCATTCCGCAGGCCAGTGCTCGCAGGGTCTACGGCTGCGCAACGCCCGCTGCGCATACTTGAGTGACGCGACTGGATTTCATTGAGCAGTCATGTACGTGAACATACCTCAAGTTTCTGTGAGAGTGTGTGCACTGTACAGTCATGTACATACATTTTCTGTGAGTGTGTGTGCACTGTACGTGTATATACCTTTTCCGTGAGAGTGTGTGCAGGCCGTGGGGCTATCGGTGGTGCAGACATGATGATGCGTGGTGAGGAGGCCGAGTCTGATTCGGACGTGCTCGACTGAGAGATGGGTCGCGGGGAACTGCGGTTCACTGTGTGCCGCCGCACTCTGTTTGATCGTATTTGCGCAGCAGGTATGCGTACCGGCTCAACTGCTGCTGCTGCCGGTCTTGTGTTCTCCAGCTGGCAAACAGCAGTGCTGGCCGGGGCTTCTGCGCCGGGTTCTCTGGGTAATGCTCGTCGTCCAAACGGATGCGTTTGACGTGTGCTCAGAGCGGCATCACTGTGTTTGCGACTCAAGCCACTAGCCGATGCCGGATCTGCGGCCGCTGAGTGCAACACCGCTGACGGAAGGCTATTCCGACGACTTCTCAAGCTCCTTGCAGCCACGGAATGTATCACAGGGCTCGAGACTGGTGGTGCTGGCGGGAGACTTTTGCAGACGCTTATAGCCCTCTTCAGTCGCTGGCCGCTACGCTTCACACACAGTTTAAGACTCAGCGAGGACGTGGGCGTCGCGGGCTGCGGTCTGGGCGGCAGCGGCGGCGGATTGCAATCCGAGTCCTCGGCTATGGTCTGCCAGTGCGTTGCTGTCACTGATGTGCAAGTAACACTACTGTGCGAGCGACGTATGCTGATCGGCTTTTGTGCTGGTGATGCTGCGCTGCTGGAGCTGTTGCTACTACTCGCCGCAGCCTGACAAAAAAACCATGCCCATACACACACACACAGCAGCAGCAGCACACACAGCAGCGCACATAGCCGTACGTACATGCACACAGACACACACAATACACACAGACACATACAGTACAAAATTGTCAGTACAGTACATGCATGCATATCATTGTTTCCCAAAAGAATATGATTATGCTACAGATGCCAGTGGCTGAAGGCCGAATATTTGATCTTGTGCGGATGCGAACGGAATGCGTTCATTAGAGGGTGGCAAAACAATATCATGTGGTCGAGGTACATGATTGGAATATCACACCCACTGTATACCTATCTGCATACGCATGTCCTGTCGCCCTTAGCATTACGGCAACTGGTCTGGCACTTCCAAATTCACACCAGGGGCTGAGGACACCCAGGGGAGAGTGATCCAGTAATTGTGGACTAGGTACTAGATAGCCAACTGCTCTAATCGATCTCTACTAGCTACAAGCATAACTCTCACTCACACACACGGCACATGGGGAGGGGGTCCTTGCCCCAAACCCTTGACTTATCAGCGCCGGCCCACTGCAGTGAAACACTGTTTGGCGAGAAGTGAGCCCAATCAATCACCTAGTCAATGGGCAAGCCATGAACCGGCAAGGACACGCCCCTGACAGCAACAGTCATTTCCCTTTGACTTGCTGAATGTGTCAGTCATTTTGAAATCAACAATCTGTGCATGGTATACAATGCCCTTCATAGAACCAGCACGAAAACAAACATATATGATTGTATTTACAAACTAGTTCTAATCGCACAAAACCCTATGGCGTAATGACCCATTACAGTAAAACCTGTCAAAGCGAACGCTCGGATAAGGCGACCACCTGTCCTAGAAGACCACTGCAACCAGGACCAAAGGATGCTATTTCCAGTCAAATCACCATGGATAAGATGACAACCTGGTAACGGAGACCACGTTTTGAAGGTCCCTTGAGCGGTCGCCTTAGACAGGTTTAACTGTATATCGTCAAGGTTTGTATGCGCGGTGCCGGTGGTGTCCACATTGTACGTGGCAACTCAACTGGCCGGTCAAGTATCGTCAGAACCTCCCCACACCGGCACAGCTATACAGAAAAACGAAGGCACATACCAGGACTAACCCAGTGATGTGCATACATTTTAGTAAACAAAGACATCTAGCAAACCCCATACAGTGCACTGCATAGGGTATCACCCAAGTACTTAGTTTTCCTTCCCATTCAGCTGTCCAATATTATCCACAAGGTTGCCTCCAGAGAGTTCCTCAATAGACAATTCATTTTCATGTGGCTTCACCAAATACTCCAAGTGATGACGGCGGCGGAATGCAAACGGACACACACCTCCACCATACAACATGACCCCCGAATAACATGATCGTGGCGTGGCACGTTGAAGCCTGTGTGAGGTGCGCTGCGTAATTTGCGGAACAATAGGAATGTTGACGCTGTATGCGCCAGTCAAGTGAAGACTGGCCGTGAATGACACGTCGAGGATTGCGGTGGCGATTTCCTGGCCGAGCAATCGACGGGCAATTCACATTGTGAAGCACCGCGCGCTCCGCGACTAGACTACCGCCTGGCCCAACAGCAATAATTGCATATTGAGCTTGATCGCTCCGCTGATGAGTCAGGCACTATAAGTATAACCGACGGCAATTGCCTGGCGGCGACCCGTGTACGTCCGGGCAGTGACCACTAGGCACCACCAGTCCTTTTGATCCTACCGTAGCACTCTGACTGAGTCTGAGTCACCATGAAATTCATCTACGACATTCCTTTGGTCTCTAGCGACACCCTTTTTTCAAAACTTCGCCATCTAACAATTTCCGCAATTTGTTGAATATCAAGTAGGCTAATGCATGATGTCTGACGGTCATCAGATCTGGTAAATACTGGAAGGAATGACCTCTCTGCTAACAGTATTGTATTATCGCCAAGAAAACTATACCTCCTTGCTTCCACTGCTAACCGCGATCTTCCATAACGATGGTGCGCCAAGCGACGAGCGTCAGTTTTCTGCCCAAACAGAGATGGTTTGCCGCCACTGAGTCTGTGACGACGGGCCTCCGACGGACCACTAACGTTACAATAGACGCGTCTACATGCAGCTGCTTTCCGTTTCTTCTCCGTAGGTATTACAATTTACATGCGTTTCATCGCGCAAATGTCCCTGACTAGGGAGAAAGTCGAGTTCGCTGTTTGAAGAGCGGGGTGAACACGAGCCTCTTCAACTACATCATTCAGTAGATCTACATGATTTGTTTGCAGTCGCAAGAAACGAAGGAAAGCTCCAAAAAAACACGGCCAGTAATCATGGTAATTAATGGTCTAGGCCGCGGCAGATCAGGCGTTTCTGGACGATGCATGCAGCAAGCAGTTCGGGCCACACTGCATCAAGCCATCACTCATCAGCGCCTGCCCTTGATGCGTTCTCTGCCCCCGTCGGAAGCTTGCTCGGATCCGATGCGCTATCGATGGGTTCCACGGGTTGGTTAGGTGCCATCAGTCGCACCGCGCCACGTGTCGTGGCGAATCTTCCCAGGCCATGGCATGGGTTGGCAAAATAAACCATTGCCCCGCATTGGCGCACATCCTAGCCTAGGACCTGGGAGTGTCAGTATCATTGGTCTAGGCTTGCCCAATTATATTAGCAGCACAACGATTAGTATTACATTACTAAGTCTTAGTCCGGCATTAGGCATTACCGATACTCCTCTCATCAGGCAGTAGTATCATTACCATGTTTACATCTTGCTAGGAACGGCACTGCTGCATGATTGTATTATCCACTGCGACTACATTCAGTACATTGTAATCATTTCCGGGTGTGTATTGGGGGGGGGGGGGGGGCATTTTCCTTCTCCCTGGGCTGGCTCTGCACAGTCTGCAGCCAGGTAGGCGGCGCTCACAGTGCACGCATGTGTGTAATAATCTGCCCCAGGCTAGACGTGATCATGTACTAGTACTAGTAATCGTTGGTGCCTGCTGAACGTTACTTTCCTGTTTGATGTTGACATGGTTCAGGCCCCCTACAATCCTACGATCAACCAACGGTTAAAGTTACCTTGTTGTCGCTCAGAGCGTGAACTCTGAGTTGTGCCTAATTCAATTAATTATTTGTCCTCTCCCCTCTTGAATGTACCCTACAATGTGCAACAAGTACTGGATATTAATTTTAAGACTAGAGTAACCCCAGATAACCGAGATACTCGTAGCAGCGTTCAACTCAGCTGCATGCACGAATTGCACACATCCATCAACAACGTTTCCCTAATCTAGTAGCAGTGTCCACACTTGCAGTAGATACCGCCAGCAGCCCCATCATGGCATCAGAAGTCCCCGAGGCGAAGTCGCTTATCCGTCCACCCAACCACGACCCATGTACACGGCAGTGCACAAGGAGCACGAATACTTCTCTTACCGTTGCTGTCGCTCTGCCAACGGACCGAGAAGACGAGAGCGCTGGATGCTTTCGCTCGGCCAGAACCCTATTCCCACTGCCAGCTCCACTCGATACCTTAGATCTAGCACTACCACTATCGGAGAGAACTCCATGCGCAGCAGAGGTGGAGGACATCGATTCGATAGCCATGCTTCAGTTGACAGCAGGGAAGGAAGCTGCGCCTCTTGTGCAGCGGAAAACCATCACCAACAGGAAAGGCAGGCCAGCGTACAGGATAGCAGCTGCTTGCCACAAGGGCCACGCTCTGCCGAATAATGGCCAGTGGCCAGCTCAGAGCAAGGCTTTTCAACAGCGGTCTAGAGAGTAAAGGCTGGGTGGTGCTGCAGTCAACGCTTGCACGTGCCAACCAGCTACAAGTCTTCTGCTAAACTAACTCCATCTTTCATATTATTATCATTGTGCGTCTGGCAGGCGTTCATTCAGGCGATGGCTGATGAAAGTGAGAGCATGGACACGAAGAGTTGGAAGGATACACAGACTGCCTACGCTCTTCGAACCCAGCAGGGCAGTCACACGCACGGTGTCACCGCGGAACGCTGCATGCACTTCACGTTGATTCAGACCGTGTGTACTAAGGAGGGGGAGGGGGGGGGGGGGGGGTCGGAGACATCAGCAGTAATACATATTATACAGTAGATCTCGGCAGCAGATAAACGTACCTTGGTAGCACGAGCGGAGCAGCAGGAACAGTGCGATTCACCCAGGATTTACGTTCACATTGAATGACAATCTACGCCACCGGCCGCGCTTGCGACTAGCCGGTGGAGATAAGACAAAGGACGTATTTCTCCGTCCCAATTTCCTCCGAGTGTTCTTCCTTCATCTAGTGGCACGCGCACCCATTGTAACTGGAGAGCCGAATGACAAGACACTGTGCACACATTCCGACGCCTCTCAACAAAATGTAACCTGATTACAGTACACGTACATGTACACCAAGGATCAACTGAACAGACAATGCGATTACCATGGTTATGCGAGGGCCTGACCGGTAACGGTCTGATCACGGAATGGCGAAGGAACTGGAGTCAAAAATGACCATTGTCTTTCGTAAATAGACTTACATTGGTCTTAGGCGGTGAAATGCACAGCGTGCCATGACGAATTTAACGCGAATGCTTATCTTCATGCTTAGTATGTTCATTGTTCTTACATACAATCGTGTACATGTACATGTACACACGCCAACACGTGTCTCTCTATCTACCAGTATCAGCTATTAGCGTTCTGCTAGGGTGAAAGGCATAAATATGGCAGCTTGCGTATGTGTGGGTCGGGCAAACCAGCGTACTAACTGTGTGGAAGGTGTGAGCCCCCAACATCTACATGTGCGTTAGACCCCAACATCTACATGTGCGTTAGACCCCAACATCTACATGTGCGTTAGACCCGCATCCACTGGCATTGTTGCCTTAGTACTAGTAGTAGTAGCACAGAAAGAAGAGAGAAAGAGAAGTGCATTCCCAGTCAGCCAAGGTACGACTAAGAGGCCTTTGCTGCATGGCACTGGCCACCGTGACCAGGCGGACCAGCGGCAGTGCAAGTCCAACACGACAGCACCGCGCTCCTATCTCGTCGGAGCGACCTGCAAGGCTGAATGGAAGCTCACCGATGGGCGATCACTGGCAGATAGCTACAGTGTATGTCTAGCCCTGTACTGACCATGCTGCTACTGGCTGCACGCAGGGCTAGGGCTACCCAACATGCCCAACAATTGCAGAACATGTAAAGCCAACTCGGAAGGATGTTACTTGTTAGAATTGAAGACACTTGAAAGTGCCACAACGCGTCGGGTGAGCCGCGAACACGCAAAGGGTCAAGTCATCTCCAACAGCCCGGCTCATCTTCAACTCTCGTTCCCTTTACCGCTTCTCTTTCATGCTCCCGCCACGTACACGCACGCCTGTTGCCACATCGATCGCAGGTTACGGTTTAAGTTGTGGGTCGATGTGAGAAATGCACGAGACGCCAAGGTATTGACAGAGTGCACCAGAAGTGACTGCCTTCGCCTTAGGTCACACGTACCGACGATGGATTCACTCAAGCCAAGGCTTTACCAACGCCATTGCATGTAGTTCCCCTCACTCAAGCCAAGACTTTACCAACGCCATTGCATGTAGTTCCCCTCGTCTGGTCGTCTCGAGCTCTTCGTCTTCCCGTAGTCTACTCTCTAACTAGTCTAGGTTTCCCCATTTACTCGTTTACTAAGAGCCGTAGACTCTCTAATACCCGCTACATAAGCCGAAGAACAAACTCACATGCATGTACAGCCTGTTACCAAGTGCCATACATGATTATAGACTTGCAGGGCTCCAGCCGTCTACGCGGCAGATGCAACAGCTGCACGACAGCAAGAACTGAGTTCAGCATCTTGCAGGCACCTCTCTACTGGCACCAACGCCAAGCGCCAGCGTCCGCTTCCGATCGATTGCCACATGCAACTAGCTATGCAGGATTGGGACCAAGACTCAGTGCCAACATGCAGATCTACTCACCTTCCACATGCACAGGGCTTGACAATGAGATGCTGAAGAAGACGACACAGCAAGGCCGGGACGGAGATCACCGGCGGACATAAGAAATTGGCATATCGCATTAGACCTGGTGGAACTCGTCCCGCAGCAGCTACAACTGCCAGGAGGCCAAAGGTCCTGAGTGCAGAGCTTGGCCTTGGGTGAGCGAAATGCGTGGCTTTCTCACGCTTTCCCGCCCGCACATCTGGACAGGACGGTACGGCAGTGCTGTCAAACGGGGCACATAATTCCGCGCACTCTTCGCTCGTCTGACCTTCAGAGCGGCGCGGGAGCAGGTTTTCAGCTGCCACTGCGAGAGGTTGACCAAAATCCTCCAATCGCGCCGAGCACTATCCCGACGCGCTGTCGGCCGGTGCGATCCAGCTGAGTCTGTACCCGTGTACCCCAGGCCATGGTATTAGCACAGTCATACAATCATACAATTACACCGTATGTATGTGCTAGGCCAGTGTGAGTAGTGGCAATGCATGATGCCATGGCTGATGCACTAGTACTTGGCCATGTTCACCATGCTACTTGGAGTACATGAATGTATGCCAATACAATAGTGCAAATCTGTAATACGACCGCACACACGTGATCACTGTGGCCTGGCTGCTGCCGGCCTGGTGAGCCTGGGAGCCGGAGTCGTGGGACATTATGGTGTTCCCTTCGGCAGATGTGTTACGTAAACTTGACATGACGCCTCATCGTCGATGCAAAGGCATTGGGAGTACATCATGCCATTCATGGTGGGTCTACAAATACTACAATGTCAACGGAGCCTTACGTCACGACGACCTGACACCGTATTAGACAGCATTACGTAGGCCAGAACTTACTTACCACGTGTAGACTGAGTATAACTATAAGTTTTTCTTCCGAACGGTATCAGCCCCTTGTACATGCAAAATCAAAAAATTAATAGTTATTATGATTGCATGTACAGTGTATGTAGCTAGCATGCTGACGTTGACGAGTTTAACTGCTGAAATTGTGAAAAAATCGAGGCTTTAGAAATGAGAAGCTAACGACGCCTTCTCAGGATTCCGTTCACTGATCATCGGACTAATGTGTCTGTTAGAGAGGAAATAAATAGTATTCACAAACAAGTCCCACTTATTGTTTCTGTTCGTAAAAGGAAATCGCAATGTTTTGGTCATATTGTTTGTTCCGGCTGTTTGTCATTGACTGTTCTTCAGGGTTGTGTTGCTGGAGGTCGTGGCCGAGGCAGGCCCAGAATGTCATGGCTTGATAATAATTATTAATTTTCATGGACTGCACTTGACGTGCAGTCCCTGCTCGCTGCTGCACGCGATCGATTTTATGGCGCTCGCTTGTCCATGCTTGCTCTGTGACGCCCCGACGGCCTTTAATAGGGCTATCACTTATCAGGTTTGTCTGGTTCTACCAATAATATTAAATATTTCACTGCTTTTCGAGCAGAATCGGCCCTGAAGTTTCTCCGAATGAAGCCGCTAGGCGCAGCTGAAGTGCGCCTGGCACTGATCGAGTCTGGTCTACATCAACTGGAAGTGTATCTAATCTGCCTATTTTCAAATTCTCGATTCAATAATATTATTACGTTATTACTGGCTCTCAACAGCCATGGTCTTACTGTCTACTGACTCTGAGTTTGGAGACTGTAGACTGTGTACATGCACGTGTATGCATGAAGTCCGCACGTCGAGTTGTGAACGCATTTTTCATTGCTAGTTCGACACCCCACCCGGCACCCGTAGAACTGCTCGTAGACCTACTGTGTATGGTCACGGCGGACGAGCGCAAAGTGGCGACACCCGCTAAAACGAACTGTCGGTGTGAGATCAACGAGCAGAACCTGATTCTGAACCTGAGCAAATAAATACGCAACTGTCTCAGGCCAAGGCCCAAGACGCAGATTTTGATTCTGCGCGTGCGCGGTATGATACCGTGCACACGAAATGCACCCATATGGAACACACCACGCGTGCACGGTGCTCTAACATTCATGTAGCTGCGAGGAAAAAGAAGGAGTCTTTCATCCATTGTACTGTACTTGAACCAACATCACCATTGGTAACATAGGAATGGCTGACGATCGTGAAGTCCAAAGTGCCGTCGGCAAAGATGTGAGCAGACTTCGCTGCTGCGTGGCGTGCCACAATGCAGCAGACTCTCTCAAGATGAAGGTCCTGAATTGCTTGCACGCCATGTGCGTCCCGTGTCTCAGACAACATTTGAGCAAAGACGCGACGGTGTCATGCTTCAAATGCCTGACTATGGCAGCATCAGGTATGCCAGGAGTACGACTACAAGACTCACTCGCCGACTGGCCAGTTCAAAAGGTAGAGGTCAGAGGCAAGGAAGGTAGCGAGCTGCAATCAGATCATTCAGAGAAACAGCACGTGTGCCAAAGCCTAGAATGCGAGGGAGAATCTTCCCCAGCTACCTCGCTATGTGTCGACTGTGGACTATACATGTGCGAGGGACATGAGAAACTACATTTGATGAAGAGAAGCTGCCGTGATCACCAACTCCAGTCACTACACACTATGCGAACGGCAGTCGACCAGGACGGCACAGTCGCTGATTCAGAATTCCTCCATTGTACCCTGCACCCTCGATTTCCAGTGAAATCCTACTGCAAGCAATGTGAACAGTTGACATGTGAGAGGTGCTGCGAGCAGCTTCATGCCAGGTGTTCACTGAGCGTTGAAGAGATTACCACAGCAGCTGAGAGAAAACGATCTCTGTGGAAATCGCTGCTAAGTGATTGTAGCGACTCGTGGAGGGAGCATCTCAGTGACATGAATGTCCACGTTGCAGCACGCACCGCAGAAATCAATGAGAAGGTGGAGGCATTGTCAGAGGAGATTGTAGCTGATTTCAATGCTCACATCAAAAACCTGCAGCACAGACAAGAAGATCTTCTGAATGAGCTGGACGCTCGGCGCTGGAAAGCACTGAAAGACCTGGAGAACCAGTCTGGCATTGTGGAGAAAAGAGCGTTTCAACTGGATTGCTGTGAGCATCTCGTGCAGAACCTTGGCAACAGTAATCTCTTGACAGCAGAGAAGATCCTACAGACACAGATTAAGGATATTGTCAATAGCAACGAGGAAGCTGATGCCAGTGATGATCATCTAGTGGATGTTGATTTCACTGTATCCTACCGTGCATTTGCAACGGATCATGGTGAGAGGAAGCGTACATCAGAGCTTGGACGTCTTGTCGACTCTGCCTCCTGCACAGAGTCAGTGTGGAAGAATACTGTACGTGTGCAGCCAGTGTTCGATCCATTTAGCTGCAGGCCTGCACAGTTCTCTCTATCGAGCGATGGATATGCAGTATCGCATACTGGTGACGATTGGGACACAATCTCCACACTGGGTAGTTATTGCCATGGCGTGGTGGAGTGTTCAGTCCAGATCAGTGGCCGTAGCGATGGGATCTTCCTTGGGGTCGTGAAAGAAAGTTGCAAACCGCTGGAGCCATGTACAGAAGAGAGGCCATTCTTGGGTTGGTATAAGTTAAGGTACAACGAAGAGTTCAGTGTAGGCAACAACACAAAGCTTGGTCAGCCATGGCAAGATGGTGACATCATAGCACTGCGGTTGGATTGTGATCAGCACACACTGACAGGGACACACCAGAGATCTGGGCGGAGTGAAACCATTGCTGTACCCAGAGAAAAGCTGTGCTTTGCTGCAGAGTTGTGGGCCAGCCGCATAAGGTTTTTGCCTTGACACAAGTCTGTGGAGTTGGACATTACTCTATTTCTGCATTGTCGTAATCAGACACCTGGACTGTGTGCATCCTTACAGTTACACACATTGAGGCTTGTCTGGTGCTAGTGCAAGTTTATCTCTACTACACTGTACAGTCAGCAATGCAGGTCTGAACAACATGACATTGTATCCATACACCATGATGTGGCTAGGTTACAGTACTGCTAATGTACATGTACAGGTAGATTCAACATCACTGTGATACGGTCCAGTGTCATCTTTCCACCTTCACAGGCCTACATTGTACATGTATTTCACTCTCAATATGGGAGCCAGCAATGTCAGTGGAATATCTCCTTCCATAATAATTATAACCATGCGGTGTGCTACATGTATGTATGTCACTGTTGAATGGTACATGCAGTAGAGCGTGTCGGGTGTGTGGTCTTTGGCTACTTCTGTGCCTGTTTGCTTTTATTTAGCATGGGACTATTAGGTGTGTGCACATTTTGATTTTGTTGGAGACATTTAGCTTGTATTCTGTGGACTTCAAACTCTCTTCCCTGTACAAACAATATTGAATACTGATCTTCCGCGCAACTGCTTGATCTGGTGGCATAGATCCCAAGGCCTTGACCCGCATGATTTCCCCAATGCCTTATCTCACACCATCTCATCTATTGTCAGACTCATAGTGATTGTAGAATACGGCCATGCTGAAGATCAATCAGTTACGTGAGTACTACCAAATAACCCCCCCCCCCCCCCCTGGGTGTTATAAACTCTTGGTACTACTTGCAGCACCTAAGTCCTTTACCGGCCCATCCCCCTTGACCCAGCGCCTCTCAACCAGACGGCATGCAGGCCTATGAGAATATTCAGTGCGGCCGTGTGCTTCATTACGCTCCTGCTCAGGCTGGCTGAATTTTGATGCTGCCGTGGTTCCCCAGCAGTGACCAGCTGCGACTTCACATGGATACTCGTGTACTACAGTAAACCGTCTCCTCCGAACAAGGGATGACAAGGACGTGAAGAATTGGCTGAGCAGAGCACATTTGGAATGAAGATGGCCGGGTAGAATCCGTTGATAAGTTGACTGTTCATCTTTAGAATCTCCCCCACATTGTATTTCTCGCAGTTGTGCACTTTGTATCCAGACATTCTCAACTGCAACATACAATGGCCTTGCACCTCCGCCGCACCCCCCCCCCCCCCCCCCCCCCCCTCTCTCCGGTCCCCATAGGTCTGAGTACAATCCAGCACATCTGGGTGTCTGTCTGGTCATCTATCTTGTTCCAAGTAACGCCTCAGCATATCTCTATAGATCACGGTACCGGTATGGAATAAGAAATGACCATTCATTGCTGGGAACCCTGGGGCATTTCCTATTTGGGCATCATCTTCCAGTATGCCGCTCTGAAAAATATCGGATTTTGCGATATGGCAGAAATTTAAGGCCAGGGACCAGGGAGTCGTCAAATATTTGACGACTCCCTGCCGGGGACCTCTTCGCAGAGCCTAATTTGTTAGACAGCTGTGCATAGCCCAATACCATGCTCTACTTCCTCCACATAGGCTACCTGCTCTGAGTAACACCTCTACAAAACAAATTCTAGCCTTGTTACCCCTTGCAATCTTCCACAACCTTCCGCGGACTGTGGATTTCGTGTAAAATTCATTGTGAGTATGATGAAATGACAAACTGATCTGTCCAAGGATGTCCCTCTTTTGCAGCTTCAACGTCACAGCATAGCACACCCCTACCGAGCAGGAAAAACAAAAGATAGTACAGCTGTAGGGGTATTACTAATCTGAGTAATCTCACTACTCCATGGCCTGTAGACGTGCAGTGCACTGGTCACTGTAACCGCATACTTCGTTCGTCGCGGTGCTACTAATGTAGTAATGAACTGTTTTTCGTCACTGCTCACTGCTGTGAGGACAAAGAAAGCGTTTTTCTTTCATTGTACAAACCTGCATCATTGAAATGGCTGACGATCGTGAAGTAGTTCATACTGCCGTCGGCAAAGATGTGAGAAGTCTTCGCTGCTGCGTGGCGTGCCACAACGCAGCAGACTCCCTCAAGATGAAGGTATTGAATTGCTTACACGCCATGTGCGTCCCGTGTCTCGGACAACATTTGAGCAAAGATGGAACGGTGTCGTGCTTCAAATGCCTGACTGTGGCAGCATCAGGTATGCCAGGAGTACGACTACAAGACTCACTCGCCGACTGGCCAGTTCAAAAGGTAGAGGTGAGAGGCAAGGAAGGTAGCGAGCTGCAATCAGATCATTCAGAGAAACAGCGCGTCTGCCAGGGCGTGGAATGCGAGGGAGAATCTTCCCCAGCTACCTCACTATGTGTCGACTGTGGATTATACATGTGCGAGGGACATGAGAAACTACATTTGATGAAGAGAAGCTGCCGTGATCACCAACTCCAGTCAGTGCACACAATGAGAACGGCAGCCGACCAGGACGGCACAGTCGCTGATTCAGAATTCCTCCATTGTAGCCTGCACCCTCGATTTCCTGTGAAATCCTACTGCAAACAATGCGAACAGCTCATATGTGAGAGGTGCTGCGAACAGCTTCATGCCAGGTGTTCACTGAGCGTTGAAGAGATTACCACGGCAGCTGAGAGAAAACGATCTCTGTGGAAATCGCTGCTAAGTGATTGTAGCGACTCGTGGAGGGAGCATCTCAGTGACATGAATGTCAACATTGCAGCATGCACTGCAGACATCAATGAGAAGGTGGAGGCATTGTCAGGGGAGATTGTAGCTGATTTCAACACGCACATCAAAAACCTGCAGCGCAGACAAGAAGATCTTCTGAATGAGCTGGACGCTCGGCGCTGGAAAGCACTGCAAGACCTGGAGAAGCAGTCCGACATTGTGGAAAAGAGAACGTTTCAACTGGATTGCTGTGAGCATCTCGTGCAGAACCTTGACAACAGTAATTTCTTGACTGCAGAGAAGATCCTGGAGACACAGATCAAGGATGTTTTCAATAGCAACGAGGAAGCTGATACCAGTGATGATCATCTAGTGGATATTGATTTCACTGTATCCTACCGTGCATTTGCGGATGATGGTGAGAGGAAGCGTACATCACAGCTTGGATATCTTGTTGACTCTGCGTCCTGCACAGAGCAAGTGAAGAAGAACGCTGTACGCGTGCAGCCAGTGTTCGATCCATTTAGCTGCAAGCCTGCACAGTTCTCTCTATCGAGTGATGGATATGTAGTATCGCATACCGGTAAAGATTGGGACACAATCTCCATACTGGGTGGTTATTGCCATGGCGTGGTGGAGTGCTCAGTCCAGCTCAGGGGGCATGGTCATGGGATCTTCCTTGGGGTCGTGAAAGAAAGTTGCAAACCGCTGGAGCCATGTACAAAAGAGAGGCCATTCTTGGGTTGGTATAAGTTAAGGGACAACGAAGAGTTCAGTGTAGGCAACAACACAAAGCTTGGTCAGCCATGGCAAGATGGTGACATCATAGCACTGCGGTTGGATTGTGATCAGCACACACTGACAGGGACACACCAGAGATCTGGGCGGAGTGAAACCATTGCTGTACCCAGAGAAAAGCTGTGCTTTGCTGCAGAGATGTGGGCCAGCCGCATAAGGTTTTTGCCTTGACACAAGTCTGTGAAGGTGGACATTACTCTATTTCTGCATTGTCGTAATCAGACACCTGGACTGTGTGCATCCTTACAGTTACACACATTGAGGCTTGTCTGGTGCCAGTGCAAGTTTATCTCTACTACACTGTACAGTCAGCAATGCAGGTCTGAACAACATGACATTGTATCCATACACCATGATGTGGCTAGGTTACAGTACTGCTAATGTACATGTACAGGTAGATTCAACATCACTGTGATACGGTCCAGTGTCATCTTTCCACCTTCATAAGCCTACATTGTACATTCATTTCACTCTCAATATGGGAGCCAGCAATGCTGATGGAATATCTCCTTCCATTACACCCATGCAGTGTGCTATACGTATGTATGTCACTGTTGAATGGTACATACAGTATAGAGTGTCGGGTGTGTGGTCTTTGGCTACTTCTGTGCCTGGTTGCTTTAGCATAGGTGTGTGCACATTTTGATTTTGTTGGAGACATTTAGCTTGTATTCTGCGGACTTCAAACTCTCTCCCCTGTACAAACAATTTTGAATGCTGATCTTCCGCGCAACTGCTTGATCTAGAGGCATAGATCCCAAGGCCTTGATCCGCATGATTTCCCCAATGCCTTATCTCACCATCTCATCTATTGTAGACTCATAGCAAGAGTACATAACCTCTGTGCAACGGCGATCCAGCTCTGTGTAGGGTCTTGGTCGAGCGGAATCGGATCTTCTGATGTCATGCGTACACTTCACACCCGCGCAAGGCCGGTCTCGAGGCAGGGCACCATTGTTTTTGATCCAAGAGTACCCGCGACTCCCCGGGTTCCCCTCAGATGTGTACGGTATTATGACGCAAAGATCCGATTCCGCTCGACCAAGACCCTATGCAGAGCTGGATCAGGCGTTGCACACTTTGGGGGGTTATGTACTCTTGCTCATAGTGATTGTAGACACGGCCATGCTGAAGATCAATCAATACTACTTGCAGCACGTAAGTGACTAAGTCCTTTACCGGCCCATCCCCCTTGACCCGGCGTCTCTCAACCAGACGGCATGCAGGCCTATGAATATTCAGTGCGGCCGTGTGCTTCATTACGCTCCTGCTCAGGCTGGCTGAATTTCGATGTTGCCGTGGTTCCCCAGCAGTGACCAGCTGCGGCTTCACATGGATACTCGTGTACTACAGTAAACCGTCTCCTCCGAACAAGGGATGACAAGGACGTGAAGGCTGAGCAGAGCACATTTGGAATGAAGATGGCCGGGTAGAATCCGTTGATTAGCTGACTGTTCATCTTTAGAATCTCCTTGACATTGTATTTCTCTCAGCTGTGCACTTTGTATCCAGACATTCTCAACTGCAACATACAATGGCCTTGCACCCCCCCCCCCCCCCCGAGGTTTGAGTACAATCCAGCACATTTGGTTGTCTGTATGGTCATCTACATGTATCTTGTTCCAAGTTTGTTTGTTTGAAGTTTTATTTTACATCGCAAACCAAACGGGCATTGATGCCCAATATTATGATGGCGATAGAATAAAAAGTGTAGCTCGATAAAGCTTCACTTGCGAAAATGAGAAAACAGTCAAAAGTAAGTATTTGTACCGGTAATTACAAGTCAAGTTCGAACGAAGTAACAATCAGGGAGAAATAGGAAGATGAGGACCTATGCCAGAGGGAGGTGCTATTCGGCCATATTAACCGTAGAAAAACACTTTCAGCAATCTTTTAAACGGGGTTGGACGACGAGCGGACGTGAGTTCCTGTGGCAGGGTGTTCCAAAGCTTCACGGCGGAAACCAATGGTCGGCTGTCGCCAGATGTTCGCCGAGTTAGCGGAACAACGTATTTGCAATTGTCATTGCCACGGGTGTTACTGGGAGGTTGGAGGGCTACTCTATCTTTCAGAAGAGGGCTGATGCTGCTGGTGTGGACACGGTGCATAAGGAAACGGAGTTTGCATTTGGCACGTTCAATTACAGGGGTCAGGGAAAGGCGAGTGTATATAGGAGTGGTATGGGACGGGAAGGGCAGATTGGCTACGCAGCGAACACATCGCTTGTCGAGGACAGTGAGCTGGTGCCGCTGCTGAGCCGTGAGGGCAGAGAAGAACGCGTTTGATCCATAAAGCATGTCAGGAAGTATAAGGGCAGAATAGAAGAGGAGCGACTGGCGTTCAGATAGCGACGGGCGGATGGTTCTCAGGGTGGTTAGCTTCTGGGAAGTTTTACGTACTATGCTGGAGACCTGCGCGTCCCACCGAAGACAGGAATCGATCTGTAGGCCCAGAAAGCGAGCAGTGGTGGTCTGGGTGAGAGGCGTCCCGTTGCAGTTAACGTTGAGTTCCAGGGTACTACGGCGTGATGCCTCAATGGCTAAGACCTGCGTCTTGTCAGGGTTTAAAACCAGGCCTTTCCCGTGTAGGTAGTCAGCCAAGTTTGACACAGCAACTGATAAGACTTGATTTAGGGTTGCTACGGATCTGCTTGCGGTGTCGAGAAGGATGTCATCCGCAAACAGCTGGGAGTGTGCTGGGCTGGTGACGCTATGGACGTCCATGGTATATAGTGAAAACAGCAAAGGACCCAGTACACTACCCTGAGGGACTCCACACTCGCATGCAGTTAGGCCCGAGCACTGCCCACTCGCCAGAACTACTCTCTGTCGACGGTCCGTGAAGTAGCTCGCAAACCAACGCAAAACAGTCGAAGATACACCCAAAGCAAACAAATCTTGGATCATGAGCTGGTGCCGTACTTTATCGAATGCCTTGCTCATGTCCACTAGTACTGCGCCAGTATGTAGCTGGTGGTCTGCTGACGACAGATAGCGGTCCATGGCCAAGGTCAAGGCATCTTCCGTGGAGTGTTGTGGCCGGTACGCAAACTGATTGGCGGGCAAAAGTGAATGGGTTTGTAAGAAGTCACACAGGCGTTTGTGGACTATCTTCTCCAAGATCTTCGATGCTATTGGCAGCAAAGATATGGGACGGTAATTGCGAGATGCGTTCTTGTCACCAGACTTAAATAGGGGTCGAACATTTGCAATCTTCAGGGAGACGGGCACAATGCCAGACGAAAGGGATGCATTAATTAATATGGATAGCGACGGGGCGAGGGCTGCTGCACAATGCTTCAGGATGAATGCCGGAATACTGTCGCTGCCCTCAGCTTTACGAGCATCGAGTCTCACGAGAAAGGTGAATACCTCCTCAACACTAGTGGCCTGGAATTCCCGCAAAGGTTCCCGTGGTGACGGACCACAAGGTAAGGATAGCTGCACAGGTCTACTTGGATCGGAGACTACTCCACTGAATTGCTCGCTGAGTGCTGCTATACTGACAGAGGGTGGAGTGGGAGTTTTGGTCCGGCCGCTGAGCTCGTTTATTGTCTTCCAAGTGAGGCGCGCATTTGCCTGACTCCGTGTGAGAAGATTCTTGTAATACTGGGCCCTGAGGCGTCGGGACATTCGCTTAGCCTCGGCTCGTGCTGATGTGAATACAGTTCGTAGATCCATGTCAGTCGGCGAGGCTCGCCAGCGACGATGTGCTGCGTTGCGAAGTAGAATAGCGTCGTGGAGGGCAGGTAATTTCCAAGGACAGGGCGTGCGGGAGGAAGATTTAGGCCGATACGTTCGGACAGGAGCGTGCTCGTCCAAAACGGAAACAATCTTGTCAGTCCAAGAATACCACATGGCATCCACAGTCTGAGCGGTTGAAAAATTCTCCAGGTCACAATGATGCAAGTCATGAGCGAATCGGTTCATATCGATCCTTGCAAGGTTACGACCGCACTTGACAGCAGGAGGTTCCATAGTGCACTTGAGAGGTAGGTCAATTACGACCGCAAAGTGGTCGCTGATGGTACAAGGGAGAACCGTGCAGGAGGTTATCGCTCCATCCACAGCTAGGGCGAGATCCAGTGTTGTTCTGCTGCCGTGGGGGGCAATGCGGGTAGTGTCCTGCACCTTGTTGCAGATATTGAACTGGTCGCAGAAGCGATGTAAATTGTCGAGCTGAGGGGCTTGGCGCCGGCTTACGTCGACATTGAAGTCGCCCGTTAAAATCAGCGGGGACGATGGCATTGACGCCGCTGCTGTGTCAACTGCGTTGGACAAGTCCTGCCAAAATTGTACTGGCGTGCCTGGAGGTCGATACACTCCTCCTAGGAGAATCCGGTTTCGATGACTTCTGATCTCCAGTAGCAAAAGTTCTATGTTGGTGTGGTCTCCCACCACTTGTGCTTGAAAGCGATTGTGGACATAGGCTGCTAGGCCACCTCCATGACCGGGACGATCCCTCCGGAAAAGTGCATGGTTAGGTATGCTGAGCAAGCTGTCTGCGGTAGAGCTAGATAGAAAGGTTTCCGCCAGTATCATGATATCAATGTTTTGAGATCGTATGAAATCCTCAACTTCATGCTTTTTATTAAGAAGGTGGCACACATTGAGGAACCCTACTCTAAGATTAAGACTAAGGCCGTTGTTGCTGTTTGATAAAGGGGCTAAATTAGGGGTGTGTGGTCTAGGATGGAATGGGATTGCATTAGGGTTTAGTGGGGTGTCGGCATTCATGATGTGGCTGAAGCTGAAGCTATCTTGTCCAAGGCGAATCTCCACTCTCGTGCACGCACCTCCGCTGGCCAGAAGTCTTCCTGCAGGGCTTTGTCGATTTGATCTGCTGGGATCACGACATGTGCGTACGCCAGTAACGCCTCAGCATATCTCTATAGATCACGGTACCGGTATGGAATACGAAATGACCATTCATTGCTGGGAACCCTGGGGCATTTCCTATTTGGGCATCATCTTCCAGTATGCCGCTCTGAAAAATATCGGATTTAGGGATATTCCAGAAATTTAAGGCCAGTGACCACTTCGCAGAGCCTACTTTGTTAGATAGCTGTGCATAGCCCAATATCATGTTCTACTTCCTCCACATAGGCTACCTGTTCAGAGTAACACCTCTACAAAACAAATAATTTTGCTAGAATTTAATTCTAGCCTTACAAAAGTGCAGTGCGGATCGGCTATACTATAGGGTTGTCGGCTATACATGGTTAGCATTTTACCGTTCACGCTATTTCGACGGTCGGCGTGTAGAGGGCGAGTCTACTGTTTTTGATGTGTTTTCGAGACACAGGTAGCAGTTCGGCTTCTGAGTCCTGACTCCTGACGCAACGATAGACGTGTGAGGTAACCCTAGTTAGAATCTTACCGTTTCGTTCTCCCGCTAAAAAGAGCTTTCTATCGTCGAAACGGTACCAAACCGGCGATATTTTGGGTTTGGGGTACGAGCACCGTTGGATCTAGCGCGTGAACTGTAAAATGCCATGTCTACTTTAGAGGGTTTGGAAACGTGCCTCTAATCACGCGTACAGCAGACAATGTTCTTTTAACAATTAACTCCCAGTATCGAGTCAGCGAGAATCGGTATATTGCTCACAGGAAATGGCAAGGAGATAGTC